CGTTGCTGTATACGCCGTGGTGCTGTAGCGATTCCAACGCTGATAACCAAGCACTCGCGTTGCCAATCACGTGCCATCAGCTCACAGCTAACTGCACTTTCAGACATGAACCTGGTGATCAGTTCCTCCTTCTCTTTTCCAATTTTTCAATCAATAAAGCCATGTAAAATAATTCGCTTCTCGCGCATGTTATTCGTTTCCAATAACACACCACTCAAAATCGAATGTTCAAAACCTCAAATATTTGACTGATCGTTGGAAATCACCTACATTTTCTTCATTTCCCCCCTCAAATGACAGCAAGCCAGACGGAATAATTTCACGGGGTGTTTAGTACCATGTACCAATACGATCTTTAAACTTAAAAGGGCCGGGTTATCTTGGCCATCTCTCAGCCCGGGGGGGGGGATTCACCCCCCCCCCTAAGATTTCGGCCATCGAATGATGAAAAATTATGAAACTCGGTACATGCATAGAACAACTCATCATGAACATGCCCACGAAATTTCATGACTATAGGTCTAGGGGTTTTGGAATTATGGCTAATTATTTATTCATATGTACGAATGGTAATTCTGCTTTGTGTAGGCTACACTATTGGTGAATTTCAGTTTTCACGGGGCGTATACGGCGGAATTTTTTTGCTGCGCGGCAACCCGTGGTCAGAATTTTGTTTATGGTATCAAAAGATGCGCAAGACTCGAGGCTAAAGAGTCAGAACAGCTCGACTATGGCGGAAAAAGTTGAAGGGAGGGGGGGGGGGGCGGATTCCACCCCGGCCCTTTTAGAGTTAATCCAAGTAGGCCCTAAGCTTTTTGATGATAATTCAAGTTAGTTTTGGATAAATGCAATTGATCTTATAATATACATGTAACTTTTACTAAAATGTGTGATTCCCCAGAATTTGACGAAGTGACCGGTCATCATGCGCCGACCAGGCGGTCATTAGTCTCCGCACAGAAATCTCGGCGTGTCAGTGACAGCGGAGATAAATTGGCGGGAAAAAACTCCCGCCAAAAAAATAAAATTAATAATACCCCCTCGAGAGTCGTGTGACAATTCATTGTTGCATGCACCTGGTTTCGTGCTCACGCGGTCCGGTGCACGTATTTGCTGAATTCCACAGCAACTTCTCTCCCTGTTCAATTAAATTCACCAGAAGTTTATTGAATTATTTATTAATTCATCTCCGCGTTTACGTACCACTTCATATTATACAACATTTAATTTTGGACAGGTAGAAAGGAAGAACACGTCACCATTAAACAAAATAACGAAGACAAAATTTCAGCCTTCCTGAAATTGCTTAGATTAATGGAAATGCGCATTTGCATGCATATTTAACGGTGTTTGACTAAAGGTTGAATGAGTGGGACAAGCGTTAATGTCGACATTTCAGACTTTCTAAAGGAGATATATACAAGTACTTTACAAGCCATTAATTTTCACCGATGAATGACACTCCTGCGTGCTTTCGTAAGATCAGAGTTCGCGCGGTCGAATGTTTTTTTTTCACAGCAGGTGCAGAACGCATTCATCCCACAGGTGTTTCGGCCACGGTTGGGGTTTCCGTGTACGGATAAAAACAGTTCTAAGCCAGCAGCGTTAATTTCCTCTCGGATGTAGAAACCCTCTATCGTTTTACGTCACGAGTCATTCAGCAGCTGTGCTGGAGACTGCACAGCTTACCAGGTGGCTGCATGTAATGTTTGGCTGATCTTGACGGACGAAGCGAAAAACAGGGGTGGTGAGGCAACGCCCTGCCAAACCCAAACATCAACATATACCTGCCATTTTGAACAACGCGGTGGGCAATGCACGACTCACAACGTCACACAATTTTGCACACTGAAGCCAGCTTAGCTCCATCCAAGAGATGTCAAAACCATTGCAAACTCTCACTATTTTGAGAAATGTTTCCATACTTGAGAACATTCGCGATGTTGACTCGCTTAAAATATTCGACGTAATTCTCGCGAATAACTGTCACAGATCGTGTTGAAAAAAAAATTGACATGAAAACTTCACACACCAAATATGGAACTCGTCTCTCACACAATGTGGACAGCAATACACAAATCTACAATCAAATAAACATAACATTAAACATACATGTACTCGAGCAGACATTAAAAGTACGTTATGTTGGCGAGCGGAAAATCGCAATTTAGCACAACACGCATGTGTTGTACCTTGACAACGTTCTACTGTATGTGAGCAGACATCATTAAATTTCGCAAAAAATTATCCATTGAACATCAGCATTTCATGTTGATGGAGTAAATTGTTTGTACTCATGCGAATATAATCAAAGCGAAAATTTGATAAAAATCCATTCATGCAAACCAGAGGTACAACCGGTTTGTTTCCACCCGTTCCAATGTGAGCTACACAGTCAATGAAAAGACGCATTGCAGAGTGCAGGTTGAGCGATTTCCAATGCAATGTGTACTTCCCATATGCATTGGAAAAAAAACATATCCTTTTATGTTCTAGGTTTGGTTTATTGCATGATTGGGTTTCCATGACATTTTCACTGATTATACGCAAGAGTTTAATTCATATGCTCTATCAAAATGAAATAATAATAGTGGGTATTTATAAAGCTCAAAGCGCTACATGATTATTACCCATGTTCATGTTGGCTTCTTTTTGAGAAATTTAACGATATCGGCTTGCACAACTTTGTGGGTTTTTTTTTTGGTCACCCTGTACGGTTCGGCGTTGTTACATTTTACGTCGTCCACTTCAGAAACGTCCAAGTTTTGACTAAGTCATGCAAGCGTTTTCAGCGATTGATAAAACTTTCCAAGGCGTCTAAGCGATCTGAAGATCGGGTGTGGGGAAAACACATATATGCATCCTTTAAAATGTTGGAATCGACCTCTTATGACCATATAAGGGTCTTCAAGTAGTTGGCCCAACATAATCGAAAAAATAATTTCCACGAGCGAAAAGCAGGCGCCAGATTTTTAAGAACTTTTAGCGATTTTTTCCTTGCTCTCCGAACATCTCTAAACTCAATTTCACTATTAAACGTGGTAACGCCCCGCATTTAAAAAAAACATGTACATGTACAAAAATGTACTCACAAAAACAAACAGCCTTTCAAGTTCTCGAATGAAAAGTAACTTGATATTTCATACACACGTTCAAGTGATTTCTATTTTCAACCAGTCAGAAATTTGATTCCAATATCCTGGAATGAACTGTTCTCGTGAAGTACTTACGGATGTGATAAATTTGTACTCATCGGTACTCGAATGTGGTAAGAGTGCATTTCTATTGTGATATACGAGACACTTAGCGTCCCACTCGCAATGCGGGGAGGGAAAGTGTGTATTGCTAGTAACGTACGTATTAGTGACCGCGCGGTTTTTAACATTTAACGCGGTTGACACGCGGTTTAACGGCATTGGGCTCTGACCATACCCTACTTGTGGGGTGATGTTCCTTTCAGAACACATCACCCCACTATTTTAACAATAGAAAAACATCACCCCAGAAGAGGATCTTTAGAAAAAGGGATAAAAGGAGCACAATGCTATCACCCCACAATTCCATCTGGCTGGAGCGTCCGTATGTCCGTTCTGACCATACCCCCCTTGTGGGGTGATGTTCCTTTCAGGTCACATCACCCCACTATTTTAACAATAGCAAAACATCACCCTAGAAGAGGATCTTTAGAAAAAGGGATAAAAGGAACACAATGCTATCACCCCACAATTCCGTCTGGCTGGGATGTCCGCCTATACAGGGCGAGTCAAATTTTTTTAATTTTTTTTAATGGAGTTCAGCATGTAGCACTTTCACAATCTAGGATATGAAAGCCCAATTAACAAGCTTTCTTTTAGTACAAGAATCATTCAAATCATTCATGTACTTTTTAAGTTACGGAATTTTAAACACAAAGACCGTTTTAGTTCAAGCTAGGGTTCTGTCCACGGATAACAAAAAAAGGCAAGTGTTCTTTCAGCAAAACATCCCTATGTGAACTGTGAATTGTTTTCGTTTTGCTGAAAGAACACTAACCTTTTTTTTGTGATCCGTGGACAAATCCGAATTCATCGGTTGTCGGTAGGTACAACTTCGCGTCGTTATCAGTTTCGTTCACACGCAAGTACGCGATGAGAAAACAAACGTGATCGAACAAGGAGACCTGTAGGTACGAAAACCCAGATGTGAAAGGTCGTAAGTAAAATTCGCTTAAGTTTTACCTATCTCCAAAAGATTTCTCATCATTTTTTTTTCTTGTGGAATACCAAGATAAAATTCGAACATGAAAGCTTCTCGGAGGCGATTACGGTTAGAAATCATTCTGTCGAAATTATAGCAAGAGAAAGGGCAACCCGGTGTAAAATGCCCATAGAAGGGTAGCAGAGGGGTCCGGAAGCTCAACGACAAAATGGCGCACTTTCAGGCTCTATTATTGCTACAGACTAATCCGTGTACGCTGTACATCCACGAGGCCCCCTTCAATGGAGAAACCATTGTGCTAGCTATTGTTCAGATATTCCGTCATGGTGCAGATGCTTTGTACAATAGCACTCACAATGGTTTCTCCATTGAAGGGGGCCTCGTGAATGAACAGTGCCCGGATTCGTCCACATAAGAAATTGGTTCTTGGTTGGTTCTTCTCCTAAATACTCCGCATGGGAGTTTTAACAGGAGGCCAGAAACACCGGGGCAAACCCCTCCTCTTAGCGATGTGTTACTGGGTTCTTTTACGTGCATTGCATTACACAACACACGGGACCTACGGCTTCACGTCCCATCCGAAGGACGAAGCAATAATGGTTAAGTGCCTTGCTTAAGTGTCCACCCGGGCTTGAACCCACGCCATTGTTGCCTCTGAAACACCAGAGCATGAGTCCGGTGTTCTTAACCGCTAGGCCATGACACTCCAGACACTGTAATGCAGTTAATTATCGAACTCTTGAAGGATTTCAGTCTAACATCAATTTCCTGTTAAGAAACACAAAATACGTTCTTTACAACTGTTACGTGAGAATGCACACTCCGGAGGGACAGCATATCCTGGGAGACAATTTATTCCAGAATACAATTTATTGCCGACAACTTCCAGTAAACAAGGTTTACTCCAAGAACATTTTACAGTCGAACACCTTCATAACAAGGTCCTTGGGGACTTTACGAATTACCTTGTTATAACAGGTACCTTGTGTGAACAGTAATGGAAACAAAGAAAAACAAAGACTTGGGACCTAAAACTTTGCTTGTTATAAGCAGGATCTTGTATTAACAGTGTTCTTCTTATCAGGGTTCAACTGTACAAAAAACAAACAAGATCACAATGAAATACCTTCAAGATTAAAGTTTTCATCTTGGCAGTTGTCCAAATATGACATATGATTAATTGCAAACTTCAGTCTCCATAAGTTATACTTTACATGAATACATGTACTACGTAGCAAAAATATTATGCAAAAATTATGCACGATTGACATTAAGATAATACGTTAATGGTTCCGAATACTGCAATGGCACTTGTGTTAAGTACATGTACAGAAAATATCATATAGGCTGACGCTGTTTAAGAATACATTTTCTAAGAATACTACGGCAAAATTGGTTTAAATAATGCAAAACTAAATCATTAAGGCACACAAGCAAACTACGTACAGTTAGAAAAATATACATCTATTGACAACATCTGGTAAAAGTCAGAGGAGTTGTGAGTCCTTAAATTGAAATGTATTTCCCTCCCAAGTCCTGTGGGTATATATAGCGCCCTCTATTGACAAGGCAGCTGAGTTCAAAATCAGTGAAGACACTCACTGTTAACGCATTACAACTTGGTCAATGGAAATCATTGACAGACACTGAATCCTTAATTTCTTGTACTACGAAAATAGCTTCGTCTTGACTCAATAAAAAGACCCTGCAAACGACACAGGCATTTAAAATGACTTTATTCAATTGAATACATATCACTTAATGTTTTGTTGCTCGTAAATACACGTGCAATACAAAATACTGATGACTATTATCAACAATTTTATTAGAAACAATTAGCATAGCTGCAAACATTCCGTCTATATTTTTTTCAAGGTTTAGAGAGTTTTTACATTTGCGAATTCTGCTTTTTCTTGTGCGAGATACAAAATACTGAATACTGATGCACAGAAATGTGACAAATTGGTAAATATGTGCAATATGCGTATATTGCCCATGACTGATGTGTAGCCGAACAAATATAAATGTAACATACAAATAATGAATGTTTATGAGTGCAATGGTAAGAATGATTCATGAGGTGGCAGATGGAATGGTCCATTCCATCTGTCACCGAATCGAATTATTCTTTCCACTGCACGAAAGTGAAACATTTATTATTTGGTTTATACAACGCCTGAATAAATCCTCGTCATCTGATTGGGAATAGTGTGACCGTGCAATGGAACTTCCATTTACCGTGGAAAGGAACTTCTATTTTTGCAGTGTGGCCAGGCCATGGGTTGAGATGAATAATTCAATGACATGTGATCAACGATCCACCTATCAGATGAAGGCTATTCATTCAGGCGTCCAATCACAGCAAACAGGATTCACTGAATATTCATGACGTTACCTCGGTGCGGCCTCAGCCTCCCATGGTCTTCCCAACCTGCATGGCAATTAAAGACAACAGGGTTTGTTTTTATATTTTGTTTGAAAAGTTGCCAATCACAAGACTGAAGCTACTCAAATGCCCGACAAAACAAAATTTGGAAGGAGGAAAAGACAAGACATATTATACATTAAAGGTTATGGACTCAATTTGGAAATTGAAGATTTAAGGGTGAATCATTCCTGATGAACAGGGGTAATAATTTTAAAGCGCTTTTTCAAACCTAAGGTACAAAGTGCTATATATAAAGCACCATATTATTATTATCCACAAGGATTTCAAGACGACAGGAGACAATCTCTTACGAACTAGGGAATGAATCACACACACAAAAAAAGAATCTTTGAGATGTTACCTGCGTTTCTTTTATTCAGTGGCTGTTTTGCTGAGGAGCTGGTATGCCTCGGTCAGGGAACCAGCCACTACGGGGTCTGTAGGGCGCCCTTCCGAGGGGACATCGATGTCAAACTCAACATGACTTCCCTCGCTACCTTCACCTGTAGAAAACATCGGCAAAATATTGAAATACCTGTGTTAAAACTTTCCAAAATTGGTTCAGGAAATTCTGCCCTTTCATTCAGTACTGTAGTGAAGTCCACCCCAAGCCCTTACAAGTTCATCACAAGTTCATCACAAGTCCATCACAAGTCCATCACAAGTCCATCACAAGTCCCCCACAAGTCCATCACAAGTCCATCACAAGTCCATCACAAGTCCATCACAAGTCCATCACAAGTTATTTTTTAAAGGGAATATACAACATTTGCAAACATCAAAAAACAAACCTACCAAATTATTATGAAATACCTTACTGGACTGTTAGTGAATGACAGTCTAAAGCATCCTGTAAAATCATGGCACCTGGTGTGCTGACATTTTCAAGAAAAGTTGTATTTTTGTATCAATTTCCAACGCTGGTCGGCTGACCAGCATTGGAAAAAACTGGCTTTTTTTCAAATACTGCTCCCAATTTACCATATTTAGTTAGTACGCATTTTTGTTTGTAATCGATTACACATATAAATGGGTACAAGCCAGCTAGACTGTTCCCTGACCTTACAATTCCCCGACGTCTATACATTGCTCCGATTCCGACGCGAACTAGTTAAGAGTTAGATTTGTGAACAGAAACCATTCTGGCACTGGAGTTGGTTCTCCTTTTATAAAGTACTCACCATTGCTAGTCGAGGCAGTCTTCTTGTGCGACGGCGCGTACAGCACAAGCACGGCCACGACGTAGATGTTCCACATGCCGTAGACACCGGTGTAAAACCCGCTGGTATACTGCACACTGGATATGCTCTCTCCGGCCTTCTGGTGACCCTCCAAGACTTGAGACATGATGAAGAAGATGACGGTGAAGATGGCCGTCAGGACGGTGAAGATCATGAAGAACCGGAAGCGATAGATCAGACCCTGGAAACAGAGAAAGGACAAACTTTGGTGAGTTCCATAAAACATGAGGGAGTTTGGGGCGGCCAAAAACAGACTTGATTGTACCGTGCAGGGTTGTATAACGTTTCATGATATTCCCCAGGGGCCGACCCTAGTCCAAAAATTTGGGACTCTCAATACTATGTATGAGAATCCCAAAACTTAATATAGTGAAAACATGCAACACAAGAAAATAGACTGGCACATGAAACGACCAGTCCAACAACCCTTCAGTACTGCATCAATCAACTGTGTCCAAAGAAACATCTGGTTCGTAGTCTCTATTTCTACACATTCTCTCCTTAGTCATGCTACCAGACTACTGAATGGTCATATCTAATGAATTCTTTTCAAAAAGTTGGACATGCACCAGTCTAGTCTTAGGCTTCAAATCTAAATCACTTTGCATCACTCTCAGATGCAACTTGTCGAAGTAAGGTCTCCTTTCAAAATTGAATTGAGATCTCAAACTTGGCTGGTGAAATACTGAGGACCTTGTCTTTGCCTCTTGTATTAAAGTTGTGGAGAATTGAGTCAGCTGAACGGCGAGTTAACCCTAAAGGGGCCGGGTTATTTTGACCATCTCTCAGCCGGGGGGGGGCGGATTCCGCCCCCCCTAAGATCTCGGCCATCGAGCGACGAAAAATTTTGAAACTCAGCACATGCATAGAGCAACTCTTCCTAAACATGCCCAAGAAATTTCATGACTATAGGTCAAAGGGTTTTGGAGTTATGGCTAATTAATTATTCATATGTATGAATGGCAATTCTGCTCGGTGTACACGACATATATGCGAAAATTCAGTTTTTACGGCGCGTAGCGCCGGAAAATTTTTCGCTACAGGCTAACCCGTGGTCCGATTTTTATGTTTTTGGTACCAAAAGATGCGCAAAGCTCAAGGCTAAAAAGTCATAACAGCTAGGGTCGCGAAAAATTTTTTTTTAGAAGCTATCGCGGAAAATGTTGAGGGGGGGGGCGGATTCCGCCCCCCCCGGCCCTTTTAGGGTTAAGTTGGCCTGATTTGAATTTGTTTTGCATTTTTTTTTCTTCTGCACTTAAGGTCCCAGTCTGGATCGACCGCAGACTTGACCCTGTTCTCCAGGGCTCAGTTCCAAGGAGCTGCTAACGGGCTCCGTGCGCCAACGAAAGAGGGCGCCCTTTTACCTAGCAACGACGTCCCATTGGCGGGACATTTAGCTGGTTGACGCGTACCTTTCCTTGTACGTGACGCACGTACACCAGGGGATTTGTACTATGCAGTGGTACATTGTACGGCCGCACGTCGCGGCGAAATTGGAGTTAGGCAAGATGGCGTTGGTTGGTCACCCCCAACTGTGCTTTCTTTGCCGGTGACGGGGTACTTGTGTACAGAGCGGACAGCAGAAAGTATTGCTAGGGAAATTCATTTGCTTGGAACATCATGTGACATTTTTACTGTAACCCGTTTTAACTTAGCAAGTATTTTTTTTGTACTCAGCAAATGTTTGGCGCTTCACCATGACATTTGGCCTAAGCCTCCATTTTTTTTGGTTATTTGTTTATTTGTTTGGCCATTGGCTCCAACTCCAGTCCAAACATGACTAACATCTCAACTCTCTGGACCACATTCTAAGGTAAAAAAAAACCAGTCTGACAGAATGTCACTCACACTCTAGTCCCGTCATCAAAATCTTGGCTCAAACGCTTGTACATTTATGGTGTTTATATTTTCTGGTAACATGTACAGTGAAATGCCGCTATAACAAACACGATGGAGTCCACAGAAAGTGTTCGTTATAGTGCTGTTCGTTATAGCGGCATTTCACTGTAATTGTTGTTTGATTTTTACTGTAAACAGTTTTTTGAGAAATTGCTCTCCTGTAGGGCTCCGTTCTTCAACAAAGTGAATGAAACAGTTGTGATAAAAAAAATTCGAATGAAATAACAAACAAACAAATTCAACATTAAAATACATATGAGTTAAAGGAAATAAAGTGAAGAAATGTTGAAAAAAACATTTAAGGGTCTAAGACAGTACGTCAAGGCACAAAACACCACAAACGAGTACAACTGATACACACCAGGGGATACTTTTTATTACGAACATGCAGAATAAAATGTCCAGTGTATCAAGTACATAATACTAACACATTTTCAGGTAAATTAAAGTTAAAATTGTCACAAAACAAACAAATGCACAACGAAATTAGAATATTCAAGTTAATGGAATTAGTACATGTAGTACTGTTTGTATGCAAAGGTTCATTAAAAAATTCATCAAACCAATGGTCGCTCTGGTGGTTTCGGGTGCTACAGGGAGTAATAGGCAGGGCGGTTTGGGTCATAAGAGTCACTAAAGTGTTAAAGGGGTCTAAAGTGTTAATGTGACTAAAGTGTTAAGGGGCCTCTTTGGTTACATCCAAATCATGCACTCATTACAGTGGAACATTGCTATACCGAACATTCGGATATACCGAACATCGTCCTTGGCTCCCGATTTTTGTGTACGAAACCAACCGAACATTGTTGTTGAAAACCGTCAACAGAAGAGCGACAAGTGGCTATTATTTCCCCAAGGCATAGAAGGGGAAAGCCACCCATCGATGTAGGTAGTAAGCTCCAAACTGTGTAATTACATAATTCAATAGTCGGCATGTGTTCGAAGTCGTCTTTCAGTAACTACCAGGGCGTGCAGGGTGAAGTTATGAAGGGCGCTATTTATTGAAAAGTGAGTACCGGAGCACCGGCAGCTTAAAATGCTATTACGAACATTTTCTGTGGATCCAGCGATGTTCGTTATAGCGGCGTTCCACTGTATATTGAATTCAGACCTATTATGAAACTGATTGCAATGTTGTGGGCAGAATTAAACTAATGCAGAATAGATGTACATGTTCTGACGATGAGCTTTTATAGTGGCAAGATTCAATTGGAGTTGATATACGGGTTTAAGGTACCCATCGAGTTGAGGGACAAATGTAGCCCAGCAAGTGGGCAGTTCGGTACTCAAACTTTGCTGGTACGTTTTTTCCTGTACCCTTCGAACCATTGATGGCAGTAGTCTCTCGACCCATAAATGCATGCACACTTGCGTTTGTTGATACCTCATAGTGGAGACGGCGCGCCTTGGCCATGTGCGGCAGAGTGGCCCGCCTCATGCTGATGTTCTTGAAGACTTGGTAGACCATGAAGAGGAGGAAGAGACAGTAGGAGCAGAGGCAGATGCCGGCCAAGATGATGAACGCCATCTGGGAGCAGGATAGGTCAAGGAAGATCACTGGGCAAGATGATGAGTCGACTAGGCTAGCTGAAGAGTCGACCTAGTATTTGTGCCGTGTATTCATGAGAGCTTATACTCTCCATCACATTAGCTTTGCATTTCAGTAAAGTATGAAATGGTCAAGAAGCACATACGTGTTCTACATAACCCCCGAGGACGGACACACAAAGGGAGAACAACAGATCCTTACAGTCCTTGGGAGTTGGGTCTTTTGTTGGAAACGGTCATCCAAGGAGTAAGTTTGTGTGCTTTGTCTATGGCAGAGTGTTATATTACAGGGGCAAAGGGAAACACAAAGCATTGTCCTCGGGAGTATAGTAAAACAAGAGTGTCTGTGCTAACCAGGCTTTCCAGCACTATGTGGAAACAAAATCACCTGAGTTTTTCCTTGATATTTCCTTGATATTTCCAAACTTCCATGGGAAATAGTTTCACTTTCACAAGGTTGCTAAGAAGTCAAGAGGTGGTTGCAGCAAAGCAACCAAGATACTGATAATACACGGGCAACATGTCGACAAGTGATGGCCTCCCTTCTCCCCTTATAGCCATCCTTTCCTCACCAAATTCCCTGAGTTTTTCCTAATTTTGGTGTTTTTTAAAACAAATTCCCTGAGTTTTCTCTGACTCAAAAAATGAAAAATATATTTTCAAGGTTTTCGCTTATTTCCATTGTGGCTGAGAGCCCTGGCTAATGCTCGAGTGAATTAGATTTCTAGATTTAAGATTCCTATCGCAGCGTCTCTATTTGGAACAAACTCCACCTCTAATGTTGGCATAATCTTTGTTGATAATGAACGATGCATTTTTGGTCAACTTTTTTGTAAGGATACCGCAAGTCTGTAGCCTTTGTCTGTGTTCCACATGGAGAAGAACGGATTCACCAGTTGAACACCCCTACAAAAGACAAGAAACAAATACATCAGTCAAAGTTCAATCAATATCTCATCAGCTGCTAAAAAAACCCAGTCAAATTGTGTAGACCCAAATTTACTAGTATTTCTAGAGCAGCGTTTGCCAGTGCATAGTTATGTTGATACAGCACACAAGCCAGGCCCCCAGTGCTAGACCGCTTGAAAGATTGAGTACTTGTTTATCTTCTACACAAAGGATAACACCAAGGCCACCCTGTATTCTAAGAAACTGCAACTTTTTAATCTCTACGAGAATCCTCAACTTATTTACTTTTTCGGAGTCTGAGATCCTCCTTTCTAAGTACTTTTTTTGGAAGCCCTATGGCAATGGCGTTAGCTTCGCAAAGGGTGAATTCCTAAATTAAATGTTAGCTGCCCCCCACCCTTCAGTGGTGGGAGAAATTGAGATTTCAAAATCCGGTTATCATGAAAAAGTTATCCGATTTCACCAGAACATCCCAATCAGCCCTCTGTCGCGCCAACAAATACTGTCGAGTTGCAATGCCCTCCATGATGATTGGGTATATTTTGGGGGATTCAAGTATCGACGGGCAGTTACAAAAACATACCAGAGCTGTAACGGTGAATAAAATGGGTGGGAGCTGTCTGATCAGTCAAATGAGCTGGGTTTTCAGTTCAACCAAGAAGACCATTAGCAAATGCGATCACAATCAGAGACCAGGGAGCAAGTTGGGGGATGTTTTGAATATCAGATTTCAAAATCCATACCAAATAGTGGAATTCAAATCGAATTTGAAAAACTTCAGATTTTCATCCAACCACTACCCCCACCCTCTCCCCCTTCTTACCTCTCACACACGTCAAAGATGAAGAGGCAGAAGAAAGTGAAGATGATGGAGGCGACTTGCCGCCGGTAGACCTTCAGACGATTCCTCTGCGTCTGATCCTGTAAGCAAGAAAATGATTCCTGCCATGATTATGCTACACAAGACATTAGAACACATTGCTGTAGAGCTGCTTGGCGTAAAAATATAACTAAGCAGAAACATACAGCTTAGCAGGAAAGTGTTACTATTAAAGACAAATTAAGTTCTAGGCAGAAATCAGCTTAGAGCCAGCCACAAGCCAGAAATGCCACATGGGACTTCATGTGCTTTGCAAATCAAAATCTTGTCGTGTTCAGCAAGTTCGGTGTAAGCTGAAACTGGGAGAGCAGGGGATTTGAGCAGTTGCGGGCCTGCCCAAGTAATACATACCGCACGATACTTTTGTTCGAAGTCTTTGGATTTAAAAAAAAATTAAGGTAGGGCCGGGCATCGGATACCCGAGTACCCGACCGTTAATGTCAGGAACCGGTTCCAGATTATGGAATCAAGTACCCGTAACCAACTTTGCAAATTACTTAGTAAGTTCTCAGTCAATGAAAACAGAAATGTTCTGAACGTCAGTGGGACATTTCAAAATGAAAAACAGGATACATGGAAAACCAAAACCAATTTCACGTTTTATGACGCTTGCGAAAGTTGCAGTTTTCACCACACAGCTAAAGAGCTCACTGCATGCACCCTACCTAGCCGTATTGCCGCACCAATGTGGTAGTATTATCATGCAGACCTTTATGAACAATCTGAACAGCAACTTCTCAGATTTGAAATTTTGGCTCGGGTTTCTTTAACAAGTAGATTGGAACCCGTATTTTGTTTCAATAGGGTACCCAGTTCCTGTACTACCTGTAAATGCACACAAAATGCCTATATTAAAGGGAATATACAACATTTGCAAACATCGAAAATTAAAACTACCAAGTTTTTACGAAATACCTTAATAGGATGTTGGTAAATGACAGTCTCAAGCATCTTGTAAAATTATGGCACCTGGTGTGAAGTCATTTTCAAGAAAATGGTATTTTTGTACAAATTTCCAACGGTGGTCGGCCGACCACCGTTGGAAAAACCTAACTATTTTTCAACTACTGCTCCAAATTCACCATTAATTCAGTCAAAATTGTGTTTGCTATTGGTTACATGTTCATGAACGGGTGCAGGCCAGCTAGACTGGTACCCTTACCTTACAATTTTCCGGCATCTCTAAATTGATCCATTTTATATTTAGTGGAGTCAGGGAACCAGACTACTTGAACAGTTTTGTTTTTCTTGGTTTTTCCAGCATTTACGAACACAAAACTTCAAACATGTCAGTGTAACAATATTTGATCTATTATACTAACCCCTCAAATAGTTCATTTCTGAAAATTACAGCAAAAGCCAATGATGTATATTCCCTTTAACCCTAACTCCCTAGCGTCTTTTACTAGGACCTGGACCAATTCCATGAACCACTTTGCGTCTAACACAAAACTGTACTTGACATAATGGAATCCACCACTGACGCACTGGTCGACATTCATGGACTTGCTACACATGGCTTTTATCACAATAGCAGTACAGGAAGCTAGGCAAAATCAATCGGATACCCCTAGCACTGCTTCAGGCCATTAGGCCCAAGTCCATCATACTCCATCAATGTTAAGTCACGCCAGGCCATCTGGACCAAGTCCCCCAAAATCCACCAAAATGGGGGGATGGATTTTGATGGAGTTGGGGTGGTTAGTGTTAAGGCAAAATGTGTTTGTTCTCAGCAAATTAGGCAGAAGCTGGCACTCGAAAACAAGTATTGGAGTTTTTCCAGGGAATTGCAGCGGTTGACCATTCATACAATATGATTGCCGCATAATATTTTCGAAGGTAGCATGTGATTCCCTGTTACAGCACAACAAAAATGCTCAGTACATTTGGAGAATATTTGGCACTGCAAAAGCAAGGGTTTTGAGTGGTTATGAGTTCTGCATCTTTAAAAAGAGTTACAGCTTTGATTCCTTTTGAAATTTAGCTTTGCTTTAAAAAAAATGTCACTTTGATGAATGAATAGCACTACCAAATTACACTGGCAATGCCTTTAAGTAAAATGTATAATAGTTGTATTTTTTTCAATTTGGCAAAATCTTTTTTTAATTTGGCGTACATTTTTTTCTCTAAAAATATCCTACCTTGGAACGGATGAATCCAGATTGTATTGAGCCGTATTTAGTTGTTCTGGAGTGGTTGGTGATTCTTTCGTTTAGTATCTCGCACAAAAGAATGGACACGCGAGTTTATCATCGAGGTACATAAACACAATAACGGTGCCAGTGAATTGTGTAATGACTTTAAATCCATCACGGGACGAAAATACGTTGCCATACCAACACGCATTTAATGCTCTTTACCGAAACCCAATTGTATTTCTAATTGGCAAAATCTTATGATTATTCGACACTGTAATTGAAACAGGAACGATTAGAATTTTTTTTTTTTTTTTTTTAAGTTGAACAAAGACATTGACTGGAGCAGGGTTTGAACCTGCGACCTCCGCATTGCCGTTAAGGTGCTCTACCAACTTAACTATCTAGCTTTATGTTAGCGGTTCCCCATTTTGACAATGCCTTTGTTCATCCATGCTAGTCAGAACCCAGAAGCGATAAACCTTGCATGCCAAGTAGCCAGGCATCACGCCTGGATGCAATACGATCACGATCACGAAGCGAGCAACATTAGACATGCTGCAAACCTGGGAAATAGCAAACGGGGATCCTTCAGAGAGGATACGGCTTTTTATTACAAATGTTCAAATACATCGTAAATCACAACCAAATTTTTGTTTGTACATTTGCAGGCCTAAATCTTACCATCAGATGTTCTCCGATGAAGATGATCCAGAAGGAGAACAGCATGGCATAGAAGGCTCCCTGCTTGATGTCACTCAGGAGGGTCATGAAGGGCACCTCTACCCAGAAGGTCAGCCATTCCATGGGAACTGAAGAGGGTAAAGGGAAACAAGCGAATGAGCAGGGTGTCAAGACATTATTTCATTTGGTTGAGGAGTCACGAAGGAACTTCTACCAAGAAAGTTAGCCATTCAAGGGGTACTGAAGATGGTAAAAGGAAATTAGAGAATGACCAGGGCGTCAAGACATGATTTCATTTGGTTGAGGAGTCATGAAGGAACTTCTACCCAGAAAGTCAGTCATTCAAGGGGTACTGAAGATGGTAAAAGGAAACGAGTGAATGACCAAGATGTCAAGACATGATTTCATTTGGTTGAGGAGTCATGAAGGAACTTCTACCCAGAGAGTCAGCCATTTAAGGGGTACTGAAGATGGTAAAAGGAAACGAGAGAATGGCCAAGGTGTCAGGACATGATTTCATTTGGTTGAGGAGTCATGAAGGAACTTCTCTCCAGAAAGTCAGTCATTCAAGGGGGACTGAAGATGGTAAAAGGAAAACGAGAGAATTAGCAGGGTGTCAAGACATTATTATATTTGGTTGAGGAGTCACGAAGAAACTTCTACCCAGAAGGTCAGTCATTCCAGGGGAACTGAAGATGGTAAAAGGAAACAAGAGAATGGGTAGGGCGTCAAAACATCAGGTCAAGTTTTGGGTCTTCTAACTTGGTCAGCTGCTAACAAAGAGTGCTCACGGCCACCCAATTTTTTAAAAACCATCTTCAATGTTGACCTTCTTGCACTTGATACCATTTTAAACGGAATAATTTCATCGTTTATTTGATACAAGTCCTATCATAATCTGCAAGGCTTCTGTTATTAAACCAGCGGGTACTTTTCTGGGTATTATTGCAACTGATCATACATGGCTGTAAGGAAGAGAACCAGCCAATAGGCTTTATTGACAAGTCAGCCATATTAAATTGAAAGCGAGGCAAAATCTCCAGTTTTCAAACTTGCGAAGAGAAATGAAAGCAATGACATGAAGTTCATTACAAATTAATACCAGTCTGCTCTGATGAATAATTTGAAATTTGTGATGAAACATAACCTAATGTTTAAGCCACATTTAAAAAGAAAGTGAAAGTGAGGCTAGAATGCATAAATAGTCTGGCACCATTCCATTCAACAGTTCACAATTCATAAAATACATTCAGGAAACATGACCAAAATGGCTTCGTCGTGAATAAGGTCCATGTCAGCATTAGCATGCGCCTCATAAGAAATATCGCTGCTGGAATTAGTTAATAATAAAAATAATGGTGTACTCACAGTTGAGAATGCTCATGATGATGGCCAAGGCAAAAATGGTCCTGTGCATGAAAAAAAAAATCAACCGTCGTGAAAAGAGGCAGGGTTCCACTAAAGTTGTAGCAAATCAACCAATAAAATCACGACTTTTAGTTAAGTGACCAGGGTACTAGTACTGGTAGGTCAGTTAAACTCAATCACAAGCACTGTGAGTACACAAACCAGAGATGGGCGGGTTCACTGGACCAAGATTGTGACCTCAAAATGATTACCTCTCCAGAAGGACCGAGGGTTTGCCTTGGGTCTTGACCCGACGCCAGAACCAAATAGTGATCAGGAGGACGATGGGAAACATGATGGTCTTAATGGACATCCAGACGGTGGTAAATCCTCCATTCTGATGTATGATCTGGGTAAAAAAAAATACTGAAATATAAAAATTCTGATTTTTTTCTTCACAGCTGTATCTCGGTTTACACTCAGCTGATAGTCCAGTGTCAGAGATCGTCAAGCATGTCTCGACAGTTCTCTGACAATTTTATTTTAGTGTATGTTTCATTCTGTTTCATTTTCTCCAGCCAGTAGGGGATAACTCCAATTACAGAATGGGTCTATTGTTCCTATCCGTACGTTAGTAAAAACTTCCTAAACGCGCGAGCGCCACTGATTAGGCCAACAAAAAAAAATAGTCGGTCTCTGGTCAGACCAAAGTTCCGGAATTGATGCGGCGACGCATTTTTAAATTTTCTTTTGGGGTGGCTTTTATTTTTTTCAAGCTTGTATTGTACAGACAAGGTGGGTACTATTTTGCTTTTTTTGTGTCCTCATTATACATTGGTGTCCTCCTTCATTTGCCTTGGTGCCCTTTATCATTTGCCTTGGTGCAACTTCCCCATTCTTTGGTGCTCCTTGGTACAAAAATTTGAGGAGGCGCGGCAATAGAGGACGCTGTTGTAGCTTCCGTGTTAATTTGAAAAAAAAAGAAAGGTTGACGCGCATGATTAAAATCGACGCGCGCGCTGACCAGAGACCGAGTGGTTTTCTTTTGGCCTTACTAGCGCTTATTGGATAAACACTCAAGTTGAGTTAGCTCCAGTTCCAATGGTTCCATTGTACTTAATGGCCGGTGGGCATTCCTTAAACTGAACTGACATCACACCAACAGACTGGATTGTAACTGTGTGCACTTGCTGCCCCACAAGGAACCATTTGTAGGTACACATCTATAGAGAATGAACCCAACCTCATTCCCAGGGTATTCATCAACCTTTCTCTCAATGGTAAACAGACCCTAGGACAGTTACTTGCTCTCTGTTCTCTGATTGGATCCCGCAAATTTTTACCGCAACGTTTTAGCCTGTCATAAAGACATACTTGTGAAAAGTAATTGTCACAAAACAAATCCTTCAATAGGTTGCTTCATTATTCTCATATGTTTTTTTGAACTTCAATAACTACTTCGGAAAAACAAATTATCCTGTCTCCTGATGATGAACAGAGCAAACAGTTCGAAACGTGGAGTTAACAAACTAGTTCTTCACAGAACCACACAACTCAAAAGGAGATATCATTACATAGTGTTACCAAAAACCTCTCGATTCATTAAAATAAATTGTGTTCTTTTGTTATAATTAAAAATAACAAAGTTGGAATGAGATATTTGCTGTCTTGATTCAGGGGCCATTTTGTCTACTATTCACTGTCGATTGTACCTAAATCTTAAAGGCAAATTTTCATTTTCTGCGCTGATAAAAATACAGAGTGAACTGTTCCCTTGAATACTCCAAATACGCACCACCACATGAAGGTCCTCAGGTGAGCCGATGTTAGTGTTGGTCAGGGCACCGGTTGCCTTGTCCTTGGTAATCGGCATCCGGATGTTGATCAGGTAGTGCTTGTGGTGGACCGAGCCCAGCTCAAACAGCGGCAGGGGCTCACAGCTGTAGTGGTAGCCCACTTTGTCTTCCGTCTAGAGAGGCAACCAGAGAAAGGTTTAGAAATCAACTTTGCGTTCCTGTGCTATTTTTGAGTTTCATCCCGAAATACAGATTCCTTTTCTAAATTCTAATAATACACAAGCTCTACACCTTTGAACAAGACTTCAACCGAAAAAATCTGTCCGTGTTCAGTTATTGAATTATTACTAAACATGACAACGATTTCATTCTCGCGGGGTAAACTGGTTTGTCTCATCACAAAACTTCAAAGGGGCATATATTTTGCCGAGGAAAATCTGTTACCAAAAAATAAATTGTCATTCTAAAGGGGAAGACCTAAATTTTTAACATTTTAAACTCTTATTTAACCAGCTGTCGTAGGTAGTGTATGTTTAAATAGTGTTTTTTTTTTTACAGTGGTTCTAGTAAAACACTCACATTAGTCTACAATCCTAAACCCCCCTTGAAAGTTTTGCTTTGAAAGGTGCCGAACAATAATCCTCCAATGTGCATGGAAACCGTGTTAATATCTCCTATACTGTAACGGAGCATTAATTCTTAATTCTCTTAACCCTCCTTGTCTTCTGTACTTTGCATGCCTTCAAGTTTTGCTAAACCACTTTTGCCCAGAGTTAGCACCCACACTTCAAGTTCCTTTGAGGTAATCTTTTGTGGCCTATTGGATAACACTTCCAATCCCTGCACAATTCTTTTGTGCGGTTAAGCTCAGCTCAGGGCAAGCAGGCAGCTTCGGTCATGCTTCACTGCTCTCCTGAACGTGCTGTGTTTTAGTGCAGCGACTCTCGGTGTGACACAGTTAGTTTTAACATTTTATATCCTTTCACCTGAAACTGACCTGTAGGATTTTACATGCCACTCTGAATATTGACTTCCCACGAGGAGAGTTAACAGACTTTTGTTACGTCTCATTTTGAGTGTCATTTAGCACATGCCTGTACACAAAATGCCATTAGTTTGACGTAACAATGAATTGTGATGACATTCCTAGATGACATGGAAATTCCGTCAGTTTCTTCCAGTTTGTCCGAGTCTAGACTGTAACAAAAACCTCCTTCATAGCTTTAGGCACAAGAAGGAAAATGCTGATAAGGGGAGTGGAAAGGGGGCCGGGAGGGGTGAGGGGTACTTACAAAAGGAAATACACATTCAAGTTTTCTGGTCTCGTTAACGCTGACCAACTCTTGAAACTCCCCATCGTCCGTGTCCTTGTATCCAAGTCGAACCACTAAGGTCACGGCTGCATTAGGGGCTGCAAATCAAAAGTGCACAAATGAAGAAAAGAAAAATGGAGGGGACATTGAATCAGAGTTGTAAGTCACAAGTCAGCTACAATTCAATTGCAAGTCATCCGTCTGCCGTCAATCAACAACATGCAAGTATTCAAATAAATTGTGACTATGAGAAAGACATTTCTTTGTCATTATTTCTTTTGTGTAACTTGTGATTTGACTTTTAAATGACTCAACTTCATCTCTAAATTGACTTGCGAATGACTCAACTTCATCTCTAAATTACATTTTAAAAAAAGGTGTTCCTTTGTCACGTGTGGGGCACGTGTGGTCTAGCGGTGGAGCACAGGATTCGTGATCGAGAGGTTGTGGGTTCGAGCCCCACCGTGGTCATGCGTGTTGTGCCCTTGAGTAAGGCGCTTTACCTCAATTACTCCTCTCAACCCAGGAGTTAAATGGGTACCAGCATTGTTCAATGCTGGGAAGGTAACAGACTCGCTGTGGAGGAGGTGTGGCGATCCCCCCACAGCAGCATATGAGTCTGGCCCAATTGCTAACGAAAGAGAGATGGGCACTCCGTTCCTGTGAATACAGGTTCGTCCCTTTTACTTTTTACTTTACTTTTGTCACATTTTATTTTGGGTTACTTCAACTTACTTGTGATTCCACTTGTGACAGTTTTGAGGTTGAGTTCATGACCAATCCAATCACAACCAACATGGGATGACCAATTGACCTTATGCATAGCGGCCATCTTAGAGGGCATCTTTTGTTATTTTAATTTAGGAACAATGAATGCACAAAAGTTTCACTCATGCATATCCCAGCATAACAAAGGCATCGCCCTCTATGGCAGCTGCTACGCACAAGGTCTATAACAAAGGAATACTTTGGCAACTGATTTTTTAAAATTTTATTATGAATACTGAGAAATATGACCTACATTTAACCAGTTCACGCCGGGATTTCTTTGACATTGACCAGACCCAGGCCAAGATTGTTTTTGACGAACGTCGATGCCGGACGGGTTCAGGCCGTCATCTGCGGGTAGCACACCCTGATATTTCCGGCCTTGCTCACTGCGAGCGGGTTGCACACAGATATTTCCACACATACTGAAATTTGTATCGTTGTGGAGACATTTCTTTGTTCTCGTGTACTTAAGTTTTCGAGTTTCAAAGTACAGTTTAAAAATGCTCTTACTTTAACCAGAATTAATTTCCTTGGCTGAAATTCGGACTTAATATCCCTTTTCTAAAACTCTACCATTTGCGATGGATCAACGTACCTTGGAAATTCCTAGTTTTTGAGTAAAATCCATATATCTTTTTCGTGAAAACCTTGTGGAGACGTATTCATCTATAGAAATTGCCCTGTGGAGACGTACACAATCTTTTGTTCCCTATTGTACACACGTCTCCAGAGGGCACGGCGTATCAGATCGGCCTCGCTCATTGCCTGTTTATCTGTCATCCGTTCCGAATACCACAAAACCTTTGCGTGTATACATGATATCCGACGTGAACTGGTTAAATGAACTTACCCAAGTGTTTCCCGTCTTCATCCGAGTACCCAATGTCCATGACGAGGACGCCAAGCATATACTGGAAGGACCGGTGCATGGTGTTGGGCCGGTGGGGGACCTGCGCCGAGAAGACGATCCAATCAGCGAAGATGCCTCGCTTGGTGGCCTCGTCAAAATCCCGCACCTTGTCGCAGGCGTGCGGACCGTGCGGCTGGAACCATTTCTGCAGGCTGAAGGAGGGGTCGATGCACTTTGTTGTCAGGATGTTGTGAGCACTCGAAGGGGCTGGCGCTATCAAAAAAAATACAAACAAACAAACTTTAACACACTGAATACTGTCTTCTGCGTTCCACCTAGTTCTAGAGACACCGTACAGTCTTTTTATTGAAAAAATAAAAAACTCTCAGTTGGGACATTTTCAGTACTTAAAGGGAATATACATCATTTGCTTTTGCTGTAATTTTCAGAAATGGATGGAATTGGGGGGTTGGAAATATATAGCAAATATAGTAACACTGACTTTTTTGAGGTTTTGGGTTCGAAAATGCTATAAAAACCAAGAAAAACAATCATTTTCCTGTAGTCTGGTTCCCTGACTCCATTTAAGAAGAAACAGAGCAGTTTACATATATTGGGGAATTGTAAGGTCAGGGAACCAGTCTAGCTGGCTTGTACCCGTTCATAGGTGTGTAATCGATTGCAAACAAGTGCGATGGTCAACTGGGGCCAGTATTTGAAAAAAGCCAGTTTTTTCCAACGCTGATCGGCCGATCAGCGTTGGAAATTGATACAAAAATACCACTTTTCTTGAAAATGACAGTATACCAGGTGCCATGATTTTACAGGATGCTTTACACTGTCATTCACTAACAGTCCAGCAAGGTATTTCAAAATGATTTGGTAGTTTTATTTTTTGATGTTTGCAAATGTTGTATTTTCCCTTTAAGTTTGCGTGAAAGTTTTCATTCAAGCAGATGTGCACTTAAAGGGAAAGTACATCATTGGCTTTTGCTTTAATTTTCAAAAATGAACTATTTGAGGGGTAAGTATAATAGATCAACTTATTGTTGCACTGACACGTTTAAAGTTTTGTGTTCGGAAATGCTGGAAAAACCAACAAAATCAAAAAATGTTCAAGTAGTCTGGTTCCCTGACTCCACTGAAAATTAAATGGATAAATTTATAGATGCCGGAAAATTGTACGGTAAGGGAACCAGTCTAGGTGGCCTGCCCCCATTCATGAACATGCAACCAATAGGAAACAAAATTTGGACTGAAGAAAAAATGGTACATTTGGAGCAGCAGTTGAAAAATAGTTAGGTTTTTCCAACGGTGGTCGGCCGACCACCGTTGGAAATGTATACAAAAATACAATTTACTTGAAAATGACTTCACACCAGGTGCCATAATTTTACAGCATGCTTTAGACTGTCATTTACCAACATTCTGTAAGGTATTTCGTAAAAACTTGGTAGTTTTATTTTTCGATGCTTGCAAATGTTGTAATTTCCCTTTAAGTGAGAGGCATGCAGTAAAGTAGCCATTTACACAAAATGTACATTAACCCTAAACCTGCTCCAATTATCTTATGAATATCTTGCTAATATCAAACAGCTACTGAAATATAAAGGCTGCTACTGGTAACTTCAAAACCAAACAGCAAAACCCAAAAGGTCTTTTACTACATGAAGTTCACAACTTCAGATCAACAAAACATAAACCACCCTCCTAGTCCTAAAGCTACAAAATACTGCTAGTATGCAGTATTCCAGCCTTTGTAGTGTTTGGTACTTAGCCCCGGCATAATAACTTTCTCATTTCTGGTATCATTATTACTATTAAGTATTTCTGGTAATGAAACCAAGGATTCCTCAAAAGCGCCCTGGGCACTGTAGTTGGCAAGCATGAAGAAACCTGTAGAGAGAAGACAATGAGAACCCTGCTGTTGCATAGGAATAAGATTATCATGTAATGGATCTAAACCCGCCTTAATGTACCGGTAGATCACATGTATGAGAAGACTTCCAATGAACAGCAATTTTGAACTAATCAAATAGAATCGTATGTGCACTGGGACCAGCTTTACTTGGCTTGCGTCGTCTTGTACATTTTTTTCATGTCCCTGTAATTACACCTGACCTGTGTAATTTGCCATGCAAGTATCATTAACCCTTAACTTCCCAAATGCTGCAAAATCCTCTTTGCAAAATGGAGGATTTTGCAGGATTGAGGCCATATGGCAAAAATGTGTGGCTGATTTTGGAGAATGCACTGCATCAAAATCTTGGGCCAGACCTTGTGTTGTTTACGCTCAGCCGTGCATAAATTTAGGACCTGATTATTCTTGCAATCCTCCGCACGGCTCCAGGATGTCATTGTCACTGGCTCTGCCTCAACACATCAACAGTGATTGCTGGAGGATTTTTGCAGGATTGAGGCAGTGGTCACCAGTCCAATTAGGACCACACTCAAGAAATAATGGATGATTTTGCAGAATCGAGGCTGTACGCAGTTTTTACATAGAGGTAGTTGGAGGATTTTGCAGCAATGAGGTTGCAAAATGCCTTGAGAGTTAAAAATGACTTCAATTTTTTTTTTAATTTGTTTGTAGAAGCTAAAGAATGTGTCCTGAATTTATGAAATCTTACATCAGATGAAACAGAGACATGAAAAACATGGACCCCATAGTTATCACGAACATGTCTGCCCATGACATCATGTACATGTTCAGCATGTGAAAGACAGGCTTGACAAGCTGGCCATGTGGCACCATGGAGCAGCCCATGCTCTGCCAAGACTCAGCAGGATACTGGCTGTGTAGATTTAATCTAATCAACTTCACACCGGATCAGTCCGCTGCTGGCATTTCTATTCAGACTGTGTTGGGTTGGGTGTGGGGCACTGACTACTGTTGTGAACTTGTGTAGTAAACACAATTCCTGTTTTACCATAGAGCTATGGTTCCACATGCCTCAGGAATTATTAGCTACATTGTACATTAGCCATGGCACACAGGGGCTTGCCACATGAGGTCAAACCGGGTCAACTTACAAATTTATATCAGTGATGTGTTAAGGCAATTCAGTAACACACCCATTGCAGAAAAAAAACTTGAATACAAATTACAATTCCATCATATAATTTGAATGGCCACTAGCTAAATATTTCCGGCAATTAGTACAAAGCAACTTTGGTAGGGTAATGGTATATTAATCGTGACAACTGTTGATGTGAAATCGCTTTGATCTGGTCTTTTCCAGGATTAAAATTCAGGAAAAAAACATTACTTAAAGGGAATATACATCATTTGCTTTTGCTGTAATTTTCAGAAATGGATGGAATTGGGGAGTTGGAAATATATAGCAAATATAGTTACACTGACTTTTTTGAGGTTTTGGGTTCGAAAATGCTATAAAACCAAGAAAAACAATCATTTTCCTGTAGTCTGGTTCCCTGACTCCACATAAGAAGAAACAGAGCAGTTTACATACATCGGGGAATTGTAAGGTCAGGGAACCAGTCTCGCTGGCTTGTACCCGTTCATAGGTGTGTAATCGATTGCAAACAAGTGCGATGGTCAATTGGGGCCAGTATTTGAAAAAAAGCCAGTTTTTTCCAACGCTGGTCGGCCGACCAGCGTTGGAAATTGATACAAAAATACCACTTTTCTTGAAAATGACAGTATACCAGGTGCCATGATTTTACAGGATGCTTTACACTGTCATTCACTAACAGTCCAGCAAGGTATTTCAAAATGATTTGGTAGCTTTATTTTTTGATGTTTGCAAATGTTGTATTTTCCCTTTAACACATAGTACTGTAACTGCTTTATGTTGGATTACAGATTACTTATGTTCTAAGAAAGTATTAAGCAGGTGTAAACATTTAAGTCTGTGCTTACTATTCATACAAAGACATACGGTACAAGCTAGACTTAAGTTTTACTTGTGGATATTACCCACCATGTCTGAAGTGCAGACTATTTGACCAGAGTGGAAAAAAAATGAATTTATTTTGTTGAAAATCACGGGGGAACACAACACGACACTTTCAGCATTCACTTCATGAGATGAATACAAAACAAGAAACACAGACAACTCAACATAAACAGTTTACAGATTCAACAACTACAGTGGACATGTACACCCCCCCCCCCCCCCCCCCCCCAAAGCGGCAACAGCCCATGTCAATGCAAAGCCGCTTGGTTTATGACAGTGTTAAATGCCAACGGCTAGAAAATGAATCACTGCCGGAAATGTTTTCAAACCGGCCGCAATACAACATGCAATTATCTAGAATTTTCATGGCCCACTCCAGGGGGAACATTGTAAACAAGATGTACATGATTGATGATTGTAATCAGGATAGCTATCTCTGGAGGGGGGGGGGGGGGTGGAGGCAATGTTGGGACATGCCTAAACAGATCACCTAATTCCATCCAAGTATGAATGGAGGCACTTGACTGAAGAGATGGCATGCATCTTCAAGGGATCAATTCGAATTAGTGAGAGGGATATAATGGGAGTAAAGGAATCCATGTTTTGTGTGTAGATGCACCTGTGCGAGAGGCAAGCACCTTTATATTGAAAAACAAGCGATATTCAGAAAACTATATTGTTACTGCCAAACACAGCATAACAGAAAACTTACAGATTATTTTTTTTAATGTCGATGACATTTTGAAATTCTTGATTTGAAAGAAAAACAATGCACACTTACAAGTTACATGTACATGCTTTACATGAATGCCCAAGTTGGGTTCTTGCTTAAATACATGTACTTGAAGAAAGAATGTCTCTATCAATTCTTGATAAACCATTTTTTTTATTATGGGGGGGGGGGAGGTTCAAAGTCGGTCTGTTTGTCATCACTTGACAGCTGAAGACTAGAAAACAGTGTGCCTGACGTAAACAAAAATGGGCATACTCCAATAAAATTGCACTTCAATGAATAAACTCTGTCAAATGTGTCTGGAATTGAGTCCAGACAATTTTTGCAGAGTATCCCTTTTTCTTAAGAGTTCTCCCGTTTGAAAGTTGACACAGTCTGTATGTAGTGCACACATGCTGTGCAAGCATCATTACTACTTAACATATCCTTATAATATAAATTTGTAGATTTAGGAGTGCATGATAGTGTGTAGAACACTAGGTTTGTTCATAGTACCGGTAGGCCTATCTCTTATTAAAATAAATTTCCCAACCAAATTTTGGGAATTTAATATAAAAACTGTTTTAAATGGTACTTTTTGGAATTAAGCCAAACTTTTGTAATGTGTTATTTTTTATTAGATTTTTTTTATGATAAAGTAGTCAGTAGTGTTTACTCTGACAAATAATTTACGTTTCGTGTGCAACCACTTAATGTAAACCTTTCGTACAAACCTGCACAAATTCCATAAAACGTTTAACACTTTTAGGATATTTTTGTTCTGGCTGCGAGCACCATAATGTGAGACATTCTGGCAAAGTGAGACGCAACTGGGCATAGACCATAGTGGAGAAAAATGCAAAAAAGCAATTGGACTTGGAGGCAAGTTTTTCCCGATTTTCAGATTTATCGATATAAATTTGTAATCTTTGATACATGCATGCCTACTAAAAAAAAGGTAGGTTTCTTTCATTTTCACAAATCTCGAAACTTGAAATTAAGGGCCTTCTTCTCAGTATTTTACTTTTTTGACATGTCAATAAAATGTGAACTGTCTCTGGCCATGGAGGTAGAATGAAGTTTGTCTGACTGAAGTGCAACAAACAATATTGTTTGTACAGAGAATTTTTTTTCTCTTTCCTTATAGTAATACTACACAATCCCTCATTTCGAGCTCTGCCCAGTCATTTTTCCAGAACGCCTCTCAAGTGAGATTTTTCAGTTATATACTTCCAGTAATCTACGTTGAGTTGTGAGCTTGGAACTGAAAGGCCAACAGAAAAAAAGGTGACAAAACAACCAAACTCTTTTCTGTCACACCAAACCTTGTTAAAAACCACAAGTGCTTTGCAGTTTCCAGAAAACTCTTGTGGTTTGTTCACAGTGGACCAGTTTGCTTCAGTGCCCTTTATGAATGCCTCAATAAACCCGCTGCTTGACCCCTATGACCCCATGCAGTGAAGGGTGATTCACACCTCCTGGCTCTCACTGCCAGACCACACTGAATGGATTTTGGGGATTATTGTTCCCAGTGGAGTCAGTTGGCTAGTGTAATAAATTCCTGAATGTTTTTGTAATGGAGCCAAAGTTGTTTGCATGTGGTTGGAGCTACATGAATGGTTGCAACATGGTTGCAAACAAGATGAGATTTGAAAATAGAACATTTTACGGTTTAAAGGGAATGTACATCATTGGCTTTTGCTGTAATTTTCAGAAATGAACTATTTGGGGGGTTAGTATAATAGATCAAATATTGTTACACTGACATGTTTGAAGTTTTGTATTCGAAAATGCTGGAAAAACCAAGAAAAACAAAAATATTCAAGTAGTATGGTTCCCTGACTAAAAAAAAATGGTAAATTTGGTGCAGTAATTGAAAAATAGTTAGGTTTTTCCAACGGTGGTCGGCCGACCAGCGTTGGAAATGTAGACAAATATACCATTTCCTGGCTTCACACCAGGTGCCATAATTTTACAGGATGCTTAAGCATGTCATTTACCAACATCCTAGTAAGGTATTTCGTAACAACTTGGTAGTTTTATTTTTCGATGTTTGCAAATGTTGTATTTTCCCTTTAATGAAATAGAATGTATGATCAGAACCATTTGATTTGGGAAGTTTTGGGATTGAAGAGTCAGATGTTATTTATTCATGAAATCACATGAAATGTCACTTAAGAAAAAAAAAAAATGTGTTGATAATTTCAAATGTATACAAAGGGGGGCCTAATTAAACCTTGTTTTCTGTGTATAACAAGGAGAGGTTTTCCTACCCATTTAAAGCACTAATTTTTGGAACTTGGAGGAAAACATCATTTTGATGGAGACGTCAAACTAAATGATCATCCACCTAAAAAAGGCAACGATTTCATCTTCATTTAACATGTTGAGTGGAAATTCTGACAAAAATACAAAAACTTTAGTTGAGTGGAAATTCTGACATTTCATAAAATAAATCAAAAGACACAGTTGATCTTATAATTTAATATTAAATGGTTAACAAAATATACATTACGTAGGCCTCAATGATTTTCAATATCAACAATCATTTCCCACATTAGCAGAATCCTAACAACAGATCTCTCAAAAATGACGTCACAGATTTTGACATGCATTGATCAGCATTTTCTTGGGAGTGAAATTTACGTGACGCACATTGGCCATGTCGGCTTAGCCCGACTGCGTCTGGCCGTACAGTACTATCGCAAGCTCTGTAGTACGGCCAGACGCCCGATGCTTCCACAGAGACTGAATTTTGTTGGCCGCCGATGTAGCGATTTTGCTACATCTTTCGATCGCGATTATCTTTTCATCCAGGACACAAATTTCCAAAGTTAAGGTTCGTAGTCGTAGAGCAACTCATACCTTTTCGAAAAAACGTTGTTTGGTCTCAATATTTTCATCCATCTGGCCACAAGACGAATTTCAGTCATCAGATTCCACAAATATCGTCCCCCATGCGATCCCCCATGCGATTTCAAGATGGCGGCCGCGCTGTAATGTATGCAATATGCAGGCGCACCCGCGCAAATCATGAATATGCATAAACAATCTGTGACGTATGACCTCGTGTTTTTGGAAGTACGGCCCCGCCGCACGCACGTCCAAAAACACGAGGTCATACGTCACAGATTGTTTATGCATATTCATGAGTTTGCGCGGGCACGCCTGCATATTGCATACATTACAGCGCGGCCGCCATTTTGAAATCGCATGGGGGATCGCATGGGGGACGATATTTGTGGAATCTGATGACTGAAATTCGTCTTGTGGCCAGATGGATGAAAATATTGAGACCAAACAACGTTTTTTCGAAAAGGTATGAGTTGCTCTACGACTACAAACCTTAACTTTGGAAATTTGTGTCCTGGATGAAAAGATAATCGCGATCGAAAGATGTAGCAAAATCGCTACATCGGCGGCCAACAAAATTCAGTCTCTGTGGAAGCATCGGGCGTCTGGCCGTACTACGGAGCTTGCGATAGTACTGTACGGCCAGACGCAGTCGGGCTAATGTCGGCTGTGCCGTATTTAAAGGAAATTTCGAGCAACATGCACGCGTGTTTAGAACATTTTGCACACTGTGCGCACATGTACCTGATGTGATAGCGTTGAATACGCAGTTGTAATTTTTCTAAGAAGATGGGTGTCTATGCGAGGGATCTATAAATACAGAATTAAACATTTTCCACAAATTTGTCATGCAAGCATTGGCAACACGGATCAGCCCTTCCGTCAGTGTCCGTCATGTCTTCATTCTCTCAAAAAATAAACAAGGAAAACATGCAAATATATATGCAATTGTACACCGCACTCTTTTCATAATATAATTTAAAATTTTAAAATTCACATCACAGAACAAGCCAGTGGAATGGCATTAACAATGAAAATACTTCACTACTTCATTTCTTCTTTAAAAAAAAAAGATCTTATTCTTAAAAATGTCTTACCGACAAGTCCGCCGACAAGAAAGCACGCAATCTGAACGAGCAGCAAACACAAGCAGAAGAAAGACAGCTTTTTCGTGCTCAAATTCTCCAAAATTGCACCCGCCATCGTCCTTGGAGGAATCTCCAACAATTCCTTGTTACAGAATTTCACCCAAAGGGACGTAAAAACGGGACGCTTGTAGGGGTTTCAAGCAGAGAAATCAAGCGACTTGGGCAGACGGCCAGACGTCAAAATTTCCTTCGCCGAATTATTAAGCCTACTTTGCTGGGGGTCACCGGAAGTTGTTGAAAGTTAAAGTTTTCTACGTTAAAGTTGCGCCCTCTTGCGTTCAAAACTGTCACATGTATCGTTCACTAATAACTTTGACTAGTCAAAAAATGTACAAATATTGTTTATCATAAATTTTCACCAGCTACTTACAGCATTTCTTTTGTCTAGCACATTTATATCAAGAATATTTTGCGTATGAGTAATACCACATACTGTGTACATGCTAAATAGGTGGTAAATGTCCAATACAGAATGCAAATATGCATGGGGACAAAAAGCAGATTGTGTTTCAAGATAAGACGGCCAATATGCACTCGAAACCCGTCAATTGATAACAAGTGTAAACATGATGTTCAACATCACGAACAGTCAACAGTGCGAGAGGGATGACTGACATTGTCAACTATTCTTTTGTCAGATTATAATAGATTAATTCTTCCACCCTCTTTCTATTCTGAGAGTACCCCTAGCTCCCTTTCCAAATTTTCGGCGGGGCGCACCCGCCTGCAGCAGCCGGACAATTTATGCAAACATATATTGACCTTCTGCGTAACAGCCATTTTAGAGGGTAATGCCTTTGTTTCAAAATTAAAATATCAAAAGATGCCCTCGTAAGATGGCCGGAATACATAAGGCCTGTTACCGTCCCATGGAAACCGTGATGCTGGCTAAATGTACTTAATTGACTTTCTTTTTAAACTTCTTGTAATATTTTCTTTAATTTGGGGGCAGCATCCCACCAAAATTCACCCAAAGTTTTGTGAACGATATGTGGCGATTATGCAATAATAGGGCCTCTTCTGTTGAATTTGTACAAAATGCTGTCTAAAAAAACTTAACAAATTCAAGAGAAGTATGATTTCTGATAAAATACATACAAATATGGACTTTATTGGAATCTGTAATCTACTAGTTTTCTTGGTATTTCAATGTACATTATTACCTTCAAAATACATTAAGAAGATATCAATGATTTAATTGATATGCCACAATCATTGATTTAAAACAGATTATGAGAATAAAGGAAATTTATATCTAAAAAGTTCCATTTTGGTTTCGCATAAAAAAACAAAAGTGATGCTGCTTTGTTTCAAAATGAGAAATTAAAGCAATATAAAATTTAGCGTGCTGTTTCTTGAGAGCTGATATGACACTCTGAACACCATAAAAAAGTATTTTTCGATTCACTTAAAAATTAAATGCACTGAATAACATGTTTTGTTCCAAAATTAAGAATTAAATTGACAGAAAATTTAGCATGCACTGTTTCTTCAAGATATTTTGGGGATTATATGAGACATTTGGCATCATTCATTCACAAAATTATTACACATCTTATTTAAAACTGTAAACATTCTAAAGGTTCTTGGTATATTTTAGACCAAAAGTTGATGAGCTGATGCATTGGTATGAGTCGCACAAATCCAGGATCTAATTGCAAAAAAAAAGATAGAAATGCTTTAGCTAAGGCCACACTAAGGCCCAAAAAAAAAGGCTTCGGTTTCTGGTACGGAGCTTGCCCCGAAAGTGGTGCGGCGACGCGGCTGTTTTTTTTTTTTTTCTTCAAATGTCGGCTGATGACTGCAAATGGTGCCCAACTAAATTTAGTGCAAAATATATGGGAGTCCAGAGAGGCCACATAAAGCTTATACTTGATTGTAACCCCATCTAAAACATGTTAAAATTGTGCAGCAGCAGGATTACAGTCAAACCAGTGAGTTTGGCGGTTTTCAGACATCATAATTTCAGACATCATCTTACATTGAATTTTTTTTTTTCATTTTGCTGACGCGCATGGCTACGGCGACGAACGCATACCAGAAACCAAAGCCTTTGGGGGGGGGGGGCCTAAGCAACTAAAGGATAATATTGTCAGTTAAAAAAAAAAGGCCGAAAATTTGATGAAAAGTTTGATGCATTTATTTCTTTTATTGATAATGTCTTTCTCCCAGATTAAAAAAGTCTGATGTCATCATGAAGTCTGAAAAAAAATCTCACGCATGCAGCTCTATGACTCTTTATTTTGTTTTTGTTTTTTGGCTTCTTGTTCTCTCAAGTACTTCATTCTGTATCCGTGCTTTCTAGGATTGATCCCGTACGCTTTGAGTCTAGCGTCAGAAACGGTGGTACCCGTCACAGCTTGGGGTGATTTCTGTTTCTTTGCGAGTCTCCTGTTGCGGTTCTTGTTGCGAGTCCTGTTGCTTTTGGAGGTGCCGCTGGCTGCTGCGGCTGCTGAAATCTGCTGAGCGCTTTGTTTCTTGCTCTGTTTCTTCTTAGATGAAGGTGACGCTGCTGATGCAGGCTGAATGTTCTTGGAGGCATCTTTGCCTTTTCCGTCTGAAACTTTTACAACTTTACTGGATGCTTGGTCTTTCTTTGTGGATTCCATCGTCAGTGGCTTCTTTTTGAGCTTTTGCTTGATGCTTGCGAAGTCCGACTTGCTCCTTGGAGTTGTTTCCGTGGATGGTTTCGATGAGATGGTTTCAGAAACATTGTGCTTGTTGTTTTGGGTTTCTTTGTGGCTCTGCTTTGGAGTTGGTTCAGACTGCTGCTCACTATTTTTCCGTTTCCTTTTCCGCTTCTTCGAGTCAGTCCTGCCTGGAGATTGCAAATCTGTTTGAGGTGGTTCCAAATGAATACTTGCTTTGCTTTTGGTATCCATGTCTGAATTGTTCTGAGTTTTTCCCACTTTTGTTTTCTGGTTTTTCTCTGTCCTATGTGTGTTATCGCTGGTTTTGGTGGCAGAGGTGGGATCAGTGCGTGATGCAGCATTCTTCTTGATGTTGGACAGACCAGGAATGTCCAAAATTTCACTAGCGTAAGCGTCAATAATCTTGAGTTTAGGCTTGTCCTCACTATGACTCCTTTTCCTTTTCCGTTTCTTTATAAGAGGCTTTGCAGCATTTGTCCTTTCTCCATGGACGTCTTTGTTACCAGATTGCTCAGATTTCTCGTTCTTCACAACGTCCACTCTTTGTTTTATTGAAGTGCTGAATCCCCTGGTATTACCCCTGGTGCTTTTCTCAGTGGGAATTGTTGACTTGGATGAGTCTGGTTTAGGATCAGTTCCCTTTGAGGCCTTTCTAGTCTTCTTCGATGTGCCCTTTTTCTTAGAGACGTTTTCAAGGTTCGCTGGGTTTTGGACTCCCGTTGAATTTGTTTCTGACTTTGGTGCTTCCTCAAGGTTTCTGTTAACTGATCTGCCACTGCTCCTGGTAGAAGATGGGTCTGTTTTGACCTTTTTAGATGGACTGCCTGGCTCAGATTTTTGCTTCTCGGGTGAGCTGGGAATGGTTGAAGCCTTTGCAGTTTTCCTTCCTAACTTTTTGGTTTGGGACGTGGGCTGTTTGCTGGCAGTATTGGACACCTTCTTTGGTTTTGTTTCATCTCCACTGTCTTCACTGTCACTCCTTAAAAAAGAAAAAAAGAGTGAACAAATGTGAAAAAATACAAAATTTAACGCTACTGAAATATCATAGACCTGCACCGGTAAAAACACTTATACTTTATTTTGGGTATTAAAAAATGTTTCTCCTGAAAGTGAAGCGTGTTCAAAATATTAAGTCGGAGAGCAGCCCTAAAGTTTTGAATGACCACTGGAAATCGAAAATTTGCTGGAAAATTGAACAAGACTGGCAAGGCTAGTACAGCTGCTCCCAAACCAAGTTGGTCTATGGGTTTGGGAAGTTATCTGAGTCAAATTTTTGGGCCAAGGTGGGGCTTAAGCAAGTCTAATTCACAAGTGACAGGCAGTCAGTTCTGCAGTGAGTCAACAGTAGCGGATCTAGAAGGGGGTTGGGGAAGGGGGTTGGAGAACCCCCCCCCCCCCCCATTCAGCTGCAGACTGATGTTGTGAAACTAATAAAAAGGGGCCAAGAATAATCAATGGATTGCTAAACTACCTGAATTTATCCTCAAATTGCCTTAGAATGCAGGAGAAAGCATTGTAGATTTCAAAAATGTTCCCCTAGCAAGGCGCGTTCACTCAACACCCTCCCCCAACACCCCCCTTTCCTGAAATCTAGATCCGCCCCTGGTTAGTGAGTAGGGACAAAGAAGGATGGCCCTCTGATGAAAAAAATGACAGTTTCTAAAACTTACTGCAAACAAGTATTACAATACGGGATAAATAATTAGAGGCTATTTTCAAGACGAGAATTCTGACAGAAATCAGACAACTTTGACATCTTTATCCAAAATCAATGTTTTTTTTTTAAAAGTAAAGTCAAATAATTGACTTACGGTTTCTCCAAGAGACTAAGGAAGACCCGTCGCTTCTTGGCTTCATTTTGGGCTTTCTTGGCAAAGATCCTCCTGTCTCTTTCCTCTTCTTCTTCCGTTCTATTGAAATAATAAAAAATATCATTTACAATTAACAACACTTCTAATTTGGGCCACTTTTTTCCTTTGCGGTCAAACTTTTCTGATAGATATATTCTGGGTTTCCTCAACAGGACTATACTGCTCCTGAATAACATCATGGTTTATTTCAGGAAGTTATGGGAAATTATTGGTCCCTCGGTGTTGGCTAATTTTTTACAAACTTAAAATGCGTCAAAATTGGGAGGCATTCAAATCGGCCAACATGTCTAGGCCAGTTTCGCACTGTTTTCACAAAACAGACCATACATATTGTTTTTGTTGTGTCATACCACAGTCTACGTAGCTTTATTATCAAAAGTTGAAAAAATAAAACAAATCTCGGTCAACATTTGTTCTTTACTGCCTAACTGTTCTAATAGGGTTATGTTTTTTTCCTCATACGTAACATCATTATCAAAAGTTGAAAAACAAAGTGTGAAGTCCCTCCAACAGAATGCATATAATAATTTTTCTGTCGTGAAGGTTTTTTCAGGACTGAACACCAATAATCGCTCTTGCGATTGCTACTGTCAACCTGACATAAATATGTAAGACATGTACAGTCGGAAAACTAGGGGCTTAACTTGGGTAGTATGTGTATATCTCTGGTACTACCAAATGGTTGGATGATTGTACGTTCATTGCACATGCAGAAAAGCAACTTTTACTTCCCTGACAAGTTCAAAAATTGACATATGGAAGAAGTGCGTTTGGGGTATAAATATGTAAGATGTGTACTAATACAGCTACAAGTGGTGCCAATCTACATAGTAAGTGCCCACCTTGGTAACCGCCAACTACCACTGTGTGTCACTGGTAACCACCTTGGATATACCACTAACATAACGTCATAGCTGGTACCCACCTGTACTGGCAGGTTTTCTTGAGTGAGGCCCATTGGTTCAACTCTCTCTCCTTAGCTGACAGTATCTCCTCCGTGGTCAAGCCAAAGTCGTTGGGGACAACTTTACGATATTTGAATCGGCAAGGAATGTCCCCGATCATGTCCTCATAGTCCAACTTGTAGAACTCCTCGATGTACTCCTCGTAAGTTCTGTCATCTGCGGAGAAAAAAAAGGACAACAGAAATTTTGACTTAATGCTGGGTTGTTTTTTTTGGAGTATTGGGCATTGTGCTTTTCTAAATGAGACTTTTGATATAAGCTAATTAATTCCGTACAGAATCTAGTACAGAAATACAAAGGATTTACAGTGAATGACCTTATGCTATTTTTTCACTGTGTAGGTGATGTTTTTTTTTTTTCCACCATGTAGATGGTGATATTTTTTTTTACCATGTATGGTGATATTTTTGTTTCTCACCATGTACATGTAGATGGTGATTTTGTTTTCGTTTTTCACCATGTAGATTAAGATATGTTTTTTTGTTTGTTTTTCGCCGTGTAGATGGTGATATGGGTAGACACTTGGTATTTTTATTCTTCTAAGAACTTCCCCCTTTTCAAATTACATTTAAATAAAACTGAAAACTCAACACCCCAATACATCAGGACAACACCGAGAAAAATATGCCGTGAAGAACAAAACCTAATATTGAATTTATATCATCCCAACGCAACTTCATTCTTATGAATAGTTTGTTTGCAGCATATCAGCTTCCAACCAGCCAGCCACCCCCGTCAAACTCGGTGGTCAAAAAGCAAGATGTCTGCGCTAGTAAGCAGGAGGTCATGGGTTCGAGTCCCACCCGAGTAGTTTGTGAATTCTTTCTCACAATCAATTTGGGATAACACTGAGTATACAGTGTCTATCAGGCATGCAACTGGGAATTTAGAAAAAAAATGAGGAAATTCCAAACCACACAGGACTTTGTGCAGTGTCTTTCAATTGTAATGGTACTCATGAGCAGTAAAAAACGAGGAAATCAGCGGATCCAAGGAAAAGTTGCATGCCTGGTCTATAAAATATGTCAGCGAAGTGCAAAACCCTATGTTGAATGTACATCACCCTAGAGCAACTTTCATCTTATGAATGGCTTTGTGAAATTGTGCTTTGAACTTCAGCAAGAACTTGCCCCCGAATACATCTCACAGTCGGCTTTCAACTCACCAGGATTGAAGACAGGTTTCTTGGTCTTCAAGACCTCAGCAAACTTAGACAACTTCTTCTTCTTCTTTTTCTTGGACGAACCGATCAGTTCCTGCTGCAAGGCAGCCCTGCGTTCCATGTTGGCTTGCTTGGAGAGAGACGGGTCATAATCTGCATCCATCTGCATTGACATAATAAATGGCCATAAAGTGGTAAGACGTCTGCACTAGTATGCTGGAGGTTACGGGTTCGATTCCCACCCCAGTTCCTTCACAAGCTCTTTTGAAAAAAAAGATATTTTAGGGGGAAAACTAATTCTGTTCAATTCAATGGTTTAAGAATTGTTTACTAATTTAAAAGTTGTTTTTGAAACTTAACTTTTTTGTATGGAACTTGCACTAAAGGGCAGGCACACTTAAAAACACTTTTAAAAAACTGCACTCTTCAGTGATCACACTTTATTTTTTCATCACCTGATGTAGACGCTGTTTTTTGTGTGGTTTATATTTGTACTCACGTTAAAATCTGGGTCTTCACAGTATTGCTCTTCCTCGCCTCCTTCATAATATTCCTCCTCTCCATAGTCCTGGCCATCCCAATCATCCCAATTCTCTGTAAATAAGACCCCAAAAAATGTGACATTAAGAATGGAATTACAGAGTGGACCGTAGCCGAGATGATACTGAGGAATACTGTGATAATTACCAACAGTGCAGCCCACAAAATGCCTGAGAGAATTTATGGGATGGAATTTGCATTGGGAGATATAAAATGTCATCAAATGCAAATTCCATCTTATAAATAGTTTGGTTGTGGCTAATCTGACTACATGCGAAAAATAACAAATGTAATTTCAGAAGCTTTTAGGGCATGTCCTCATGCACATGTATGAGAATGGGTCACCAGTCTAACTTATGAGGGCCTAGTGAGTACACATTGCCTTATACCATTCCCACGTATATAAAAGCTTTAAGTTTTAGTAATGAGGGTGTTTTGCACTCACCATCCTCCCAGTCTTCATGCTCAAATTCAGGCTTTGTGTCTTCCTCAGGCAAGGCGTCATACTGCTCACTGAAAATTTTCTGCGGAGGGAATAATTAACGTGTTCTTCATTCTTAGCTTCAAGTTTACGCATGTCTCTGTGGTGTGTTGAGATATAATCTCCTGTGGGGTATGGATAACACTTGAAATGTCTGCACAATTCTTTTGTGTGGTTAAGCTCAGAACAAGCAGGCAGATTTGGTCATGCTTCACTGCTCTCCGCATAGCTTTTTTGTGTGCAGTGACTCTCTGTTTGACAGAGTTACTTTTAAACTACATATCCCTTCACATCAAACAGGTTTTAAACGGTTTTACATATTGCTCTGAATACTGACTTCTAACTAGGAGGGTTAAGGCCACACAAAAAAAGTATCAGGTTTCTGGTCTGTGCGCTTGTCACCGTAGCCATGCCCGTCTACAAAATTAATAAGGTGTTTTTTTTCAGTGTAAAATGATGTCTCCAAACCGCCAAACTCACTGGTTTGATTGGAATCCTGCTGCTGCACAATTTTAATGTGTTTTTAGATGGGGTTACAATCTAGTATGAGCTTTATGTGGCCTCTCTGGGCTCCCATATATTTTGCAGTAAAGTTAGTCGGGCTCTATTTGCAGACGGTGTTGCAATTTTGTAATTGTGTGTCTGGAAGCCAGACTGAGGGAGCAATGGTCGTGTATCTGGAACCTGTAAACGCTTTTTTATTAGCGCAATATGTAAGGGAGCAGACTAATGACCAGCCTGGTAGCTCATGCACGATGTCGATGTCGCTGTATAGTCTGACATTACCGTTTTCTCTGATTTTTGTCTTGACAATCCAAATTTCCCAAAGAATGTTCGTGTTGGTCGAGATCGTAAGTGGGTGCAGAATTCTCGAGCCTTATGGCCTTACTGAGGTCTAGCTCCACTCTGAAGGGTATTTTTGAGAGTTTTAAGGGGATCGAAGTGTCATCTGCAACATCAGCCGACGTTTGAAGAAAAAAAAAGTTGGGGGAAAAAAAAAAAAAAAGGCATCGCCGCACCACTTTTGGGGCAAGCTCTATACCGGAAACCGAAGATTTTTTTTTGGGGGGGGGGGGGGCCCTAATGTGAGTTGATATACCACTTCAGATGTGGCTAGGGCTAGACAGCAGACATGGCTAGCGCTAGACAGCAGATGTGGCTAGGGCTAGACAGCAGATGTGGCTAGGGCTAGACAGCAGATGTGGCTAGGGCTAGACATCAGATGTGGCTAGGGCTAGACAGCAGATATGGCTAGGGCTAGACAGCAGACATGGCTAGGGCTAGACAGCATATATGGCTAGGGCTAGACAGCACACATGGCTAGGGCTAGACAGCAGATATGGCTAGGGCTAGACAGCAGACATGGCTAGGGCTAGACAGCAGATGCGGCTAGGGCTAGACAGCAGATATGGCTAGGGCTAGACAGCACACATGGCTAGGGCTAGACAGCAGATATGGCTAGGGCTAGACAGCAGATGTGGCTAGGGCTAAACAGCAGATATGGCTAGGGCTAGACAGCAGACATGGCTAGGGCTAGACAGCAGATGTGGCATGGGCTAGACAGCAGATGTGGCTAGGGCTAAACAGCAGATATGGCTAGGGCTAGACAGCAGATATGTCTAGGGCTAGAAAGCAGATATGGCTAGGGCTAGAAAGCAGATATGGCTAGGGCTTAGACAGCACATTGCCTTGATTGTTAATGATTAACAATTTTTGTACCTGCATGGCGTTGTCGTGTTGCTCCGGATCAAAGTCCCCTTCTAGATCCATGTCCTCAAAGCCGACGGCAGTGTTGCCCGTCACTTGACGTAGCTTCTCCAACTTGTCCAGGATTTCTTGCTTCTTGAGATTCTTCAGCTGTTTCAGCTCCTCCTTTTTACGTTCCTTATCCTGCAGCAAGGGGGATTCAAGATTTGAAGGAATGAGCAAGGTTGATGCTTTGGGTTCTTTAACCTCTTCTACATCAATAATATTCAGGTTTGATTCATTCTAAGGGCAATAATTTTGAAATTTCTCTAAATTTATGTGGAAATTCAAAGGACAACATTTGAAACTTTAAGTCAACTGGAATGAATGATGGCAAATCTTGGTAATGAAAAAAGAAGACGAGATAGATGATTTGTATTTATTGCTTATATATTTATTGCTTATTTATTTATTATTTAATTTTATTGAGGTATTTATTTGTTTCTTTTTTTAGGGCAGAGGATTATGCAAGCGAGATTTTCTTAATTATAAAATTGCACCTGAAAAACAAACTTGTTTTGGTAAAACATTTTGTACTATTGCTGGACTTTATTTTTCTCTTCATAGTACAAGTACAAGTGAGTAATGAAACTCAGTGAGTATCTTGAAATACTCCACCATACCTGTTGTTTTCTCTCCTTCCTATCCTGTCTCTTAACGGCTCTCTTGTTGTCCTTGACTCGCACCGAGCTGGCCATCGTCCGTGGGTAGCGTTTGATCTGAGAACAGAAAGTTTAAGTCATAGCTTAAACAGCATTGTAGTTGAGTCTATCAGAAGTCCAGGCACAAGTCCAGTCTGACGTTAATCACAATTAAGTGTGCAGACCTGCAAATCGACTCAAATAGACTCAGGGCAAAAATTGTGATCGGGCTTCATGAACATTGAACTGCTTGAACTAGTTTAAACTGGCCCATTACTCCAAATGCATTAAGGTTCGACTATTAAGTTCAGCATTTAGAGCAACTACCATGCTGTAGATGAGCTACTGCCGCACTCATTTAAGTAAAGTTCGGCGCGGCAGTAGCACGGCGTCTAAGACAGGCATGAGTTACCAGAGAGGTTTACTGTAACTCCCTCTACAAATTTTAACTCCATAGTCATGTTGCCAGAAACTTTCCAAGATTCCTCCACTGTGCAGGAAATCAATGGCACTTAATTTGAACTTTGACCCGCAAGGAGCTTGTAAAGTAGCAGTGGCTGGGTTCTTCAATCCTCAGTGCAAGGTCTTCCAATACTGCCTGGTGAATTTTAGGAGGATAAGAGCTATATTTGGGTTTTGTATAAACACTGAAGGTGCCATGATAAAACCATGACGTACAAATTCTGAATCTGGTTCCTCATAACGGAAGTTGTATTTCCTCTCAAATTCATCCTGGGTGTCTAGAAGACGTTCCTCCTCCGAGAAATCTGCCTCCTCTAGCTCAATGCCGGGCTCATCTCTGAGAACAAAATAAGAAGTTTTCAATCAGTACCAGTGTTCAAGTCGAGTCCATCACAAGTCCAGCAACGAGTAACCCACAAGTCAATTTTCAAGTCCGCTCACAAGTAACGGGTGATGAATTATAACAAAAGGAATGCCTACGTCACAGTCATTTGAATAGCTTGTGACTGGGGTTGTAATGGCCTTAAAAAACACGCTACTGTTACACAAATACAATTTGTATATTTTGTGTTGTATCAATGTCAAGAGGTCAAAAGCATCAATTGAAATACGGGTTTGACTAGTCCAATATGTAACTGTTGACATGTTAGGTTGTTAAGTTGTTCTCAATTCGGGCGTTTCACAATGCAGTGCGCCACCAAGAGTTTGCCACGGAGAGTTCATTTTTCCCAGTGCATTGTGGGAGATGGTCGACAAATTTGCAGCGCGGGACATTTGAAATTGTTAGTTTTTCCGGTCAGTAGTTTCGCAAGCGTATGATTCAAGGATCTGCTTGCCTTTTTCTTTTCTTTTTATCAATATGGTGTTTTTTCTAAGGCGGCAGAATGCTATGCTCCAATCCTTTACAAAATAGCTCAAGGTGTCTACTGATACTCTTTCAAATAGGCAGTGTTTTGTCGACTGTAAACTTGAAAAATGGACTCTCCATGGCACACTCTTGGTGGCGCACTGCATTGTGAAACGCCCGAATTGTGAGAATTTACCAAAAATCTCAGTGGGTAAGAGTACAATGCTAGCATGAGTACTTTATCAATGATTATGTTATAGCTAAGTAACTTTTTGATGAGTTTTAGTACAGACAAAGGTGTACAAGTGAAAACATCTGAGTATTACAACTCTGAAGATCAGGGGTGATACAATCCGTTTGCTTGGTGGGTTTAGGTTGATAACGTTTGCTTCAGAATGTCATAACTGGCAAGTTAGTCGGAATTGGAATGTTCCATTGTCTTACCCCTCCTCATCTTTCGCCTTGTACCCTTTGTTCAGAATGAAGTCGCGTAAGAATTTCTCCCCCTCCTCCAGAGATGGATCGGTCCAGTATCTTTTCAAAGCTTCCTGAAACCAAAAACCATAACATTTCCCAAAGACTATTGTAATGACTACTGAAACAAAAATGAACGATGCATACCCCGTGCTCTTTGAAAAACTGATTTTCAATTTGTGTGGTTTGTTTTAACAAAAATCTACTTTATTCCGATTTTGGGCGTCAGAGACCCTCTATAAAAGGGCTTTCATTTTGAGCATAACCAACCCCCTGCAAGAGCTAAATTATTGTCTGGCAGCCAATAATTTTAATTTTGTGAAGAAACAATTCAATAACTAAATGTTCGTGGATGTTTTTCGTTCAATGTCTCATTAAAAAGTGAATAACTTCCGTATTGCTAGGAAAACAGCGATTAAAAAAAAAATTCTATTTTTTCACAATAGCACGGGGAACACGTTTTTAACTAAAACAAGCATGCTTAGGAATGTAAGAATTAGATAATTCGTACCGCACTCTGAAAAGAACTCCCCAATACATCCCAATTTTGTTCACAGAATCTTTATTATTTGCCAAAGAGAAACAGGGGCGAGTTGGTTTGCAATAAATAATGTGCCAAATTTACAAAAGAATTGCTTAGATAATCAACTGATGCACCCTCCAACCTTACTCCATTTTGGAGTCTGAGCTAAAAACAAATTGCATTTTCCAATTAGCGTTATTGAGACATGATGGCAACAATAGGAGAGCCATTAAGTTAATGTGTTCTGAGCAGGGCGAACTGGAATGCAGCCAACATCATTGAGAGATTATGGATTGAATAATAAACCGAGATTGTCCGAGTCCTAGTCTTACCATCTCTGCTGCATCTTGAGCTGTCTTCTCATCGTCCACCGTCTCCTTCCGTCCTTTCATCCACTGGATGTACTCCTCCTCTTCTGCCTTCTGCCAAATCAACAATGAAAAAAGAACAAGTAATACAGATATTTGATAAGTGTTTAATTTAGTTCTTGGACAAAAGCAAATCTGAAACATAAAGTATGTTGTCTTCATCTGCTTTATTATTACTGTTATTGGACCAAGAAACAAGCACATCTAACACTTCTTTGAGTTTCCTGCAAACATTTTTTCTTTCAATTTACTATTCAATCAATATTTTTTGAAAAAAGGGCATGAAAATAGTGACATGATCATATAACGGTCACTGTGATTCAGAGAAATTGAACAGGATAGTAGCACAGAACTAGCACAGAACTGACAAAGACTTATCAAGCACAGTACAAACCCTGCCATAACTGGTACCCACTGATTCATTTCTAAAATGAATTGCGACAAAGTATCTTGCTCAAGGACACACAAGTCTAGCCTTACCCTCTCTCTGGGTGTTTTCGGCCTCTTCTTCAAGAGGATATCATCATCGCTTTCGTCGCTGCTCTGCAATGCCTTTTGAAAACTGCAGAAAAAAAAGAGGATTTCCTGTTACGATTGCACATGAGAACAATGCGACATTCCACATTAAATGTTAATCAGTCCACAAAAGCTATCTCCACTCAGTGCAACCAGTGAAACTCTTTAATTTCAAGCCAAGATGTAAAAAGACATCCTCCTTTCTCTAATTCTTTTTTTTAATTTGAAATTCCACAATTTTAAAACACCTTGCAACCCAGCTTAACCCAGCTGAACCCAATATGCCTATTAATACTCAATGGTTACACAGCACGAAAGCCCAGAACAGCCTACCTGAACCTAGCACAAACGCATCAAGTCTATCTTTGTTGAATTAATTCCCTGCTCCTGGACACTGGTTTGAGACGCCACTCTTCAAAAACTCCTTGCAACCCATTCCAACCCAGCTGAACCCAAAATACCCACTGACACCCACTTGATACACAGCATACTAACTCCAGAAAACCCATATTAACCTAGCATACGCCTATTACATCTACCTGTGTTTGATCATTTTTTACTTCTGCCTGTACATCTGAAACGCTGCTCTTTCAAACTCCTGTTACCTATCTCAACCCAGGTGAACCTAATGTACCCATTGATACTCATTGGTTTCACAGCAACCTAACCCAGAGCAACCCAGTTCAACCCAGTATGCACCCATTTGGAATACCTGTCCTTGATCGCTCTTTGTTCCTGGACGTAGGTCAGAGACGCTGCTCTTCCAAACTGTTCCTCATCCTCCTCCTCCTCATATTCTTCATCGCTATAGCGACCACCCTTCTCCGTGATAATCTGGCGCTCGTAGTCCTTCAGGAAGACCGGTTTGTCTTCCTTTACTTGTTTCCCCTTTTCTTTCTTCTTCTTTGTGGGCGGGGCATCTCCACCAGAGCTTCCATCAGACGACGATTCTGCAAGATAAAAAAATTCAACCTGTTGACTTGATGACGCACAAAAACACTTAACTTGTTTAGTACACATAAGCTAATGGAGAAAAATGCTAATGGAGAAAAAAGGATTTACATTTTGATGGAAAGAATGACATCTTTCCATCATCTTGGTAGCAAAAATATGTGTAATTTTATGTGTGCTCTTTGAGTGTAAACAGCAAATAAGTTCATAATGAAGTTGTTAATTTCCTAAAACTTACACGAACAGAATCTTAGACAAGCTCATTACAAGACATTTAGACAGAGAAGATATAGAATGGTACAAACCCTGTTCATGATAGAACGTTGCATCCTTGTCGTATATCCGTGGATCTCTGCTCTTGACATAGGACAGTGTCTTCAAGAAGTCTTTCTCAATTTGTGCTGTAAGACCCTGAAGGAAAGATTTAAAAATCCTGATTAATTGGAACATTAATAGCAGACAAAATATAGATCAGGGTGGAGTGATGTCAGGTTTCATCATTTGCTGTGTGTTACCATTCAGCAATCCAGCAGTTTTCATTGGTTGCTATAACCATTCGGAGCTCCAAACTCAAGAACCATTGATTTCAAGACCATAGGTCTGGGAGCTAGATAAGCCAATGTGAAAAATCCCCTGATGTCCGCACCCACCTTTCTCTAGGAAACGGTATTTAATTTTTTGGGGGGCAGATTTTGCCGAATTTTGCCGTCTTTTTGGCTGTATTACCTCCGCATCCTCATCTTCCTCTTCTGATGACGAACTGGAAGATTCTTCAGCAAAGTTCTCCCCGTATCTGTCTTTTACTGGAAAAGAATTTGGATGAGAACGATGATGTGTTCAAGTGTGGCAATATAAACCAGCAAACAACTTTATTTTTAATCCAATGAAAAAAGACAATTCATTTTAGTAAAAAAATTACATGATTTGGCCTAGGCCTATTTTGATATATTTTTCTTAACAGAAAAAAACAAAGTTTTACACAAAATTTTAAACAAAAGTGGCGGTCACGTCAGAAAAAGTCTGGAAAAAATGTTGCAACCTGACCTGCTGACGTCACTTTTTTCTTCATATATCATCTCAATGATGGTCAGTCATTGCAAAAATGATGATAAGAGTTTTAAGACTTGAATCTGGGACTGAGAAACATTTCCAATTAAATAGACTTTGTACACAACCATAGACTTTGTACACAAACACAACAATTTTGTTAGGAAATTCCTCCATGGAAATACTTAGAAAATTTTCTTGACTCTCCATAGACTTTGTACACAACCGCTGAAGTAGCCTCAGGTTGCAAACATACTTTCCCAACCCGAACTTCTACATACATTTTTGCAGCTCTTCCTTTCTCCTCCATTTATCGTAATTTTCGGCAAATTTCGTATTGATACGAAACTCCAAGTCGTCTTCGCTGCCCGACATGCTGGATTCTGGAGTAGTCTGGTACACGAAAGCCTACATACGTACAAGATGTGCAAGTGACTCGTTTCGAGGCAAACACCCGACCATGTTTCACCTGCGCTGGTGAACTGCAAACATGTTCAATTGTGCACATTTTGGCCGAGTACCACTAAATATGGCTGCGCCCATGAACATGATGAACCGGGACAGTTGAATGTCATAAGAAACTAGCCCTATCAACAGTGATCGTCAGCGGTAAACAATTTGAATTTACAAATTTTGAGTATAATAAGAGGGGTTTTATCTGTGTTTTCAAAAAGGATGCGTAGCTTGCTTATTGAGAGCAATCTTTAGCAGTACTCTAGCCATAGAGCATAGAGTGGCCAGTGCACATACACATACATACATGTAACATGATGATGACATACACATAATTATACCTCCATGCACAGACTTGCTGCATACTGCTGAGCCGGGGGCGGGGCACGGAGGCGGGAGGGGGGGGGGTAGTGCAAAACCAGCTAAACGGGCTGGGACAGGCGAAGCAATTATCAGTGATTGGGGGGAAGTGCATTAAAAAGATAACCGCAATTTAATCGAGCTATGTTATGTAGAACTTTAAATAAGTTGGTTGTTAGTTTAATTTGTATAATTTGTCAAATGTTGGGTGCAATCGGTCGATTTGTTGAGTGATGGGTCAATTCTGTAGGATATCTCGGACTTGACTTACCTCTTTAAAAAAAAACTCCAGAGTTGTAAATTAGAAAGAAAAGTGTTTGATAGGTGGCAGCGGGATCGAACAATAGCGTTGCGATCGACCGATGCGCAACATTTGACCAATGGCGCACATCAACTGAACGCGCTCAACATTAACATGATGTATTTGGTCTACTTGTTTGTTAATTTTATGTTTGTCTATTTTAATTTAATGATCAACAGTCAGTCAGCCAGTAACCATGCGTTTATCAGGTCTTCAGCTCCTGCTGCTATGCATTGTGGGTGAATTCCTGGGACTGGACATCTTCTTGAAGGGGTTCTTTCCCGTTAAGAAAGCCGTGGAGGGCTATGCAACATTCAACAATTTACCCAGGGAGCCATTGGAAAGCATGCCAGCAAGCGAGGGCCTCCCATCAGATGAACCAGATTCTGGTAGTATAAAAAAATAAACCAGTTTCTCGTCCCCACCCACTTTCTTTTTCCCGCCTGCCTCCTTTTTTTAAATTCATGCATTTCCAATATATTTTGAAAATATACTGTCAATATATTGTCTTTTTATTTGTTTCCAACAAAATTGTAGCCATTGAAAAGTTGAACAAAGAAATTGACTGGAGCGGGGCTTGAACCTGCGACCTCCGGATTACTGTTCCGGAGCTCTACCAACTGGGCTACCCAGCTTATTATTAGCGGTTCCCTAATTAGTCAATATCTTTGTTCAAGGGGCGCTAGTCAGAAGCCATAAACCAGTATGCCATACAGCCAGGGATCACGCCCAAAGTCACGATACATACATGCGGTTCATTTTAAAATTGTAGCTAGATATAGAAAGGGGACGACTCCTTTGGACACTATTTTGATTCAGCAAAAGAGTTGAGAAAATGGAAGAGTCCATCCACCATCTTGAAAAATCGGCAATCTTTGGGGAAAAAAAGGGGGCCAACTCCTTCGTTTGTTTCCAAACGCCCAAACGAGAAACTGTTTATTTTAAAAACTTAGCCTTACTAATGACTCATTATTGTTGAAGTACATTCCGTCAGAATAAAAGTAACCATACTCGCTTTTCTAACTTTCATTCGCAGGTGTTGCTCCGATCGGTCCGGTTTTCGGTCGCCTCGTTGTTATCCTGATCGATGCGTTGAGGGCGGACTTTGTCTACGGAGAGCGCAATAAATACGACATGCCATATACGAGGATGCTCATCGGCTTAGGTGGCACTAGGAGCTTCCTAGCAAGGGCACATCCTCCAACAGTCACCATGCCTAGAATCAAGGTGGGAGGTCTTCTCATGAAAAATTAATCCCTTCCCCCTTTTTTTTTGAAATGAAAAAAAAAAAACCACAAAATTTAAGGAGTTAGAAGAAGCTAACTGGAGTTTTGTCGATAAGACAGGAGTCATATGGTAATGAAACCAAGGTTTCCTCAAAAGTGCGCTTGGCACTGCAGCTCGCAAGCCAGAAAAAACTGTAGAGAGGAGACAGTGAGAAGAAATTACAGTTTTAAAGGTGGGAGGAAAACCCCAGAAGATTATTCTGGGGAAAACCCACGGAATCAGGTAGGGACTGAAAACCCAATCCACATGTGGTCCAGGGTAGAAATAAAACCCGGGCCATAGCGGTGGAAGGCAAGGAAAGAACTGCACCAACCATGGGGGAAAGGGAGCTGAAATTGTCCCGAGGGCTCATAACAACATCTATCTTAGTGTTGTATTCAAGTCTATCACAAGTCCATATCCAGTCCTGTTAAAAGTAAGCCACAAGGACTTTCGCAGCTTGTCACAACTAACACGTGGTAAATGGTATCAACGGAATTCTTTTCTCACAGGTAATTTCAATATCTTGCGCCTTGACTTGAAACTGGCAGGACTTGTGATTGACTTGTTAGGACTCGTGAAGGATTCGACTACCAAACTGTAATCTATTGTGATTGAGGATTTCTTTGGTCTATCCAGGCTCTGACGTCAGGAACGATTCCCGGCTTTGTGGACATCGTCCTGAATTTGGACTCCACAGCCTTGGTGGAGGACAATCTCATCTCACAGATGCATCGTCAGGGTCGACAGCTCTACTTCTACGGCGACGATACCTGGATGAAACTCTTCCCAGGACACTTTGCCGATGCTGATGGAACCACGTCCTTCTTTGTTACTGATTACACAGAGGTGAGCTGCACTCTTGTCAGCCAAAAATGACATCGATTTTCTCCAAATCAGTTTCAAGTTTCTCAGAATCAGCTTCATGGCATCTGTAGCCCGATTTTTACTGGCTTAAAAGTCAATGTAAACACAAAAGTATGATGTCATGGCAAAGTTTTCACGATACAAATTCGCAAAAATAAACATCACATCTCAACTCCAGTGAATTTTGTTGCGAAAATGTTTGTGACATCAAGTTCTCTTGGTATTTGCACTTGTGTAAATTATGAAACGGTCTTCAGGCAACTGCCAAATACAACTTACATGTCAATTTTTTTAATGATGGGATTTTTTGCCCTGAACTAATGTAACTTTAACCCTAACAGCCCATAACCAATCAAACTCCAACAGTGGGTTAGTGTTTAAATCTGTTGAGATAGGTACAGTACCCCTAAACAGACGGTCTTTTACACTGGGGTTGGCATACCTCCAGAAACTAAGTCCAACAGTGTGTGTGTACAATTTCCCATGTGGGTGTTGGAATTTGCCTGAATGGGTATGGTTCCTAGTAAATTAGGCTGGGGAGTTAGGGTTAAGCAAGTTATAATCAGTGCTGACCAAGAATTTCGGAGACAACGATAGACAAGCTTACTGGGGTGGGACTCGAACCCATCACCTTCTGCTTACTAGTGCAGACGTCTTAGTATCGACCACCGAGCTTGGCAGTGCTGGCTGGCCAGTTTAATGATAATAATAATAATGGATATTTATATAGTGCTTTTAAGATCTAAGTGTTTTATATTATTATTACATCTGATCATCGTGCCAATGAAACCTTCCAAAGACAATCTCAGCTCCCTGGGGAGTATACAGCTCGATGCTGCCATTTCGGTGCAAAGCAGCTAAAATGAGTCACAATAACCTTCTCTGCCCTCACAGGTGCCCATTTACTCCTGGGTGGGGAGAAGCAATGAGTGCCAAGTGTTTTGCTCATGGACACCAGACCATAACCCCAGGCTGGAATCGAACCCACAACCTGCAGACCACAAGGCCACAACGCTCGACAATCAATCAATCTGGTTTAAATCAAATGTGGCAGTCAAATAAATAAATTATGAGAACATTTGTGAACATTTGTCAATATGTTGTTTCATGACACAGGTTGATAATAACGTGACCAGGCACATCCAACCAGCCTTGTTCAATCCTAACTGGGATGCACTGGTCTTGCATTACCTGGGCTTGGACCACATCGGCCATCTAGGGGGGCCAACCAGCCCGCTGATCTCACCCAAACTCAAGGAGATGGACGGGGTGATTCGCACCATTCATGAAACCATCAGAGAGCAGGTATCTTTCTTTGTCATAGTAGTAAACTGTCTTTGAGGCTTCCTTCAAGCAAAAGGTGTTTAAAAGATTATTGAACTTAAAAAAGTTTGAATGGCAAGGCGGGAAGGATGATTAATGCTAACCCTAAGTGTAAAAGTCTGTGGGACCCAAAAATCCAACTTCACCAAATTTCCTCAAAAGTTCACACGAGGTGCCTAGAGGCCAGAATTGAATTCCCTGAAGAGTTCAACTCATCACATTCAGTTTCCAGTGAGAAAAGAAAATTTTTAGATTTTTTCCAAAATGCCCCCAAAACTTCAACGTTTTCCATAGCCGGCATCATCAAAAAAGTCAGTTTTTGACCCAAATATCCAACTTCACCAAATTTCCTCAAAAGTTCACACGAGGTGCCTAGAGGCCAGAATTGAATTCCCTGAAGAGTTCAACTCATCACATTCAGTTTCCAGTGAGAAAAGAAAATTTTTAGATTTTTTCCAAAATGCCCCCAAAACTTCAACGTTTTCCATAGCCGGCATCATCAAAAAAGTCAGTTTTTGACTCAAAAATCCAACTTCACCAAATTTCCTCAAAAGTTCACACGAGGTGCCTAGAGGCCAGAATTGAATTCCCTGAAGAGTTCAACACCAGGGCATCAACGGCCAATTCTGAGACAATTAGAGCCAGTCTCATTGAACAATGCCACAGTTGTATCCTGCTGCAGTTGGTGACCACAGACTCTGAGGCAGTTTTAAAAATGTCATCTTAATGATTAAACGTTTTCACAATTGAGGTATATCGAGTTCAACTGATAAATTGGGTGATGCTGCTTCCCAAAAGAGAAAGGTAACATACCGCTCCATTAAAGGGGCACTAGGTCCTGAAATCCCCAAAAAATTCATGTTTTGGATAGTTTATTAAGCCTATTTCAAACATCTGGTTGAAAGGAAACCAACCTAATGCCTTACCGTTCCTGAGAAAAGACGGAAAAAAACCAAACGGTTGTTTACATCGGACACGACGGATTACAAATACGTTTTTCGTGTCGTTCTCAGTGTATGATATACACGTTGTGTGTCTCGGGAACAGCGGTGACCAATCACCAATGCAAAAACAATGGTTTCTTCAACGTCCGCAAAAGACGAACACTTCACAAATGAAATCACACCTAGCATCCAAACGGCTCGAATTTATGGGGTCGCAAAAGTGGACCCCGAAATTTGTTTTCGCACGCATAATACAGGAATAACACAAAAACACCCAGTTTTTAAAGGAAAGTTGTCTGCATGTTTATTTCCTCCTTTTAAATGTTCTTTTCGACTAACATCATCTCATTCAAAGCGCGTTGTAGCCCAATTGGGCTGTTCCAGGACCTAGTGTCCCTTTAAAGTCTAGATTTGGAGGTATAAACAATTTTTGTTTATTATTTTTTTTCTCCAGGACAAATCCTTGGCTCTGCCCACTTTGATCATGCTGTGCGGTGACCACGGCATGAGTGATGCAGGAAGCCACGGTGGTGCATCAAACAGTGAGACCATCACGCCCATGGTGTTCATCAGCTCCGCCTTCAAACAGGTTGCAGGTCAGTAAAGGGTCAATGGTCAGAAATAGGTCAAAGGTCAGAAATAGTTCACAGGTCATTAATAGGTCAAAGGTTGTTAAGAGAAAGTAACCCTTCCCTATTTACCTATTTGCACCGGTATTACCTTGTGTTTATTTCAGGACAAGAGCTGTGCTCAAATTTGTATCCTTGTGGAGATACGCACACAATAGGGAACAAAACATTGTATAGGTCTCCACAAGGCAATTTCTATAGATGAATAGGTCTCCACAAGGTTTTCACGAAATAGACATATGGATTTTACTCAAAAACAAGGAATTTCTAAGGTGGGTTGATCAGTCGCAAATGGAAGAGTTTTAGAAAAGGGATATTAAGTCCGAATTTCAGCCAAGGAACTTAATTCTGGTTAAAATAAGAGCATTTTGAAACTTCGCTTTCAAAATTGAAAAACTTTACTACACGAGAACAAAGAAATGTCTCCACAAGGATACAAATTTGAGAGTGGTGGGGCAGTGTGGGGCAGTTTGGGGAGTAACAGGCAGGGCGATTTGGGGCGGTACAGGGATTAAGGGATAAAACACTGCCAATTCAATAAAAAGTTATAATAAAAGTTTTTTTAGTACAGATGGGAAATAACAGTTCCTTGGGGTATTAGAAAAAGATTCTCCGAAACTTCAAAGATAAATGAGATTTTTTACCAATTCAAATAAGACTGTTTTTATTTTGAATTCATTGTTTTATTTACATTTGAATTCACCAATTTGAACAATTTAACAATGTGAAGAAAAATGAAAGCATTCAATTTCCAAAGAAGCTAGCACATGTTATGTCCACGTAACATAGCGTATATGCTTGCCATTTCTTATGGTATTGGCAATAGATCTTCTGCATTACAGACATCTTTGAGGTGCAAGTTTTGTTGTTCATGGGATTCACATGAGTAGTAAAGCATTAATTTTTATTGAATTAAAATCACACAAAAACACCTAACAGCTGATACTAAATGTAAAGGGTATGTAGCCATTTTCAAAAACAGTACAAATTTAAATTCAATTTTCAAAAATCTCCAGAAGCGGCCACACCCCACCCTGATGAGGTGTATCAGATTGATGTTGCCGCCACCTTGTCCCTCCTGATGGGTCTCCCCATCCCCCAGAATAGCCTGGGCGTGGCCGTCCCAACGATGCTGGAGGATAAACTCTCCGCTCGTCAACACCTGAGGGCGCTGCAGCTGAACGGCCATCAGTTGAGCCAGGTGTTGAAGCAGAACGTGGACTCATATGAAACAGGTCAATTGTTGACATTTTTTTCCAAGATTTGAAATGACTCTCTTCAAATGCTGTTCTTGAATAAATGTTTTTCTTGAGTATTTTAAGTATAAACATCATTTGGAAGTAGATATTTGATGGAGTGTTTCATGGTGGTTTTTTCAAAGCCAGCAAGGTCAGAAGTCACAGTTTGTGTCCTTGAGCAAGACACTCGATTGAAATGACTCTCTTCAAATGCTGTTCTTGAGTAAATGTTTTTCTTGAGTATTTTAAGTATAAACGTTATTTGGAAGTAGATATTTGATGGAGTGTTTATCAGGTGTTTTTTTCAAAGCCAGCCAGGTCAGAGGTCACAAATTGTGTCCTTGAGCTTGACACTTGACTGTAATTGCTTCAGTCCACTCTATCAATGTAATTACAGTTATTTTAAAAATACAAGATTGTGGAGTGCTGTGGTCCAATGGTTACAGTGTTCGACTCCTGTGCCTTGGTACGTGGGTTCCAACCCTGACATGGAACATGGTGCTTGTGTTCTTGGGCAAGACACTTTACTCCAATTGCCTCTCTCCTCCTAGGAGTATAAATGGGTCGCTGTGAAGGTAGAGAACAGAATGCGCTGATCTCGAGCTGCTGCAAAAACTGGTCTCATTGCCTGATGAAAACGAGTAATAATCCTGAAGTGCTTTGAGACCTTTGGTATAAAGTGCTATTTCAGCACCATATTATTATATTATTATTATTATATGGTTGTGTCCTTTATGTCATACCCAGTGCTTTCCAAGACCTTATGAGAAAAAATTTGTTGGGTTGGTTAGTTGGGATGTGAACCATTGACCTCCTGCTTACTAGTCAGGTGTCTTAACCACTCAATCAAAAAGCTTACTAGGGTAGGCAGGCCCATATGAATCACATAGTAAGCAGCAAGTACAATAGTCAACAACATTTGATGGAAGATTTTACAGTTATTATCATTTGTCTTTATGAACAGATGAGGGTTACTTGGCCTACCAGCACGCCCTGCGCTCACATGCTGTGTGGCTGTCCCACACGACAAACGGCTCCGGGATAGACACACGGACCATCTCTAGAAAAGCTGCGACGCAGTACGTGAAAGCCATGAGACTGATGAAGGACAAAGTGGCTTCATCGCTGGCTAGATACGACCTGCACGCCATGGGGTGCGGGTTAGTCCTGATGTGGCTGGTAAGTGAATTAGCCCGTACTCAGTAACCATGTACCAAAAGTGCGTGGTACACGCTAAGTTTTGCAGTGCTCTCATTGGTGCGGCTTAGTCTTGATGTGGCTCCTAAGTTAATTAGCCCGTTCTCAGTAACAATGAACTAAAGGTGCATGGTACACACTAAGTTTTGCAGTGCTCTCATTGGACAGTTTGCAAATGACAACTTGTATGCTAGGTCAGAACAAACATTTATGATTGGTTGTTAAAAGGCTGTTGTTAAAATCGGTTCGATCTAAAGTTAATTAGCATAATTTTGTTATAAATCATGTCTTAGGTCTTGTTCCTGCTTTGCTACGGTGCCTCATCACTCAGCATCCCGTCCCATGTGACCTCTGACCTCACACCGTCATTCCTGCTCCTGATTGGCTGTTGCCTAGCGGCAGGCATTACCCATGTTGCATTGTGTACGGCAGCGGGTGGGGCAACCAGCGAGCTGCTGTGTGCACCCTCGGGCGGGGCAAGGGCGCGGTCAGTCACTCTAATACTGATTGGAGGATCTCTGGCCGCCATTCTGCTGTCAGCATTGACCACGTTTGGCTGGTTGCGGCGGATTCTTCAAAGTGTAAGTATGTGGTTCTTATAGTTTAAGTTACATGATGTCACTATTAATTGTTATGTCAAATTGAGTGATAGTGCAGTGGTTGATAAGTAATAGGGATTTTAATTGCCAACCCAAAATGTGACAAAATTTGACGAAATTCAAACTTTTGCAGTAGTTTTCAGTTTCTGTTACCTCCTTTTAATAAGGGAATAAATATGTGTTTCTTCGGTTTTAAAAAGTAGGTTTAAAACCGGTTAAGTGCCTGGTCGCGGATAATGGCCTGAGCCGAAGTCGGTCAAGCATAAATTTATTTCCATTCACAAATACCTTTTCGGTCAAAAATTCAAAATAAGTAAAAATTGACAAAATTCCAACAATTTTGTTCAACTATTTGACTTTATGTTTTGTGAAACATCCCTCTGGCCATGTCTATGGTATGTGCCTCGTGCGCATGGTGCTAAAAAACTCCTTATATGGAGATTTGCGCGCACGGCGCGTACTGCGCGATGTGGCGCAGAACGAAGCGGTGCTTTACCGGCAGTTTAAAACCACCCATGTGACGGGCTCTCAACCAATAGGAATGGGTAAACCGGCTCAGTTATTTATGAATTCAAATGAATTGGATTTTGAAAGTCATTGCCATATGCAGAATATAATTTTATCACAAAACCGAACGAAAAGTAAGTTGAAAATGGCATCAATTGTTGCAAGTTTTCCATTTCCTCACCTTCAACCTGCATCTTATCCTTTCTTATGCTTGTTAGTTTTGCCAGCGACACCATTTATAGTTGAGAGGTTTTAGACTCATAAATATTTGAGGTCTAGAAGACAGACAACTCGCATATAAATCAATTACTTTGGCGGTAATGTTACCTTTTTTCCTCCCATAATTCTCATCCAACAGTTGACCGGCATTTCTTGGTTTGAGAAGTTCCTCCTGGCAGGAACGGTAGGCCACACCCTAACCCTCGCCGCCAGCAGCTTTGTTGAGGAAGAACACCAGACCTGGTACTTCCTGACACTGACATTCACCCTGGCAACCTCCATCTATGCAACAGCCTCCGCGATTGGCCAATCCGGCGACAAGATGGCCGCTAGAGTTGCCATGGGGACTGCGGCAGCTCTTGTTGTCAGTCGGTTGCTAAGGGCGTGGAACCAGACGGGAATGAAGTGGGCCGACCAACCTGATATCGGAGACTGGTTGGTCAGGTGGGTTGGCAAATTGATGTATTTTTCTTTGGATTTGTAATATTTCCCTCCATTTTCAAATACACGTGTGTTCAAACCTCTTACGTTATGGAGCCCAACTGCGAGTGAAAATATAGTTTGGGCTAACATGTTACTAAGTTTAAGTTTGTTTTGTCGTTGCAGACCAGAAAACAAAGTCAGCCTGTCCGTTCTGACTTGTTCGTCCTTCGCAATCATCTACATCGTCCGTTGCTACGGGAGACCCAACTACAGATTACTAGCTGCACTACTAGGTGCTTATCTCTATCGCTACGCAACGGGGGCTGTTACTTTGCCAGTAGCGCTTCCAACTTCACAAAAGTAAGTGCCAATATAGATCCTTTGCCAATCGCAGATCGTAGTTAAAAATCGTCGTTAAAGGTGTCAGCTGAAGGCTGTTTGCTGTAAGCATGGATGCATTTCATGGGTAGAAAAATTGTGACTCCCCATTTGTTGAAAAAAAAATAAAGCATTTCATAATATTTTGAAATGTCTAAGACAACCGAGCAGTAATAATAAGCATTTATTGACATGCGTATTTTACAAATTGATAGCACTCTTACAGTGCAGTGTTGGAAATAAACAGAACTTAATGTGCTTTTATCGCAGTAAATTTACATTTTTGAGTAAACAATAATTGTAAAGGTTTAGATTTTTTAAATGTGACACACTTCACATGCAGTGTCTTGAATTATTAAACTTGCAAAAAAAACAATGTGTTGCACTACTAAATCTGTTTCTGAGAATAAATCAAACACAATAATAAGGAAAATTTCAGTTTACAAGTCAAACAATTTACCGATAGTGTTCAAAAGTTATTTTCCAGTATTTTTCACAAATGTTTTTTCTGTCATTTTTTTTATCAGAGGAACCTATGAGGCGTGGGTAGTCTACTCTCTTGTAATCATTTCGTTGGCGCATTTTGTTGTCAAATACGCCACACTATTGTACGGCCCCCGGAACCAGACTAAAACTGAGCAAACGACCACCGATGACCAGACAGCGAACTCACTAACCACGGAACCAAAAAAAAAAAATTCAAAAGATTTCAGCCGAATCTTGAAAGAACTTTGCGACATTCACGTCATGTTGATGGCCTTGTTGCTAAGGCCGCACAACAGCGGTGTTGTCGCCATGTCGGTGTTACTGCAGCATTGCATTGTTGGTCTGGTGTTACCGTGGTTACGGCTGAGATTGTGGGCTGTTACCCTGGCGCATATATGGATGGGACAAGCTGCATTTTTTGCTCAGGTTTGTGTTGCCGTGGAAACACGGTTATCTGGCATTATTTGTTCAAATTACAATTGTGTAGTAAAGTCAAGTGTGTTTCAAGCCAATATGGCCCATCAGGCTGGTGTTTATCGCTAGTTTACTCGGCATGAAATGACTGAGAATATTTTTTATTCCCCCTGGATGGGATGCCAGTCCATCGCAGTTATCCGCCAGCTAATGCCGGTACCCATTTATACTCCTGGGTGGAGAGAGGCAAGTGAAGGTTAAGTGGCTTGCCAAAGGACACAACATGTGACCAGCAGCTGAAATCGAACCCCTGACCCTCTGATCATGAGTCGCAAACCCCAATCACTAGGCCACACTCCTTAAAAGTATGCCGAGGGGCTGAAACATACGGGACACAGGCGTACTTCAATGTTCCACTTGCGTTCGTTGGATAACTAGTGATACCCCACTGCTGTTGCTATGTGGTTGACCAATCAGCAGCTAGGATTTAAAGTTGGCCCATTTTTAACAAATCACCTTTTTTTCTGTTTCTAGGGTAATTCCAATAGTTTAGCCACTGTGGATATTTCAGCTGGATATGTAGGTATGAGTTCCTACATCCATTCAGTAGCTGGTCTACTAACAGCAATCTCAACATATGCTGGGCCTATGCTGTGGCTACTACGTCTACTGGTCTACATAACGGAACATCACTACACAAAGTAAGTAGTTGTCTCATGTCGTAGAAAAACACCGTTATGATTTGTAGGACCATAGGAGTTTTGGAAATCAGCTTGGAGCTTGTCTTCAGAAATATAAAAAACATTAAAAAGCGTTTTGCATTAATCATTTCTAGAGTCTTCAGTTATAAAAATTGGTTTCAAAAATGTCAGGGGTGAGATTTTGTCAGAATTTTGTCAGGATTTTTCCGGATTTCAAGATTCTTTAAGAATCCGTTTTTAAATCTGGAATTCCTTTGGTTTTACAGTAAAGGTGTTTGTACCTACAAAAGTTATTTAACATTTGCAAACATCAAAAAATAAAACTACCAAATCGTTTTGAAATACCTTGCTGGACTGTTAGTGAATGACAGTGTAAAGCATCCTGTAAAATCATGGCACCTGGTATACTGTCATTTTCAAGAAAAGTGGTATTTTTGTATCAATTTCCAACGCTGATCGGCCGATCAGCGTTGGAAAAAACAGGCTTTTTTTCAAATACTGGCCCCAGTTGACCATCGCACTTGTTTGCAATCGATTACACACCTATGGACGGGTACAAGCCAGCTAGACTTGTTCCCTGACCTTACAATTCCCCAATGTATGTAAACTGCTCTGTTTCTTCTTAAATGGAGTCAGGGAACCAGACTACAGGAAAATGATTGTTTCTCTTGGTTTTTATAGCATTTTCGAACCCAAAACCTCAAAAAAGTCAGTGTAACTATATTTGCTATATATTTCCAACCCCCCAATTCCATCCATTTCTGAAAATTACAGCAAAAGCAAATGATGTATATTCCCTTTAAGACAAATTTATAACATAAACTATATACACCCTACGCTGCCTTGGGACCTTGGTGACCCTCAAACCCTCGGTCAATTGTATGTTGTGGATTTTTCAATTTCCCGCAATCTCACCTCTGAGATATCAAGACTTAATGTCTTTGCCCACTTCTATCCATTTGCCTTGTACATTTGGGCATTTTCATAATGTCTCACTTACGCTGTAATATTCTCAAGCGATTTTGGGCAGCCACTATTAGACTGCAGCCGTCCGGTGTTATTCTGAGACCATTTGGTGGTCCGCAGCCTCTTAAAATGCATCCGATGTACTTGCCTTGGGGACTGAAATGGTACACTGCCCCTGTTGGCCACTTTCCGCAAACCGCGACGTAAATGCTTCCATCCTGATCACAGCACACACCAGTTGGATCTGTAGGATACAGTCCTTGAATGTTGACTGAGAACACCGACCCACCGTGGTAGTCTATTGACGTCAAGTTTCTCTTCTCTAAATTGGTGAAAATGAATCGTTGCTTGTAAGTTGTCATGAAACCACCGATTCCGGCAGCGGGGAGTTTGGTTTCAAGGGATCCGTCCTGTGTATGTACAGATATGAGTTCCTCAGCCTTGTAACCCACGGCTACCTGATTGCTGTCATCCACTGCGAGGCAGGTAGGCGTGCCGTTAATGTCCGCCTCGACGCTCGGCATAAACGCATCGAGGACCCGGTACTGCCTGCTGAAGATCTTGACTCCTGAGCCGTCCAGGACAACGAGTTTGTCATCTTTGCTCACTGCGATATGACTCGGAGAGAACAGATTGTTCACATAGACTGTTTCGAAGTTGGAGCAAGAACCACTCAAAAGGGACGACCTCACGAGCTGTTTGCGCTTGACATCTACCACCACGAGTTCATTGTCGGAAAACACGGCCACATCTTTCACAGACCTGAATTTCGAGTTTCCTGGTCCAAACGTCTTGATTTGTTCCACTGATTCCCACGTGCTTGTAGTAACTGGTGGAAACTCAGGGTCAGCCTGTGGCACATTCGCTGCCACTTCTTCACTAGGCTTTGTGTCCTCTTCAAGTTCTCGTTCTATCATCGTGACCTCCTCTACGATCGATGCCAATAGGAGATTATCTTGCAGATCAGCAATGCTCTTTCCAACCAGTCTTGTTGCGTATCTACAGACGGGGCAAGTCAGTTCGGCTATACTGCCGCGAGTACCACGAAGGTTTTTTCCAAAATGTGTGAGGCAATCCAGACAAAAACAGTGTGAGCACTGGAGCATTTTGGGCTTCTTGAAGCGACTGAAGCAGATTGGACAGTCTAGATGACCCTTGCTTATCCTGTCTAGGACTGACTGGGCTGTCAAACCAGATGCCACGTTTGCTTTTGCCATTATGGATGACGAGATGACCTGAAATCAGAAATGTGTTCTTTTGTCTGGTAAGGGAACAATTATAAGACTTGATAAAAGTGGTGCGTCAATTGATAGTATGATACAGAAATGCATTTTAACAATAATGCATTTGCATGAATGAGTTACACTTTTAAGTTTCAACTTGCAAATAAGAACAAGTGTGTGTTTTGCTTTCAAATCTTTATAAATTGAAAACAATTCTAGCATTTTTTTTAAAATAGAAAAAGCAAACTTACCTGAATTTCACAATTTCTCTATGGTACTAAAATTGTCAAATAATTTTGATAAGAATGACTGAACAGTTTATACTCCACTACTGGCATTGCTTGACAGTTCTCAACAATGTTCATGAACAACACTGCTCCACGTAGGAATTGTTACTCATTTGGGAAAAATCCCACTTTTAGAAATACAATCCGTATTGTATTGTATTTGGCCATCTGTCAACATGCACTTGTCCTTCAGAGTCAAACGTGCCATTTAATGTGCACTTGTTACATCACGCATGAGCACAAATGATGTAAATATCCTCATTATTGATCATTTAGTGTGAAACCTATCACACGTAATCAATTATAGCCTTTCCTTTGTAAAATTGAGGCTTCCTAAGAATTTCCATCAGTGAGGCAGTATATTTCAGGGAATTAACATGGATGGCCGGGGGAAATTTGTATTATAAAAGAACAGTCGAATCTCGTTAGTACAAACTCTGTTAATACAAAATTCTGGTTATAACAAACATAAAGCCTTGGTCCCGACTGTGCATTTATGTGCACAATGAATGGGACTGATGTTCCTCTTAATACAAAATTCTGATATAACAAACAATTTGGCTAGGTCCGAATGAGTTTGTATTAACGAGACTCGACTTGGAAAACTTGTGAATTTTGGGTAAACTGGAACTAGTGCACATGTTCAAATCAAATGTTTTCCAGGAACACATGACATACAAACACAAGCAGTTCACCATACAAACATTGTGCCTTATCTGCAGTTTAATATCGTCTTAATTTAGTTAAAGGGAATATACAACATTTGCAAACATCGAAAAATAAAACTACCTAGTTTTTACGAAATACCTTACTAGGATGTTGGTAAATGACAGTCTAAAGCATCTTGTAAAATTATGGCACCTGGTGTGAAGTCATTTTCAAGAAAATGGTATTTTTAAAAAAAATTTCCAACGGTGGTCGGCCGACCACCGTTGGAAAAACCTAACTATTTTTCAAATACTGCTCCAAATTAACCATTTTTCTTTCAGTCCAAATTTTGTTTGCTATTGGTTACATGTTCATGAATGGGTGCAGGCCGGCTAGACTGGTTCCATTACCTTACAAGTTTCCGGCATCTGTAAATTGATCCATTTTATATTTAGTGGAGTCAGGGAACCAGACTACTTGAACATTTTTGTTTTTCTTGGTTTTTCCAGCATTTTCGAACACAAACCTTCAAACATGTCAGTCTAACAATATTTGATCTATTATGGGTCATTCCATGTCAGACCAACGCACTTTTTTACCTCATGTCTTCCGATTTTGATAAAAATTGCTGTGCTTGTAGGTCCTAATGAGCAATGAATACACACCAATTTTTAGCCCGATCCCACCTATTATGTGGTCAGGGCAGAAGCCACAAAAAAATTGGCATTTTTAGAGTAAAATACCACCCTTTTGGTATAAATATGTCAAAACTATGGAAATTTTCATCGAATATATGTGAATTTGTTATTAAAATAATGAGGATTGCATGCTCAAAGCACTTCTTTTGTCAAAATTAAATTTTGTGAAAAGTAGGTCACATGACCTTTAATATGCTATCGTGACCTTTGACCCATTTTTTGTAATAATGTCTCATTCCGAAAATCAACGAAATAAAAATAACTTGCTAGAGCATGTCTTCCTCTATCAGAATCTACTAAAAATCAGTTGGGGTCTTCAAAATTTACAACTTTATGACTATTTTTGTACAGTTGGTAGGTTACAAATGAGTCAATTTATAGACTTTACATAAGAAATACACCAACACAACTTACTACAACTTACTATTCTGTTTCTAAAGTTACTAAAATATATCTTGGTTTGTGAATTTCTCATTCTGAGGGCTGATGAGGTCTAACCAGACTCATAGTGTAAATTATCAGCAGTGGCGCACCCAGGATTTGGCTTTTGGTGGGGGGGGGGGGGGCGGGGGGTCATAAATCGTTTTTTGTTCAAATTTCTGTAAAAGATTGGACCAACAAAAACTAGCCGAAAATCAAACAAACAAATTGACAATGTTGGGGGTGGGTTCAAGCCCCCCCCCCCCCTCCTGGGTGCCACTGATAATTAGTTATCCCACGAGCGCCTGGAATATGAAATAATGCAATGCTGCTGTGACCCATATGCCACTCGATGCACAAGCGCAAGTGGGATTTATAACCAATTTATCTTCAAGCAAACTTGATATCAAATGCGTACACGCGGTGAAGATGTACGTGCATACATGTAGTGTATTGGTCCGTTCTGCAGGAAATAACACAACATAATTTATGTACACGTACATTTTTAATATCTGGGGTGCAATATAGCTGTGCAATATTATATAAAATCACACAGTTGTTGCTATAGATGGTCTAATCAGGGTCTAGGATTCAAGTTTGCTTGAAGATAATACTTAAAGGGAATATACAACATTTGCAAACATCAAAAAATAAAACTACCAAGATTTTGCGAAATGCCTTACTAGGATGTTGGTAAATGACAGTCTCATGCATCTTGTAAACTTATGGCACCTGGTGTGAAGTCATTTTCAAGAAAATGGTATTTTTGTATACATTTCCAACGGTGGTCGGCCGACCAGCGTTGGAAAAACCTAACTATTTTTCAACTTTTGCTCAAAATTTACCGTTTTTTCCAGTCCAAATTGTGTTTGCTTTTGGTTACATGTTCATGAACGAGTGCAGGCCAGCTAGACTGGTTCCCTTGCCTTACAATTTTCCATCATCTTTAAATTGATCCATTTTATCTTTTGTGGAGTCAGGGAACCAGACTACTTGAACATTTTTGTCGTTCTTGGTTTTTCCAACCTTTTCGAACACAAAACTTCAAAAATGTCAGTGTAACAATATTTGATCTATTATACTAACCCCTCAAATAGTTTATTTCTGAAAATTACAGCAAAAGCCAATGATGTACTTTCCCTTTAATATTACAATCAAAGTTACCTTTACTCATTCATCACTGTGCTTCTTGAACTTTAATGACTCTCACAGACTTGGCATTTTGTTCCCTTGAGATGAATTTCACCTGGACGTGAGTCCGCTGTACTGGGTGAAGGCCTGGTTACTGTTAGTGGTTAGCACACTTCCGAGTCCAGATATTCTGATTAGACAGTTTCTTTGGAATCAGAAGGTAGAATTTTGTTTTTCCTGGCTTTGTACTTTATACATAAAAATCTAGATTAATTTTAGTAACTTAAGAAACAGAATAGTAAGTTGTGTTGGTGTATTTCTTATGTAAAGTCTATAAATTGACTCATTTGTAACCTACCAACTGTACAAAAGTAGTCATAAAGTTGTAAATTTTGAAGACCCCAACTGATTTTTAGTAGATTCTGATAGAGGAAGACATGCTCTAGCAAGTTATTTTTATTTCGTTGATTTTCGGAATGATACATTATTACAAAAATTGGGTCAAAGGTCACGATAGCATATTAAAGGTCATGTGACCTACTTTTCACAAAATTTAATTTTGACAAAAGAAGTGATTTGAGCATGCAATCCTCATTATTTTAATACCAAATTCACATATATTTGATGAAAATTGCCATAGTTTTGACATATTTATACCAAAAGGGTGGTATTTTACTCTAAAAATGCCATTTTTTTTAGGCTTCTGCCCTGACCACATAATAGGTGGGATCGGGCTAAAAATTGGTGTGTATTCATTGCTCATTAGGACCTACAAGCACAGCAATTTTTATTAAAATCGGAAGACATGAGGTAAAAAAGTGCGTTGGTCTGACATGGAATGACCCTTATACTAACCCCTCAAATAGTTCATTTCTGAAAATTACAGCAAAAGCCAATCATGTATATTCTCTTTAAGGCAAAATGTTTTGCTGAAGAACACAAGTTCCATGACACCCCCCAACTGAATCGCACATTATGTGAGTGTCTTGCCATGCAAAATACCAGCTGCGATGGTGAACAATATCTGTCAACCCACCAGGGAACAAGTTGTGTTTAAAATACCGCCCACGCTGACCAGATTGTCAACATGGTTTAGGGTGTTTTTGTCAACCAACACTATAACCAACTTGTATTTTTGAGAGCGGGCCAAGTCGACTTTTACCCATGGCATTAAAGATACATGGGAGTATTTGCTTTTCATGCATTTTGTTCGTTTCCAATAATAACACCTCTCAAAGACCAGAGAAGAACGTTCAAAACCCAACCTGTTGAAGTTTCAGCTCAGCCGCAGTGGATATTACAGTGAAAAACCATGTACAACCTTTTGATCACGAAACACGAATTTGTCAAAAGCACTCTTTATTCCAAAAAATCAGTCAATTGCCTGATTGAAATCACCTACATTTCTTGATTTCTTCTACATGACATTAAGCCAGACAAAATTAATTTCACGGGTATTTTAGTACCATTACGATCTTTAATCCTATACGGTTTTAATATGCGGTTGAGTTGACCCATCTTCAATAAATCTCCGAGTGCATTGTTTAAGCATTGTTAAGAATTCCACTGGGTTTCTTTTGTATTTCCAGTTACCGATCTGCTTACTTGGAGGTTGCGCATACTCTGGCCCTCAGCCGCGCCCTACCCCTTGCCATCTATACTGGCCTCGTCACCTTACAGCGATATCATCTGTTCGTCTGGAGCGTCTTCTCTCCAAAACTTCTCTACCAAACCATGAACACTTATGTCGTGAGCGGTGGGATCGTGCTGGTACTGGTGCATTGTGGGATTGCAAGATGGTTCAGGCTCCAAGAACGGTGACAGTAGGGAGGTGGAAGTGGGCCGGGAAGGGGAAGGGGGTGGTGGGGAGATATGAGTGAATCCCTCCCCCCTCGCTTCTTTCCACAAATTGAAGCATGCAATTCCAGCACTCAAAAACAGTTAATCGACTGTTTTCAACTGTTAAGAGCTCCCTGCCTATATATAGCAGGAATGACTAGCTGTGACTGTTTATGTAAAACACAGCTTTGCCTTGTCACAGTAGATTGATAAGCCAGCTGTGCTGGCCAGTTACGTTCTGTGTCTGTTGATGGAATTTGACTAGTCACAGTGCTCACCACATGAATGATCTGACTGTTGGTGACTAGCCTGTGTAAAAAGGCACAGCAGAGGAAGGGTATTGAATTTTGTGACTGCCTGTGACAGTTACAAATAAACAGGGGGGTTCAAACAGTCCAACTAAAATCATGAGCGCATAAATTAACATAATACAAGATCATGACAAGAAAAAATGGTATGAGCAAAATCAAGCTACCGAGGGCAGCAGAAGTCAAATGTGCACGACAACTGCATCGGCAAAGGTCAAGAGTTGTTGACCTTTCAAGGGTCAAAGGTCAGCTTGAGCCAAGCCCCATTCCATTACACCAGTTCCTTGTTAATTTGTGGGTGGGTGATATGACTTTTATCGGCGACCATATTAACAAAATGAAAACAAGTTCTATGTACGTTTCCCTATTGGATATTGGTTCCCATCCACTCCGGAACTCGGGGAATTTGGGGAAACCACCAAAAATCTGGGAAAAACTCAGGGAATTTGAAGGGAAAAGTTTTTGCCAGTTTGGCATATAAGGGGAGAAGGGAGGCCATCTCTTGTCAGTAAATTGCCTTTGTATTTTGCAACCACCTCTTGACTTCCCAGCAACCTCGTTATAAGTGAAAATATTTCTCATCGAATGTTGGAAATATACACGAGTGTGCTATAAATTTCTTTCTTTGTTATATTTGTGTACACTTTATTTTAAGCTATGCAATATAGAATGTGTTTAACACTTTTAAACTACTTGGTTGAATTTTCAAAAAAAACTTTACACAATTTTTTGTTATCAACTTTTTTTTACCAAAAATGAAATACATGTTAATGTAAATGAAGAGTGATTGTGCCTTTGAAAATCGACATCTTTGTATTTTTTGTTAGTAATTATAATTTTTTTCAGTTCTGTATTTCAATAACTAAAATGCTACTGCCGACTTTATATATTTTTTCCAGAAACGATTTCTGAATTAACATTCCATTCATGTTAAGCTATGCACGCTTGGGGTGCCCTTAAAACCAATTAACCCACGCCTCACGAAAATTTTTGCATATTCAAGTCTTAGGCCAAAAAAAAAAAATTAGTCGGTCTCTGGTCAGAACAAAGTTCTGGAATTGATGCAGCGATGCTTTTTTTTTTCAAGCTTGGATTGTACAGAGAAGGTGGGTACTATTTTGTTTTGTTTGTGTCCTCGTGTACCCTTGGTGTCCTCCATCAGTTGGAGTCGAGCTGCCCATGAAAATTTGAGGTGGTGCGGCAATAGAGGACGCTGTTGTAGCTACCATGGAAAATTTGAAAGAAAATAAAACTTGACGCACACAATCAAAATCGACATGCGCGCTGCTGACCAGAGACCAACTATTTTTTTTTTTTTTTTTTTTGCCTTATGTCATCGTGATTTGCATGATAAAATAAAGAAACAATCAGATTGTTTAATTAGCGGATTGCTAGATCCCATTTTGGAGGGAAAAAAATTCAACTTTTCACTGCAATATATAAAATAAATTGCATTACATAAAGTAATACCTTGCTTTGATTTCAGTTTCTCTAATTTTATGCAATACTAATTGTTGCAGGGCAAGCTCCAACAGACCCGTGCATATTAAGGTTATACTTTTGTTAAGGCTAAGCCCTGCCTTCCCTGGTAAATGCCAAATTGACTATGTATAACATAAAGTGCCTGCGAACCAGTGAAATGTCTAAGCCATAGCCTGCCTTGTTAGGCTATGGAGCGCCCTCTTTGTTCACGCACACAGTCCATTGCTGTCAGTGGTTCTAATGTAGAGATGTTGATTCTGACATGACGGACGAGATTGCCTCGGCTTTATTATTCATCCCACGGGCTCATATCGGTGTCGATGGCCACGCAGTTGTAAGCTGCATACCTCAATTTCTCCTCCGCTAACTTCGCACTAGCAAACAAAAAGCAAGAAATCTAACATTTATATTCATAACTTCCACAAAAATACCATTTTGTGGTTCAGAGAAAGATACGTGCAAAACCCAAAGTGATGGATTCTACTTAAACTTCAAAACTTTTAAAACTCTAAAAAAAAAATATCAAATTGGAGTTTAGGTTTTCTTTGTCATCCATATGCATTCTTGGGCAATCAATAATTCCAAGTAAAGCTAAAGTCCAACATACCTGGAGTAATTCGGCAAGAACAGCGTGTTGGAACATGTGGAGGATTCTGGCAAGGAATCTGTGTTCTCACTGAAAAACGGGAACCAAAAGTAAAATAAATTTAGAGGTTCCTAGAATTGCGTCCATTTGGTGCTGTTGGACACACAGATCTAAGTCTTCAGTTGAAATCAGAAAAAGAAACACTGGACAGCATGTGGGTCAGTCCATCAATTTGGCGTCCAATTTTGTTTTCGTGTCCCTGTTATATCTGATAAAAGATTTTGTAAATTCAGGACGCTTTCTTCAATGCCTTCTATCTCCAAGAGTGATTATGTAGAGCAAAGTACCTGCCGACTAAATAAAAATTAGTTTGATGTCAATTTTAATGATACTTGTTTGGAAAATTACACAGGTAATGTGTAACAGGGATACAAAAAAGTCACACTTTTGGACCCCAAATTCATGGACTGACCCATATACATCTCGTAATGAACTCGGTCACAAAACAATATTGTCAAAAAGCTTGCCTTTCTGATTTTTTCAACTTATCTTAAAACTTAAAGAAATGGATAATTTGCCCACTTGAGTCTTTTTAAGGTGGGATATTTTATCTGATACTTACCCCCTGCCAGGGCAAATGTAGAGTGGTGTCGGGAGGCGACGTCTACCGGTCACAAACCTCAAGAAACGACTTCTGTCCTCTGTTGGTCAAATTACCAAAACCAAAAGACTTGGGTGAGACAGATTTTGGGTCATGCTACCACTGTTTTTTTTATGTATATTCGCCCTGAACAAGGCTAAAAGCCACTCCAGGTATAGGGCTACGAGAGAAATAACAAGAAGAGTAGGTACTCGGGGGGGGGGGGGGGGGGGGGGGGGGGGGGGAACCGAAGGTAGGAATGAACATTCCTCTTGAAACAGGACAGATCATAGGTTGGAGGGAAACAAGCACCAGGCAAGGAACTCCAAAGAGATGCAGCACGTGGGAAAAAAGCTATTGGAATATCCTTTAGTTCTACATCTAGGTACTGCAACAGTACTTGGATGAGAATAGGCAAAACTCATAAATAGTGTTACCCTGCAGGTTTTAACGGCCATATAAGAGGCTAACTGCTCCACAAAACTTATTCAATTTGAAACCATGAGATTTTAAAAACTTTCTCAAATTGGGTGTGGGCAAGTGTTCAAATTGTTTGCTATACTGGATTTTTAGCGGAGGGGTGAGGGAATTTTTTTTGGGGGGGGGATGGGTCGGGCAAGAAAAAAAAGTGTACCTGATTGGTACCTGATATGAGCAATGATAGGATTTGAATCAAGGACACTCATATTGAAAGTTAAGAATCTCACCATCACAAAAGCTGACAACTCGCCATTGGGAAAGTTTGTCAATGCTTGACACATGACAGGATCTGAACCAGGGCCACTCATCTTGAAAGTCAAGAGTCTCACCATCACATAAAACCATTCCACAACTCACCATTGGTGAAGTTCGTCATTGCCTCCCACAGATACTTGACTCTCGTGTCCGACTGTCCCAGATCCTCAAAGAACGTCGTCTTGCGCAGCGCCGCTACGCTGATCTCCGGATCGCCGCAGATTTTCTTCTCCAACTCCTGCCAGGTCAAAAGGTCAAGTACGGCCTGCGGGACGACGCGCAGTAAGCCTTGACGCATAGACTCAACCTGTGAATAACCAAAAGGTCAAAACCTTGATGAAATATGACCCTTAACCTTTTAAATATGAGCTAAAGATTCCTTTGTCTCCCACACTCACAAACCAAGGGAACTGGTACCACAGACATATAATAAAACCTAGACACGACATTAACTGCTTTTACGTTGTAAATTCTGTGAGCAAAACAGCCTGCGTCACACGACCTGACGCGATGCACAAATGTCATGTGGCTTTGATTTACGCGCGTACTTTTTCTACGGATGTTCATGACGGCGCCAATGCACTTATGCACCACTTAGTTATTTTTTTCCCGCACGCGTACGGGACCGAAAGATATCAAATAACGCGCGCAGTGCATTGAGACCGCGTCGCCCATGATGAGCGTTCGCGTAATACGCGTGCAGCATTTTGCTCACAGGTGCAATAGCAAATGTCGTGTCTAGTTTTTATTATATGTCTATGACTGGTACAGGCTGATTTTACAGCACCCTCTTGAGACAAAAGACTATTAAATGGATGTGGTGATTAGAGGTCAAATGTTGAAATTAAGCAACTTTTCCCTCCGAGGTAAGTGTGCCTTTTGCTGTGTTTACTGCTTATGGTCTCCGTGAAATAGACGGAGGCTTTGTTAGCAGAAAATCGTGTGCTTAAAAATAAGCCATTTGCGAATTTAATTCAGTAACATCTGGCACCCTGACTTGCTCGAATGCTTGGCACATTTTAACTTCAAAGTCTCCCGACCAAAGAGACTGTTGCTATATCACGTGATTCGGGGCAAGCCTTACACTAGCAACCCCAAACTCCGGAACGGTCCGGTGTCTTTGTGCCATTCCCACCCATTGCGAACAATGTATTGGTGCTGAGCGTCTCTTACGTAACTATGCAAGAGCTTGCCCCGAATCATGTCACATAGCAACAGCGTCTTTGGTCTGGAGAATTTAAAGTTATGACGTGCCAAGCATTATGAGCAAGTCAGTGTACCAGATGTTATTCAAATTTAACGCGCAAAGGGTATATAGGCTATTCGCAAATGGCTTATTGGGCCCATGTAAATTTCTCATGTACCACCAGTGGTGCACCCAGGATTTGGCTTTTTTGGGGGGCTCACAATTTTTTTTGGGGGGGGGGGAACATTTTCACGTTGGTGGTGCCTCTTACACCCCTATTATACTACTCAAAGATAGGCCACATACATACCACCAAGGGCAAATCTTGGAAATTAATTTTAAAAAAATTGGGTGCGCCACTGTGTACCACTTGCACTGCAAAGAAAAATCCTCCCAACTTTCACCGACGACGATCCAATTCTGACCTGTTCTTTGTTCTCGTCCATCCTCGCGGCCTGCACCAATCGGCAATACTCCAGCCTGTCCTCGTACGTCACATTGACCTCTGACCCCTTAGTGACCAGCTCCACCTCTGATTGGTCGCTCAGCATCGTGGTGAAGGTCAGCTCACTGGCAAAGTTGGCTTCGTAGGTCTCCTTGTCCATGCGTTGGAAGGATTCCAACAGTTTGACCTGGGAGTTATTGAATGGCAAATGTTAGGTCCACTTCCGATTTAAAACTTTTATTTCTGTTTGTAAGGCGTTCTGGCAAATTGAGCCAGAACTCGGCAGATGTCAACATGAGGGTTTGAGGGTATTAGGAAAGAGAATAACAATTCTCCTGACAATACTGTTTGTTGCACTTCAATCGGCCAAGTTATGGCTGTTTTAAGGATAGCATTTATCAACATGTCAAAACAGTAAAATACAGACAAATAGGCCTATAATGTTTGGAGTTTTGTATTCGTGAAAATGAGAGATGCAAGTTGTTTTTCCCTTAAACAACACTTTCATTCCACGATGCTTATACTATTTCTTTGAAATATGTGCAGTAGAATATCAAAGATTACAAGTATGAATGTTTCTAAAAATCGAGAAAAAAAATCATGCCCATTCGTTTTTTTCCCCTCATTTTTCTCCACTATGGCCTGTGCACAGTTCTGTCTCATTTTTCTGTCTTTTCTGAAATGATAAAAGGGATAAGTTCACTTTCAAAGAAACTGACTTTTTTTTGCAAGAATTAAAGATTGTTTTAGTCGAGGTTCTGACAAGTGTTCAAGTTTTGGAAAAGGTTGGGGAGAATGCAAAATAAACCAAGCGGTTACTTTAGGTTGAACCCTGAGGTACCCTGTTAAACCTTGAGGTAACCCTTCAGTTACTGCCCATTAAATTTCGCATTCTCACTTTAATTTACCTTCAAATATGCTTGGCTTTTTGCCAAATTAAAATAATAGTTCAAAATAAGTTTGCGTAACAATTTTAGAAGATCTGCTGTGTAATTTATGCTATACTTAACAAAAGTAATTAAATGGGCATCATCTCAACACGGAGTTTCCTAAATCGAGGAATTACTGACCAACTTGAAATTTAGCCCATTTGTGAATTTCTTTAATATTTTCTACCACGTTTATTTTGAGGAACACGAACAACAAGATCTAAACTCATGTGAGTGAGAGTAGTTCTTTGTGCACTCACAGCGGCATCGTCAACCGTTTTGAAATCTTTAGTCCACGTTACTCTTTCGCCAGCAAGAAGCTTCCAGATGAATGATGGCAGAGCTAAAACCTGAAACAAAAAAAATAAAAACAGGAATATTATTTGTTTCTGGTAAAGTGAAGTCAAACTGGGAATGGTTAAGGAATTCAGGGAGTAATTAAAAAAAAATAATAATAATACGTTTGAACAAATTGCAGCTTCAAATCTTAGCTGCTCCCGTCAATTCCTTTAATTAGTCATTTATTATTTTTTCCCCACCAGCCTACATTGGAAAATCACCAATTACTCAAATTTACGGATATTCAAGATACGATAATACATCCAGGAATAACACATTTAGCGTTTGATGGCATCTGAAAGCCTTTAAATTTACTCACAAGATGTTCCTTGCTTCGTAGACACGCTCCCATCAGCAGTCCGATCCACTCATATTTGGCGAACAGCTTACAGGAAGGGTTTGGCACGTACATGTCGCGGTAAACGTTGGAGTTGTCAAGACGCTGAAAAGACCGAGAAAAAAAAGAACACTAGCTATACAATAATAAGTATCAGGTTGGTTTGAAAGGGTATCTCATCTTTGTACTATTCTCACCCATTGTGAACAATATACTTGTTGGTGTGCAGGGCATTTTTAGGCTGTGTCAAAGATACTTGGCTACGGCTAGCAGTAACACATGAGGCAATTAGAAGTGGCTTCAGCCGTAGCCATAGCCGCTTGTGTAATTGCAAGCCGTATCCAAGTAATGTGGCCACAGCCTTAGCCTGCATCCAAATTACTTGGCTACGGCTATCAGTTAACACACATGGCTATGGGAAGTGGCTGCAGCCGTATCCATAGCCGCTTGTGTAATTGCGAGCCGTAGCCAAGTAATGTGGCCACAGCCTTAGCCTGCATCCAAATTACTTGGCTACGGCTAGCAGTAACACATGCGGCTATTAGAAGTAGCTTCAGCCGTAGCCATAGCCGCTTGTGTAATTGCAAGCCATAGCCAAGTAATGTGGCCACAGCCTTAGCCTGCATCCAAATTACTTGGCTACGGCTAGCAGTAACACATGCGGCTATTAGAAGTAGCTTCAGCCATAGCCATAGCCGCTTGTGTAATTGCAAGCCGTAGCCAAGTAATGTGGCCACAGCCTTAGCCTGCATCCAAATTACTTGGCTGCGGCTGTCAGTTAACACACATGGCTATGGGAAGTGGCTACAGCCGTATCCATAGCCGCTTGTGTAATTGCAAGCCATAGCCAATACATATGGATGCTGCCTTACTTGGCTATGTGACAAAAGTATACAGAGAAGTACTTGTAATGGCCAATATTAAAATATGTACCAGAATTCTTTTTAATTTAACTTGGGAAAAGCATAGGTCAGTAACAAATTATTTTTTCAATACAATTTTTCTTGACCACTACATTATAAATAGATATTTCCAAGATATTCCGAGCGTAAGATGAAGGAATGTAACAGCAATCTATGTGTCATAACCGCCCTGACAACTTTTAATGGAGTACCTTGAGAAGTATGATATCATTCCATCAACCACCGCGGCATAAATGAAAACAAAATACCAAAGATTACAAATTTACCTGGTTAAGAGTTCTGACGAAGAATGGCAGTGGAACGGGCTGCTCCCCACCAACTGGGCACAACTCCTCAGCGATATCGGCTAAACTATCTCGGAATCCACCACCTGAAATGAAACAAGGACACCACATGACTGAGGGTAACTCTATCATGGAAAACCGAGTGCCCATTTGAGAACTGGGCCCAATTTCATAGCACTGCTAAATAAGCACACGATTTTCTGCTTACAGAGCCTTTGTCTATTTCATAGAGACTGTAAGCGGTAAGCACAGCAAAAGGCACGCTTACCTCAGAGGAAAAAGTTGCTTAAATTAGAGATGTAACAATAGAAACCTCTATGTGGACGGAGTTAGAGAAGGGAGAGTGGGCGGAGTTAGGAAAGGGAGAGTGGGCGGAGTTATGGAAAGGGGAGTGTCCTACCTTGGTCGATGATTCCTTCTGACAGGAATTTACATTCCCACCACTGACTGTAGCTTTCTGACCATCGGTAGTCCAGCGTTTTCTCACCGCGATCCTTGGGCTTCAGACCTTCGTAAATCTGACGATGAATTATGAACGACAGAAAACAATAATTTTTTTGTGGGGGGGGGGGGTCTTTTATCACAGTTGATGATCCCTCAGCCTTGTCCAATTTTACACAAGAATCCATTGTCAAATTCACTCCAGAGCCAAATTTCACAGATCTGTTGAGTAAAATATTGTTTTGCGTGTCTGAGCTAAGCATGAGCAATTGTGTACAAAGCAAACACAAGTCAAGAAGCATTTCTAACTTAATAACCACACTTGAAAATTTTGGCTGATTAGGAAGGACCTGTTAAAACCAACATTGCAGGGAAACCGCTAATATGCTTTTTGTCAACAAAGCAAATTGCACAGATTTTGGCTGTCAAGCTCCACGGTAATTAATTCCTTCAGCTCAGACCATGTGTCCAAGATTTATTGTCAAGTTTCTTTACATGAGAGGAATATTTTTGAATACTGACTTGAGTGAAGATGGCATTCTTGCAGGTAGGGTCCTTAGACGGGTCGCTCCTATGATCCGATGCACTCCTTCGATTGATGCACAGCTTGGGAATCGACTGTGGAGGACTGTGAAAAATGGTTCGTTGTAGGAGTTTTATAAAAAAAAAGTACATTTTTGGTACTGCTTAAATGGTACTGTAGAGCGATGTGGTCCAGTGGTTATGGTGTTCAACCCACGTGCCATGGTACGTGGGTTTAAACCCTAAAGGAGAGCACGGTGCTTGTGTCCTCTGGCAAGACACTTCACTACAATTGCCTCCCTCCACTCACGAGTATAAATGGGTACCTGTGAGGGTAGAGATTTGGGGCCAATTTTACGGCGCTGCTTAGCACAGAAATTTGCTTAGCACAAAAAACAGTCTGGCTTATAAAAGCAGGTTACCAGCCATAACTCCATGTGGTGTATTGTGCTCGTGATTAGTATTCAGCTGTTGTTTGCTTAGCATGAAAATCACTTGGAGTTTTGGCTGGTAACCTGCTTTAAAAGCCACTGGACTTTTTTTGTGCTAAGCAAATTTATGTGCTTAGCAGCGCCGTGAAATTGGGCCCGGGGGCCAATTTTACGGCGCTGCTTAGCACAAAAATTTGCTTAAGACAAAAAACAGTCTGGCTTATAAAAGCAGGTTACCAGCCAAAACTCCATGTGAGGTATATTGCTCGTGATTAGTATTCAGCTGTTGTTTGCTAAGCATGAAAATCACTTGGAGTTTTGGCTGATAACCTGCTTTTATAAGCCAGACTTTTTTTTGTGCTAAGCACATTTTTGTGCTTAGCAGCGCCGTGAAATTGGGTCCAGATTGCGCAGATCTCAGCTGCAGAAAAGTGGTGTCATGGCCTGCTGAACAGGGGTAATAATTGTGAAACGCTTTGAAACCTACCTTCGGTGAAAAGTGCTGTATAAGCAACACCCATTTACGCAGCAAATCCCATGACAAAAAGATGTATGCAATGATAGTGGGAAATACTACTTGTTGTCCATTAGGCCAAAAAAAAAAGTCTCCGGTTTCTGGTATGGAGCTTGCCCAAAAAGTGGTGCGGCGACGTGGCTTTTTTTTTTTTTACCTGACTTTTTTGCTTCAAATGTCGGCTGATGACTGCAAATGGTGCCCGACTAAACTTAGTGCAAAATGTACGGGAGTCCAGAGAGTCCACACAAAGCTTATTCTCGATCATACCCCCATCTAAAAACACGTTAAAATTGTGCTGCAGCAGGATTCCAGTCAAACCAGTGAGTTTGGCGGTTTTGAGACATCATCTTTTATTGAAAAAAAAAACTTTTTCATTTTGCCGACGCGCATGGCTACGGCGACGCGCGCGCATACCAGAAACCGGAGACTTTTTTTGGGGGGGGGCCTTATTAGACGAAAATGAGTTTAACTCATTAGTTCCTGTACCGCCCTAATCCGCCCTGCCTGTTACTCCCTACACATTCCAAAACCACCTCTGCACTGTACGGTTTCATGTATTCATCAGGAAATGATTAAATTTGTAATACCATTTGATACAATGTAATACAATTTAATAAAAGCATTAATGTAAGATTAACCCTAACCGAACTCAACCAATCAAAGTTCAACAGCAGATTTTGTTGAAATCTGTTGGGATAGGTACAGTACCCCTAAACTGATGGTCTTTTACACTGGGGTTGGCATACCTACAGAAACTAAGTCCAACAGTGTGTGTGTACAATTTCCCATGTGGGTGTTGGAATTTGCCTGAATGGGTATGGTTCCTAGTAAATTAGGCTGGGGAGTTAAGGTTAATATCCAGGTGAATGCTGGGCATGCAGACCGACCTGCTCTCTGACGCCTTCAAGAAGTGCATGATGAGCGCGTTCCTCCTCTTGGAGAGAGGCAAGAGTTGACGGACCACCTCCAAGGATCCAAAGGAGCCCACCGTATGCTCCCAGGCCGGGACGATGAAATGTATCACTCCGTCCAAGAGGGTGATGAAACGTTTAAGGGCCAGCGCTCGACGATACAGGTGGTCCTTCGCAACATTCTCAAGTCTGGGGTACCTAGGATAAAATGTAAATTAGAGAACTTTTTAAGTAATTCTTGAAAATTAAGTAGCTCAAAAAGCAACACTTTTGTCTGAATTTTGATTACCATGATCCTTAAAATTGTAATTATTAACTGTTATTGAAATGGATGTGGAAGAGTTTTGCTGATAGTTTGTTTTTGTCTTTGACGAGAGGGGCGGTCCAACTTCTTTCAGAAATTGTTGCTGAAGACATGCTTCGCTCTTTCTTATGATCTACTTTTCCTTCAAGAGAAACCTCAACTCAGTTCATCAAAATTTTGAAGAATTTCTTTTAAATCTTGAAAACGAGAATTTGAAAACTTAAACAAGTATCACACCTTGTAAACTTTGTAAATAAGTATCACACCTTGTAAACTTTGTAAATAAGGTCCCTTTCTTACCAAACTTAGGTTTTCAAAATTTCTCTACAACATCTAAATTTGCAAAAATGTCATCTAACTCGCTGCTTTTGTAAATCTTTTTCAAGTTTACCACTGGCTGGTGTGCCACAAATATAAAAAGCTGGTTCCCTCTCACAGTCCAACAGGTAAACAATGCAGCGTACGAAAACCAGTGTAGAGCATGATGTCACTTGTTGTACTGTGCCCAACTTCACGGCTCTGTTAACCACAGAATTCCGCGTTTACGATCATCATTCTGTGCTAACAGCGCTAGCAAAAAAATTCTGCTAACCAAGTAAGCACAGAATTCTTAAAGGGGCACTATGTCCTGAAATCCCCGAAAATGTCATGTTTTGGATCGTTTACTTATCCTATTTCAAACATCTGGTTCAAAGGAAACCAACCTAATGTCTTACTGTTCCCGAAAAAAGACGAACAAACCTCGGTTGTTTACATCGGACACGACGGAGTACAAATACGCTTTTCCTGTCATTTTCACTTTCAGTCAATGTACGTACGATATGTATATACCAGTGTTGGAGCAAAGGCTTTGACCCTCAAGGCCAAGGCCAAGGCCAAGGCTTTGACCCTCAAGGCCAAGGCCAAGGCCAAGGCTTTGACCCTCAAGCCTCGAGGCCAAGGCCAAGGCTTAACCCTCAAGGCCAAGGCCAAGGCCAAGGCCCTGTTTTATGAAATGACCACTGATATAGAACTAATTATAGTCACATGAGTGACACATCATCACGCAAGGGCGGATCCAGAACACAATTTGGGGGGGGGGCAAAGAAATTTTGGTCCCCCCAAAAAAAGTGGGTCCAAAAATTACGGCTTGGGCTTCGGGCCCGCTTAAGGGCCCCGAAAAAAAATTTGGATTCGAGATGCTCTGTGGTGCGATTTGAGGCAATTTCTGACCATTTTAACCGATGATTTTTGAGGAAAAGATGGTGGTGTACTCATTGCCTGCCTTTATTACGACGTCACATAAAAAAATGGTTTCGTTGGTTTTTTGTTTCGGGGGGGGGGGGGGGGCATGGCCCCTTTTGGCCCCCCTGGACCGCCCTTATCATCACGAATTGCTCATTACGAAGAACAACTTTTTTTTAATTGCAATCAAAATGCTCGCATAGGCCTACACCGTTTTATGACTGCACTGTACCTATTCAAGTATAAATTCAGGTCTTCAATATGGTTTAACTAAACAAAATAATGATTTACTTCTATATTGACACACAATTCTCCCAAGTGTAACAAAAGGGGGATCCAAGAAACTGATTTGGGAAATTTGTATTTGCTGGCCCAACATGGTCAGAAATATCAGCATTATCTAAAACAGATACATGCAAATCTTTAGCACTTATCAGGGAGACATATACAACCAATCAGATCTATTCCATAGTTATATGCAATTAAAGTGATCATCTCATTAGCCCCACAAGTGTACGGAATATTTTTGCAGCAAATCTACTACAATGGTAACAAAATGTGATGCTACAAAAGTGGAAGTGTGCCCAACACACAAATCTATAGGGTGCTTCCCTCCTCCATGGTAATACGATTAAAATGGTAACAGCAACATTTCGAACAGATTTATCTGGAAAATGCAAAAATCTATGGGCCTTGAAGAGCCTTGACTCAAAATTGCAAGGCCCTGAACCCTCAAGGCCAAGGCCAAGGCCAAGGCTTTTGCCCTCAAGCCTCGAGGCCAAGGCCAAGGCCCTAAAATCCAGCCTTAAGGCAGCCTTAAGGCCAAGGCCCAGCATCAAGGCACTACATCACTTATATACGCAGCACCGTGCTCGCGAACAGCGCGTGCTGACCAATCACCAATGCACAAAATATGGTTTCTTACACGTCCGCAAAAGGCGAACACTTTACGGATGAAATCACAACTAGCATCGAAACAGCTCGAATTTTGGGGGTGGCAAAAGTGGACCCCGAAATTGGTTCATGCACGCATAATACAGGAATAACACAAAAACGCCCAGTTTTGAAAGGATAGTTGTGTGGATGTTTATATCCTACTTTTAAATGTTCTTTCAGATTAACATCATTTCAATCAAAGTGTGTTTTGTAGCCCAATTGGGCTGTTCTAGGACCCACAGTGTCCCTTTAATGTACGCATGCGCAGAAGGCAAAATTCCTCGCTAACCCGTGAAATACGCTTACTTGTATGCACGGAATTTCCTGCTACAGTAAGCAGGTTTTTTTCCATGAAATTGGGCCCTTGGCTTTAGCCTTGTACAACAATGAAACAAGCCACTTTTTAGTTGAGAGTTGGTACCAGACTTCGGATGAACGTAAGGTATAGGCTAAATATCTGGAGCTGCTAAGCGGGAAAATATTGCTTAACAGATTTTATTGCTCAGCAGAAGTCAGCTGGGAACCAGTGGCAAGCAGTATACATCGCATGACATTTTGGCTGGCAACCTGTATCTGCTAAGCTCATATTTTCTATGCTTAGCATATTGCTATGCTAAGCAGCTCCTGGATACATACCTGACTAGCTCAGTGTCGGTGAAGATGTCTTTGTTCAGGCCGAGGTGACCCTCCATGGTGGATTTAATCTTAATCCCATGGATCCTACAGTCGATCCCATCGTCTGTAACACAATCAGAATCTGGATTAAGTGACAGTGTTGGGAATCGAACCCGGGACACGCACCTGCATTTCATGCTACTTTGGAATGTAATGGCCTATGGATCACAACACAAGAATCAATACAGTTGTAGAGTCGTCAGTGTGGGTTCGAATCCAGCCAAGGGGATCATTGTCCTTGTGTCCATGAGCAGGACACTTTGCTGTAATTAACTTCCTTTACCAGAAGCATACACCTTCCATCGTATGAATGCATTGTAACCAGCCGCAGCCACGAAATTCAGACGTGGCTTTTATTATAATGCCCATGAATGAGTCGTAGCCTCAGCCAATCTCACCTTGGCAAGACTTGATTCTGATCTCGATGACGGGATAGTGTTGACTCATTTGCTCCAAGACGCAAACATCGCCAGAGTACTCACTAGAAGACAAAAATTGAAAGTATGAATTTATCGCAAAAAAACCCACGACTTTTTGACACTTTCTCATATCACAATTCAGAATTGGTGAGTCCTAGTGGAAGTCCACGGTCATTGGGGGGAAAATCCGCTTTTAGACTAAAGTGGACTTTAAGTTGTCTTCTCTTCTGAGAAGAGAAGTTGTCTTCTCTTCTGAAAAGTTCTCAGCAATGCCTGGGACGTGGACAAAAAGGGGTTTACGAAATCCCGACTTCAGCCCTGGCATTGGGCCACATCTCCAGCCCAAGATTCGCAAGAATCTTGCCATGTTCAAACCCAATGAAAATACACACAAACCATTGGCCATCTACCAAAACATGGACTGAAGTCCCTCATGTCTGAGGACTAAAATCGTGAAGCTAGAACCTGGAGCCGAAGACAGAGAAGAAGCAAAGAATCTGTAAACCAGGTTTGGGGATCTGGTTGGCGTAGCGGTACTTTCCTCGCCTTCCACCACTGTGACCCAGGTTCGAATCCCGCCTGGGCCAATATGTGGATTGGGTTTTCAGTCCCTGCCTAAGTCCGTTGGTTTCCCCCCAGAATATCATTCTGGGGTTTTCCTCCCACCACTAAAACTGTAATTTCCTTCACATTTTCTACCAAGGGACCCCACTGGAAATAAGTTGAAAGACTTCCGTGGGCCATCCCGACCAATTGCTGAATAATCACAAACAAACAAACAAACCAACCAACCAACCTACAATTGAACACTACCCTTGATAGACTTACAAGTCGACGTTGACATCGTTGAGTTTCTTGAGATTTTCCAGGGGGCCTCCCATGACGATGATGTGACCCGGCATGAAGTTGTCGTCGTCCTTATCCACAATGATATACAGCTTCCTGTGGAGATAACAGAACCCATCGTAGGAGGGTCAAAGGTCGCTCAGGGCAAAAATTGGCTCAGGTCAAAGGTCGTCCAATGCACCTATAAAGATACCTTTGCCTCTACATGAAGCAGTTTGTTTAAGTCATCTCTTTGGAGAGAAACTGGATAAAACATGACAAAATATAGGCGCACAGCGATTTTTTTTTTAAATTGTACCTTCAAAATACAGTATGTCCCCAAAAAGTGTCTGTCTTAATATTTTGAAATAACAGCAAAACTACAAAGTAAGTTTTGAATTTGTTTAATTGTGCAGAAACTCTTAAACCTCTGCCTAAACCCCTATGAGTGTTTATTTCCCTCATGTCTCACTGAACAATGGTCAATTGATCACAACAACATTTTTGTGACCAAGTTCCTTGCCTTAACCAATTTCAGTGCTTTATGCTAAAGCTGTGTAAAACCCATCATGTTATGGACAAAGGGCTGCGGTTGGGGATTGGAATCATTTGCCCTTGAGCATTAAAGGGAATATACATCATTTGCTTTTGCTGTAATTTTCAGAAATGGATGGAATTGGGGGGTTGGAAATATATAGCAAATATAGTTACACTGACTTTTTTGAGGTTTTGGGTTCGAAAATGCTATAAAAACCAAGAAAAACCAATCATTTTCCTGTAGTCTGGTTCCCTGACTCCATAGGGTCAGGGAGGTCAGGGAACCAGTCTAGCTGGCTCGTACCCGTTCATAGGTTTGTAATCGATTGCAAACAAGTGCGATGGTCAATTGGGGCCAGTATTTGAAAAAAAGCCAGTTTTTTCCAACGCTGATCGGCCGATCAGCATTGGAAATTGTTACAAAAATACCACTTTTCTTGAAAATGACAGTATACCAGGTGCCATGATTTTACAGGATGCTTTACACTGTCATTCACTAACAGTCCAGCAAGGTATTTCAAAATGATTTGGTAGTTATTTTTTGATGTTTGCAAATGTTGTATTTTCCCTTTAAACTCAGGTCTGGCCATGATGACTGATAGCCAGGCTCTTTTTAATAGATCGCCCAAGGAAAGACCAAGACGGAATACGTGTGCGGACGAGAAACTGGTTTATTTCTCTTTACTTGGCCTTATGAGTGAACATACGAGATAATGGTTCCTCTCTTCATGTTGAGACGAATCCAATGTCGTCCATTCGTGCCATCACTGGTCCAGTACGTATCCTCATCTCCGTCAGTTAAACATCTTGCGTCTTCATCCTCATCCTATTAAAAAGGAAGAAAACAACATTAATCCTTGGGAAGATTGGACTTTGGGAAAAAGAAACCCCATTCCATTTTAATTTTAATAATAATACCGAAGTCTTATATAGCGCACGTATCTACCAACAATTAGGTACTCAAGGCGCTGGTAATTATGTCTATTTTTATAGACAGGTACATGAAGTTTTATGAGAAATGTGAGACCAATTATGTAGCACCTTTTTAAGGGTTTACAAGGTGCTGGGGCGCATATTGCAGCCACTGCCAGAAACACCGGGGCAAACCCCTTCTCTTAGCGATAAGAGTTAATGGGTTATTTTGTGCAATACACAACACACGGGACCTACGGCTTTACGTCCCATCTGAAGGACGAAGCAATAATGGTAAAGTGCCTTGCTCAAGAGCACAAGCACCATGTTCCCCGTCAGGATTCAAACCCATGTACCACGGCACACGAGTCAAACACTGTAACCATTGGACCACAGCACCCCATTTTGCTTGTGCCCACTGTCCTATCAAGGGTAACGGCTAATCTTGTTTTCACATTGTGGTTAATGCCATAGCAACAGCATGTCCATATATGTGCATATATCATTCTCACAGAACTATACCAAAGCTATCTAATGACATCTTAAGTACTAGTAATAAAGTACTTCACTCTTGTGATGGGATGGTGTCTTGTTAGGTGCTTGTCGCAATTAATACAGTACAATACAGGTGGAGCGAAAAGTGTCGAAATGTTGTCAGAATTGTTGGAGTTTGATACGTTGGTCGAAGAGGAGCTGGAGGTTGAACAAGAGCTGCTGGAGGTAGGCCTCGAACTATCTTGTTGAGCTGGGATGGGACGCAAAATATTCAGTAGTGCTGAACACAAATCGAGATCGGCAGACAGGCCCTCCGACAATAGCACTGGGTCTTCCAGACTACTTTCTACAACACAATCTCTCACCCTTTGCACTTCTTCAAACGAAAATTTCGCAACCAATAGAGAAAGTTTGTCAGAGACAGACAGCGTTTTCGCCTTGGCGAAGTTTGCCATGTTACTCAGCAGGGGATTCCTGGCCGTTAAATACGTTGAAATGACACTGTCCTTATGGCGTAAGTCTGTCAAGAAATCAATGACATCTAATTTCTTCTTCTTAGACATGACATCGTAAGGAAAGGAAGGAGTAATCAAAATAATTGATAATCTAAGAATGAAATTACTTTGAAAAAACCCAGAAGATGAGATACGAATCTACGAGAGAAGCATGATGAAGACAGAATGACACGTGTGTGCGATGATTCATGCCGCGTGACGGATAATAAAGACACTGGTAACCAATGGAAAGAAAGTACATTGTGATGCGGACTGCGTCCCTGGTACTTATTATTTAGACTGTGTTCCCGCCATATGTATTAAGAGCATGCATTAAGAGCAGGAAACCAGATTTAACATCGAAGGCTCTTTTGCGCATGCTCAGTTTCGTGTCGACGTGTTTGTAGACTACACGATACAACGGTCAGTTCACGCCGTCCCATATGTTACCCCAAATGCATAGCCAAGGCATTCATTCAGCACCACCTGATTTGCATATCGTAGCCTAGCCGCGTGAGGTCGCTGTTTGCGCTTCGTGCAGTACATGAGAGTGCATATATGGATATGGCTCGGCTGCTGTTGTTTACAGCCAACAATCGATCATCAGACTCTATCACCAAAAGCCTTGACCAAGGCTAGAACGTTGCCAACATTTGCTCCAGGTGAACAAATCTCTGTATCCACTAAACTCTAACACTGTTCAGTGATGAGGCAAATAGTCTTTCTTTCGGGACATCAGATCCTTTGTAAAGTAATAGTGGCTAGAACAGGCTTCACATTTCTGTATCCACCAAAATCAAACAAAACCAGGGGCAAAGTTCATGGAACATGCTATGCACAGAAGTTATTTGAATTTGATTAGCAAACACAGGTAACAGGCCAAAATGCCATTTGAAGTGCATTGCTTGTGACTGGCTCTCGGATGAATTATGCTTAGCGCATCAATCTGCCAAGCACCATTTCGTGCTCAGCAGCTCCACGAACTTGGGCCCAGGTGTGAGATTTTGTTGGATTTTGTTGGATCTTATAGGAATATTCCTTACCGCTGCCGATGAAACCTCCACTGATTCCACGTACTGCTTGGCACTTCCCAGCAACTCGTCAATGTGCACCGTCTTCTCAAATAAGAACCTGGCTAACTCTTCGTCGCACTCTAGACTCCAGTTGGGCGGCACGGTCAGGAGCGCTTCAACGGCGCCCTCGTCTGGCGGGGCAATTTTGCGCATCGCTCCGAGCTTGAGCATGAGGGTTTCCTCCACAACATCTAGCCACCTGAACAATTTTTAGAATAATTTTTTTTTAGACAAAGTAAAATTCGATTTGCGAAAAGTGAACGACAATGTTTGAAAAAAGAACCACCAAGTTTGAAAAGTGAACTGAAATATTTGCCGTAACTCAAATCTATCTAATTTTATCTTTAAAGTAAATTTTTGTTTTAAATTTGGGACCCCAATTTTTTATTAGAATACTTTGAAAATGTTCACGACACTCAGTAGACTAGACTTTGTGCACAACCATCAAAGTGCAGGAGAAATACATGTACCACATTTTTTTCCGTTCTTGAGATGTGTCAAACTCAATTTTACTCATTTAGTCGAATTTTGAAAGATCCAACACTTTTTAAAGTATACCCCTAGTGTAGTTGGGGAGTGTGGCTTATAGTGGCTAGGGTTCGTGACTCATGACCAGAGGGTCTGGGGTTCAAATCCAGCTGCTGGCCACATTTTGTGCCCTTGGGCAAGCCACTTCCCCCCCCCCCCCTCCCACCACCTACCTCTCTCCACCCAGGAGTATAAATGGGTACCGGCATTAGCCGGGGAGTAACCTGCGATGGACTAGCATCCCATCCAGGGGGAATAGAAATATTCTCAGTCGTTTCATGCCACTGAAACAGGAGATAAACACCATCCTTATTGGCTGAGATATTAACCCGAAAACAAAATGAAAGTGTGTCTAAGGCCAGGGTAAAAACCAAAAAAAAAGAACGAAGCTGCACAAGGCACTTCACTTACTTTGTGATGACCTTCTGTTGCTTCCCAAAGACCATTTGTCGCTGTTCACTGATTTCCTCTTCGGTGATTGGAATGAGAAGTGGAGGATCGTCTTGACTCGATTTGCTATCGTAGCGTAACAGCCAGCCGGGTTTGCCATCAAACGCATTCAGTTTGTCTGGACAACTCTGTGCCAAAATGGCGGAAAATAACAGTGTTAATGAATTGCGTCAGATGATCAATTCATTAAATGTCATTAAATTTTTTTTTTTTAATTTAATGTACCACCATGACCATGTATGATGTAGCAAGTCTTTTTGGAAAGACATCACTTGACACCCTGTGCACAAACCCTATGAGACTGGTCCGCTGGTCCGAAAAATTCCAAGTGTTTTCTCAGTAAATGCTCCAATATTTTCCCTGACTTTTTAGGACATGTTATCACTTTCTGATGGCTGATACTTGACTGCAGGGACAATTTAGTGACTGATGTCCATAAGCCTTATCGCAAATAGCAAAATACACTGCTGCGCAAAGCATTATGGCAGGATAAGGGGGCAAAGAACCACGCACGAACGCTGTGTTGGAACGCGCACGCCGTCGCCGCCGTGTTAAGCCATGCGGCGTACGCGTTGATGTCCCCGAGTCTTTCCGTGATGCTCTCGGATTTTGCTATTTGCGATAAGGTTTATGATGTATGGACTTCGTTCCAGTCTTTTTTTTTATGACTGTGGCATATTAATTTCTCATTTAATTACACAAATTTATGCATCACTCACCATCAGAGAGCGAAACAATAAACACAAATTATCAGTATCACGTTAATGGCATAATTCCATTGTCCGTAAATAGCAATAATGGTTAATGCATAGAGCAAAAAACAGTTAATGACTAATGTTATGCTAGTTGTTAAACAATTTTTTTATCAATCATTTCCTGTACATTAAATTAAAAACTGTTTTTCGAGGTTTAATTTTGCAATATGTAGGCAACATGTTATGTAAGGTACAGAAAAACTCACTTGTAAACTCAGTCTTATCCAACTTCCAAAATTGTTGCACATTTCTTCTCCCGTGCCGACGATTTTGGCCGATTTACCGCAGTAGACATGTCGTTGCTGATCCGCCGGGCACTCCTTGTTCGGTTCAGCGTACACGGTCAACTTTACCCGCGGTGATTTGGGCGGTGTTCGCCCACGAGTCCCGCTGTTAGCGCGCGCTGCTCTGGCCACAAAACTCGGGTGAATCTTGAACTGGATCTCACCTGGAACGTAGCACAGGGCTTTTGGGAGTGGGGTGGCGTTCCTGATGCTTTCGATGCCTGCTTGTAGACACCGAATTCGGGCTAAAATCGCCTTCGTTTCGAGAGGTTTCCCACTTACATCCGGAGCCATCTTGTGTGCGTACGTACGCCCCACAACTTAAGCAACGCACATAGTACAGATGGGATCGATTTAGTTGGTCATTCACGAGTCGTACCCAGCGACTAAACTCGCAAATCATACCCTGGCAAACTTGTCGTCACGCCCCCCCCCCCAAAAAAAACCATTTGATGGACAACCGTCTCATTTTGAAGATTTTCAATTTTTTTAATCACACAGGAATGAAAACAATATTCTTAGACTGAAATTGAAATTCATTTTTATTCACTTTACATAAAAGAGCAAACAAGCTTTTTACCGTGTCTCTGTAACATGTCAGCTTAATTTGGTGGACCATCCAACGCATGCAAAGAAACATGTCAACTGAAACACACAACAAACACACTGACTGAGTTTGGAATTTCGAAGTGATAATATAATCTAAATCTCATAATAAAATAATAAGACTAAAAAAAAAAAATCCATTCGTAGTAATCTGCATACTGAAGGCGCAGAATAATTTGTTTTTAGCAAGAATAGTTTCATGGCATTTAATAATACCCAACTACATTTGATGTTCACTCGCAGTGGCAAAATGGCAAGTTTTTGATTTAAGACCCAAACTCGATATCAGTGTTTTAGTCGAGTCTATCACAATTCCCTTCAAGTCCATCACAAGTCTATCACAAGTCCTTCAGTCTCAAGTCAACTCACTCGCTATTCAAATGAACTGTTACAAAAGCATTCCTTTGTCATTGTTCATCATGTTAATTGTGACTGGACTTGTGACTGGACTTGTGACTGGACTTGTGACTGGACTTGTGACTGGACTTGTGACTGGACTTGTGACTGGACTTGTGACTGGACATGTGACTGGACTTGTGACTGGACTTGAGACAGGACTTGTGACTGGACTTGCAGAAGACTTGTGAAAGGACTTGTGATAGACTCGACCACACCACTGTTAAGTATTCATGTTTTTATTATAGTATCAATGAAAACAAAAATAAGCAGTGAAGAGATTATTATACAAACATGAATTTGGGGATTTATTTTATTTGGATAAAATTTATTATGAGGATATTTTAACTTCAACCATAACCATTCTATACCTTATTAATCACAAGTAAAGTGTATAATGTTTAAGTTTGAAAACTCCTGCCTTAAAAAAAAAAAAACCACCCCACCCCCAAAAAGAAAAGGTTAAATTAAAAGGATTGTATTTTTTTGTGACTTTGGTACATTCGTATGCTTGAAATACAAGTTGTCATGGCATGCTGTTCATCCAACATAATATAAATTCTGATTTAAAATTATTCCTCAACAAAATTAAATGTGAAATCTCCACAATTTTGTTTTAGAACCTTGTGGACATGATCACTGCTTTTATCATAGAATGAAGCTGCCACTTCATATTTTCAATATTTTATTTTTTTTATATATTTTCTGACACCGATCCCTTAGTAATGTCAGTGTAGAGGTGGGTCTTGTGTTAATGGGATGTTCTATTTACAGGTTTAAAACGCACACACAACAGAATAAAAATTAATTTTAAAGTTGAACAAAGAAAATGCCTGGAGCGGGGTCTGAACCTGCGACCTGTGGATTGCCGTTCCGAGGCTCCACTTACTGTGGTTTATATTCAGCCCAGTGTTTGCGATTCCTTATACATGTACCATAATAAACTGAAAAGCACCAGATGAGAAATGTCAATGTTCACCAGAGGTGAAACACAATCGTAAAATGAAAACTAATTATTCAAACAATCTCTTCTATTATTTCTGCAACCTCTTTACAAACTACAAATCTCTTATTTCCTAAATGGTTTTGCCAAACCAGTGTTTTCATTCAAGTATATGGGTTCAAGTTGTGGAACTAATGCAAGAATTTTCACAAATTATCACGGTCGGAACATAAATGGAACCTTATTTTTGGGGGGGGGGGGGCTATATAAAAACAAAATAATAATTTGGAAATATGTTTAAATCTTCGCAACTAATGCCGTTCTACGATACCTTTATTTCACAAAGCTAGGACTTGCAAAAAAATATATATCGCATGAGTTGGGTTTTAGTAAACGGCTTTAGAGACTACCAACTTTTTCCACTATTCGCTGATGGTGAGTATCCCACAGAATATTAATGCCCATGATAGCTGACTGTCGCAGATACCACATAAATAATTATGCCAGTGGATATAGATTTAATATTCTTCAGATAATTTTCCAGATATCTGCAGATGCTACACAGAACCCTTTCAAGAATATCTGCAAAATATCTAGATAATATATGGTATTCTACAGGTATCCAGCATAACTGTAGATTTACTTACACCACTATTTTAATATCTATTGAGAATCTGTACAGTATATTCTGTAAATGTTTCACACAATACTGTATAGACATTCTGCGAAGACGTGCTACACATCTTCAAAATGTCACTGCATTTTGGGAATTTGGTCGCATAATTTCAGAGACACGGCAAATAATAGGGAGTTTATAATTCATCATTCTTTTACAAAATGGACCTTCCCACTTTCACTTCTCAAGTGTATAACCCACATAAAATACGCAAGACAAACTTTTTAATAAGAATCCTAAATTCCCCAACATTCCCTATGGGTTGTTTTGCACAGGCATTTCACATTTTCAAAATGTTGTCGTATTTTGGTCACTTTCGGAGACGAGGCAGATAAAAAGAGTTTGTGATTATTAATTCTGTTAATGGACCTTCCCACTTTCACGTCTAAAGTCTATAACCTAGGTAAACTAAGCGAGAAACTAAAAAGAAAAACCTCATTTCCCTAAAATTCCACACGGGTTTTTTACCGAGGCATTTCAGCGATTAAGTCCAAGTCAGTGTATATAATGTAGCATTTGCTTGACATAGATGCAGGGTACTGTGAGTGTGATACTGAAATCTTAACAGAAGGTATTAGCACACGCGAACAAGTAAGGAACAAGTAAGCACTCTCGCGCCATGAGTGGTTCCCGTCACCTGCTTTTGCCATACAGAGTATAATGCTGAGACTGGGAACCAGCCAGCTTCCCATGACCAAAATTGAGAACTATAGTAAACCACAGTTTTAACTAACTTAACTATAACTGGACGAGTTCAGTCGACTATTTTGGACCAGCCTACCGAGGTTGGATTGACCACTGATTGGTTTTTCCCAGACAATATCCGGAAAAGCCTTTGTTTTTCTTCTGATTAGTTTTTTTCTTCTTTAGTTTATTTTTGTTCTATCCCAAATCTCATGGACTTTGTACACGATTTTTCTGGACACGACTTTTGTCACCTCTAAACCTCATGTCTCAATCAAAGTTGGCACACGGAGACACCTTAGTCCAAAGACGGTCAGCGAAGCTCGATGACGTCATCATGGGTCATGTGACGTCATTACCTACAGTGACACGTGTCATAATTTACAGCAAGGAGCCAACACCAAGAAGTTTTGTTGATGGCATTAGACCATCATTCGATTAGAGATTACGGATGCAATAATATATGTCATGAGTCGACTACTAGTCAGCCTATGTCTCTCCATCAAACTTGCCTATTAACTGCCAAATGTAAACAGATGAATATTCACTTGATGAAGATAAATCTTCAAACACGTTGGTAGTCTAAAAAAAAAAAAAACTCTGCAAAGCGCCCTCTTTGTTCAAGCACATAGCCAATAGATATAAACCCAGTAACTTAATGCCACATGAAGTCACTTGCATTAAAAAATACGGTAATTAATTTGATTGCACAAAATTATGTTACATTTTTTTAAGATCTCAGTGTTCATGCTGTTGTTATAATATCAAACGGTAAATAAATTAATCTCTCAGGAATGGATGGCATATAGATGACCTCGTTAAATTCCAACAGCAAGAAAATGCACGTGATTGAGATAATGCAATGCATCGTGGGTAATTCTAATCTGACACAAATGCATCATGGGATGGATCAACTACTACATTTTTTTTTTCCAGTTCAGGGCTAAAAATATTCTTTTGTCGACTTTTCAGTTTTACGGCCCAGCACACAAAGTCTACAGAGTTCTGGCTTGGTCTTTTCCTCGGAACTTCCATGAGCAACCTAACTCTGACAATGAACACTCAAAGTGCATCTAAGTGCCATATGCATAATGAGTCACGCTCGTGACTCAAACTCTGACAACTCCTCGTTTGTCGAGTCAAACACTCGTTCCGCCATCCACAGAGTTACTCAATCTAGGTTCTGCACTGGTCGCATTTGAGTTATCGGCAGGGTTTTCTTTGTCGAAAGGCAAGCTGGAATTGGTTTTGCTTACTGACGGTGATTCACTCTCATTTAAAGGTCCACTAGCTTTACTTGTTGATGCTTGTACGTTGTTACTCAGTCCCTCAGTTGACGTACTGGCTGTATTATTTTGTTCATTACTGGGACGTTCAGTCTCTGACGTTGGCACAGTCCGCTGCTGATGGGTGGAATTTACAGAGTTGACGACTATTACATTGGCTGAAGGGGCGTGGGGACTGGAACCGGCGCTCGGCGGGTACCGGCGAGTTGTTTGAGTGGGGACGGCTACTCGCCGCCGGAGCACCGATCCTAGATGATACTGCCAAATGGTGGGGTTGATCACTCTGGGTACCGTGGGCGCTGGTTGCGCTTGATGCGTAGTGGGAACAGTCGGCGCTGGATTCTGTGTGTTCGTACCCACATTGTTCACGCCGCTGTTGGCGTCGACTCGGGCAGCGTCCTGGGGTGGGGCCTGGGTATCGTCAGCGGGTATGTCCGGGGGTATGTTATCCTGTAGGTTGAGATTTAGGTTGGCGTTGAGTCCTGCTCCGTGCATCCCACCGTGTTGATTACGCTGAAGAAGCAACTGTATCCGTGCCTGGTGTAGGATGGTTGGTAACTCATGGTGGTGGAAAAAGTAGATCATGGAATGCTGTAAGTAAAAATAAAAAACACTCACACTGATTATTTTGTTTCTATAAATTTACTACATAAAAGTATTCACTCATCGCTTGTTCATGTATACTGCGGATTAGGAACTGGGCAGGTTTAATCTACTTTGGACAGTGCTAGAAAGAGGAAAGTTAATTCAAGATTATTTTTTCTTTCAAAAATGGGCTTACCTGAATGAATAACCAAGAAGTGATTAACGCTAAGCCACTGTACTGACCGTTGAACCGATAGTGGTAGGCGTAGAACGCAAAATGATAGAGATAGAAAAACCTGCAAAAAAGTACAAAACCAAAATCATCAGGTATAACAGACCAACACTGAATTTATCAGTCTAAAGGCACCCCTTAAAATACCCATTTATTTTGTTCTACATCAATTTTGTTTTAGGTAAAAACACCTTTATGGTAAAACCTGAGGAATTCCAGATTAAAACAAATACATTCTTGCAAAATCCTGATATCTGGAAAAATTCCAGACAAAACAAATCCAGAAATCAGGAAAAACCCAGACAAAAAAATCCAGAAATCAGAAAAAAATCCTGAAAAAAAAAACCTAATCAAGAAAAATCCATACAAAAAAAATCCAGAAATCAGAAAAAAATCCTGATAAATAAATCCCCAAATCAGGAAAAATCCAGACAAAAAAAATCCAGAAATCAGAAAAAAATCTTGATAAAATTTTTTAAAAATCAGGAAAAATCTTGACAAAAAATTTAAAAATCACGAAAAATCCAAACAAAAAAATCCAGAAATCAAGAAAAATCGTGACCAAAAAATCTAGAAATCAGGAAAAATTTGACAGCAAAATCCAGAAATCAGGCAAAATCCTGACAAATATCACCCCTGTCATGCACACAACAGCGCATAATTTTTGCCATCCCCAAACCTGGTGGGAACCTCATGGTTAAAAAATACTGAAGTATCGAAATAACCCAAGAAATTTTGCCAGGCACTAACCACAGACGAACCAGACTTACTTGAGCCAGTGTCTCTTGCTGATATTGGTGTGGCAGCATATTGCGTCGTACTGGTCGGCCACCCATACTATCAGGATGATGTAAAATGCTGTGGTTGTGTCGTTGAAAAACTCGGACATGATCGCCTCCATACCTGCAAACAAAAAGCCAAAACAAAACAGTCAAAACATTGAATTCATCTATCACGAAAAGAAATTTGCCATGAGAAATTAACTGTATAGCGAATTATTTACGCAACTCTTCTGGAATGTTTATGTTAAAAAACATTTAATTTCCACTTCAAAAAATGGATAGGTGGGATTCTCAAGTAACACTGCCAAGAAAAGCCAGCCATAAGAAAACCAAGGAAAAGAAGATTGGACATTTGGATATTTAGTTTTTAACTATTTAAAATCTGTCCATCCAGAACCTTTAACGGTGAGTAACAATGAAGTTAGGCTTACCCACAAGAGCAAGAATGACAGTCAGGAGTGGTGCAGCAGGGAAAGCGATAGCTGTATTCATCTCCAACATCTGTAGTAAGTCCACTGAAACAGGTACAAAACAGGCATATTATATCACTATTTATATTTCGTACCACTAGGAAACACGACCCTATTTTTCTGCCGGGAAGTTTTTCTTTGTTAGTACAGTCGGTAGTCCATCAATATTGCGATTATCTTAACCAAGAAATCAGTCTTCCAAAATTATTATAAACAACATTTGACTTTGAAATTTGGATGCAAACCTGGAAAAAATCTATTAAAAACACAACAAATAACACACAAATCAGAGCAAAAGTATCAACTTTCTCATTTATTCAAGGAATTGCCTTGATCTGATGTAAGGTGCCTAAATACCGTTTTAAGCATTGAACGTGGCTCCCTGGGGTATTTTGCAACACTTGTCAAATGACAAGCCTAGCTCAATGTAGCAAGATCCATCAGGTCAAAATCTCAAGGCCAAACTGCCTCAGAGTCTGTGGTCACCAACTGCAGCAGGATACAATTGTGGCATTGTTCAATGGGACTAGCTCTGTTTCAGAATTGGCCGTTTTTGCACTGGTGTTGATGGTTCGATGCAGCAGGGTCCTACCAACTTTTACACCCGATGCACTGAGTTGCATTTGGCAGAGTTAGGTTAAGGATATATAAAAATCATCTGGGGGGAAAAAAGGAAATATGCTGTCGTTCAAGGTTAAAACCATTACTTTAGCCAATCAAATGGCTCGTCTCATTTCACTCACCAATGAAAACGAAGATCTGATGGTGCGAGTACCTAAGCAGCATAGAGATGGAGATGGTGAAGATAAGCATGATGAAACCGGCGGCGATGTAGGACGTCCTAGCCATCCACATGCTGACGAAGCGATAATGCTCACCAGTCACAACATTACGCAGGTAACCTGCAAAAATGTGTAAAATATAAAGTTTTAAAAAAATCAGGGGGCTGAATGCAAAAAAACTGATGGTTTTAATGCAGCACTAAAGAGGAGTTTGTCCTGGGTTCTTGGGAGCGGGCCTCAGTCTTACAACATTAATTGTAACCTACAATCCTTCGCGTGTGTGGGAGTGTGGCCTAGTGGTTAGGGTTTGTGACTCATGATCAGAGGGTCAGGAGTTCAAATCCAGCTGCTGGTTATATGTTGTGTCCTTGGGCAAGCCACTTCACCCCCAATTGCCTCTCTCCACCCAGGACTGAGGAGTATAAATGGGTACCGGCATTAGCTGGGGAGTAACCTGCGATGGACTAGCATCCCTTTCAGGGAGACTAGAAATATTCTCATTCATTTCATGCCAAGACAACTGAAGTTAAATGCTGGCCTTATGAGTCACATACGTAACTTACTTTACTAATGTCAAGATAAATCAACCATGCAAGGGCAACCATTGTAAATTTCAGATTGAGTTGACTCAAGTGTTTTGTAAAATGGATTCCAGACCTGGTACATAGATTGAGGAACTGGAAGAAGGAGTTCAGGACTTGTGCCAAGGACTTTAGGCCCAAAAAAAAAGTCTCCGGTTTCTGGTACGCGGCTTTTTTTTTTTTTTACCTGTTTTTTTTTTTTTTTTGGCTTCAAATGTCGGCTGATGACTGCAAATGGTGCCCGACTAAACTTAGTGCAAATATATGGGAGTCCAGAGAGGCCACATAAAGCTTATTCTCGATCATAACCCCATTTAAAAACACGTTAAAATTGTGCAGCAGCAGAATTCCAGTCAAACCAGTGAGTTTGGCGGTTTTGAGACATCATCTTGTATTGAAAAAAAACCCTTTTTCATTTTGCCGACGCGCATGGCTGCGGCGACGCGCGCGCATACCAGAAACCGGAGACTTTTTTTTTTGGCCTTAACAATGCCGTATTATCTACCTTTGTTGTCCTCGTGTTCAGCTAAACTCTTGACACTAGACATCAGGATATCGTCGTACCCAAGAAACTCCTCCAGAAAGAAGCGGCTCAGAGAATCACCAAAGCACACATCCTGGGTAGGATCTAAGAATATCACCAGATACACAAAACAAAAAATAGAATACCTATTATTTCATGCTTAGAACACGACCGGGCTCGCTACGCCTCGTCATACTGATTGTGGACGTCCCCATTTAGGACACTATAACGCCGCGTCAGTACAACAAGGTAGTAACTCGATTCTGTATCTCTCAAATCGTATCTCGCGCGAATACGCTCAGTGCAACAAGGTCGTATCTCGCGATGTTTACTGACTTTGTGTGTACATCCGTGTTATTTTAAGCGAGATACGACCTTTTGACATTGAAAACTCGAGTTTCACGTACGTGACGTCACACGCCAATTTAGGAGATACGACCTTGTTGCACGGACACGACGATATTAATTCAGTAACTCAGGCAGTCAGTCAGTCAGTGGGTGTCTCAGTCAGTCCAGATGACCCCTTTGGGTTCAAGCACAAATGCAACTTCATTTTTATACCTTACAACCAGCTAGTTTTACAGATATCACTTGACTGACAGAGTAAAAGTCGGTCCAAGTTTAGCGTTGATGTATCCGGCAGGATATTTTGCTGACTTAACCAATGGAGATGGAGAGATACTTCATGTGAATGTGAACGCGAAGCAAATTCGAAGTCGCCAAACATTCGTTGCAACACTCGTCAGAGTTGAAACATGTTCAAGCTCTGCAAATTTGACGTGACGTCACAAATGCTTTTCGGCCCAAGAATGAACCGGACTCATTTTCATCTTTTACACTCACCCAGTTGCACCACCATGACCGGGATACCAAGTTTCTCCCTCGTACTAGAGGACAATCGAAGGAATCCATATTCAAGAGAATACTCCATGATGTACTCATCTGCTGGCCACACTAGAATAGACAGAGTCAGAGAAGCAGGAAGATATCATGATAAGGCTATGTCCAAAAATTACTGGGCTACTGCCAGCAGTAGCACACACGTTTATGGGAAGTTGCTGCAGCCACTTCCATAGGTGCGTGTGTAGTTGCAAGCCATAGCCGAGTAATTCAGACACGGCTAAAGTAAACCTTGTATGGCCCTGTATGGCTGGTAGTAACACACGTGTCTATGGGAAGGGGCTGCAGCCGCTTCCATAGGCGCATATTTAATTGCAAGCCGTAGCCAAGTAATTCCGACACGGCTAAAGTAAACTAGGGCCAAGTTCGGGCAAGGACCATTAGTCGACTAGTGGTTGATTTGTGACGTACCTTACGCCTGCGCACTGATAGCAACGTGCGAACGTCTCTAGTCAAACGCTGGTCAAAATGTCATCGCAAAACTTCTGGATCCTGGCTCTCTGCTAGCGTTATGAATGCGCGCGGCTATTGGTTACCAGCGAAGCAACCAACCCCAGTAGGCTGGTTCCAAATAGTCGACTAGCGTAGTCAACCACCGTCGACTAGACAGAGTTCGGGCAAACGTTAGTTAACCATTGGTCAACTACAGTCCTTGCGCGAACTTGGCCCTTGTATGGTCTTGTATGGCTGGCAGTAACACACGTGTCTATGGCAAGTGGCTGCAGCCGTTTCAATAGGCGCATATGTAATTGCAAGCCATAGCTAAGTAATACAAACACGGCTAAAGTAAACCTTGTATGGCTAGCAGTAACACACGTGTCTATGGGAAGGGGCTGCAGCCGCTTCAATAGGCGCGTGTGTAATTGCAAGCCATAGCTAAGTAATACAAACACGGCTAAAGTAAACCTTGTATGGCCTTGTATGGCTAGCAGTAACACACGTGTCTATGGCAAGTGGCTGCAGCCGCTTCCATAGGCGCATATGCAATTGCAAGCCGTAGACAAGTAATTCAGACACGGCTAAAGTAAACCTTGTCCAGATGACATGGCTATGGCTGGCAGTAACACACAGGTCTATGGGAAGTGGCTTCCGCCTCATCCATATGCGCATGTGTAATTGCAAAGCCATAGCCAGGTAATTCTGATGCAGCCGTTTTATCCATTCCTCTTTCAGAATACTTCCTGCCCCATTCAAAACTGAGGTTGAGACTTAATTGGATGGACAAAGAATTAAGTCTATCTCACTTGAAACCCTTCCCTCCCCAAAATCAAACTCCATGTTTGCGGCACACCTACAAGACCTTACCTGCTCTCGTGAACATCTCAAATTCGGAGACCGTCTCTCTGAAGGGCTGCATGTTCTTGACTGGCTTCTCTGTCACCATGATGTCCACTGTGATGTTGGCCTCGTCCGGATCAATAGCGCCCTCTGGGGTCTGTGGCTCTGGTTCCTTGCTCATTTCCTTGCCTGGATACTCCCAAAACATGGGCGCCCGGCTGAATCCGTTGAGATCGTCTGCGTCAGTATCTGTGTGGCCAAACAGGCAATGATACGTAATAATAATAGATAACTACTCCAAAGTTCCAAGGTTTTTTTTACCACTTTTGTGAACCCTTATCAAGCAGTCAATTCCATGAAATTTTGGACATACTTGTAAAGTACGGCTGCTATTAGGTTATAACAATCCACAAATAAGCACTTTCTATCTTGGTACTTAAAAAAGTACTTCCTCAAAAGGCAGAGGTTTTAGGGGAAAAAAACTCTTCACAGCTTTAACAACTGAAGAAATTACAAAACTAATTACAAATTTGACAAGACCAGGGACTTCAATGCTATAAAGTGTGTCATTGCAACTTGTTGTGTTGAAAATCTGCAAATTACTGGATGTGCAACAGTTTTTCGTGGAGCAAACTAGACCTACATTCATACTACTGGACATTGTGGATTTATATCTTGCACTCAAGAAATGGAAGCGTTACAGCTAGAATTGAAATGCTTGTTTGCGCTAAAGACAGATTCAGCATGACCCCATACCGGATTCGGACCCCATACCGGATTCAGACCCCATACTGGATTCGAACCCACAACCGATAGATTTCACATGTTCTCCACTTACCTGCGCCGGTACAGGTCTGGCTCCCCGCCTGTCCCTTCTTGTTATAGATGGAGAAGGCCTGCGGACTGGTCCTGTTGTGGACAATCTCCACCCTCAGGATACCGTCGCGAGGCCACACCTCCTGGTAGTCCACCAGGCAGTTGATGGGAGTACGGGAGAACGTGCTATGGATGTAGGCCAGCACAAACAGGGCCGTCAATGCCTGAAATAGGTCAAACAATTCCATGAATTAGTCACCCAAATTCTACTGCATTTGTTTCTGTCTGTAGTCTATAGTCCGCATACGTAGACATGTTTTTTTTTTACGAGGACCTTTATTGTTCCTTTCTTTTGTTCATACTTGTATTGTTTGGATTTCAACTTTTTCTTGACACGTCCCATTAGGTTTGTACAAGAAAACCTCCCGAGGAATTGGCTCAGGTACTCTGGGTTGCTGTTTCAAAATTTCAAACAAACAATGGGACCACAATATCATGAATCTTATTCACTGGATCATTTTAAAGGGAAAATACAACATTTGCAAACATCAAAAAATAAAACTACCAAATCATTTTGAAATACCTTGCTGGACTGTTAGTGAATGACAGTGTAAAGCATCCTGTAAAATCATGGTATCTGGTATACTGTCATTTTCAAGAAAAGTGGTATTTTTGTATCAATTTCCAATGCTGGTCGGCCGACCAGCGTTGGAAAAAACTGGCTTTTTTTTAAATACTGGCCCCAATTGACCATCGCACTTGTTTGCAATCAATTACACACCTATGAACGGGTACAAGCCAGCTAGACTGGTTGCTTGACCTTACAATTCCCCAATGTATGTAAACTGCTCTGTTTCTTCTTATATAGAATCAGGGAACCAGACTACAGGAAAATGATTGTTTATCTTGGTTTTTATAGCATTTTCGAACCCAAAACCTCAAAAAAGTCAGTGTAACTATATTTGCTATATATTTCCAACCCCCCAATTCAGTCCATTTCTGAAAATTACAGCAAAAGCAAATGATGTACATGTATAATCCCTTTAACACTACAGGTAAAATGTACAGTAAACTCTCATTAAGTCAAATCTCAAGGGAAATGATAAAAACAAAATTTGAGGTATCTAGAGTTTGAGTTATGCAAGGTTCCCGATTTTTTTTTTACAGCCATGTCATCTACACATACATATACTGTACATTTCATCTACATGTATACTGTTGCATACGACATATATATGTACAAATGTACATGATGTCCAGTTTGAAGTGACAGTAAGGCCGAGTAAAAGAAATACACAGTTTCTCTTCCAGGCTTTTTGAAAAAATGAAGGAGGCGAACATTTTTTTCCTCCCAAGATGGTGAATTTTCCAAGATTGTGGATAGATTCTGCCATTTCTTGACTCTCTGGGTAATTCAAAAATGTGTCCAAAGGAGACATACATGTAACCCTCTATCTAGCTACGTGTACAATGGTGTTGGAAACCAATGTCTCTGTCCTTGACATTTTGCGCTGTTGGATGATGTACGAAATAAATAAATAAAAAGGCAATATATGTGCAAATGCAGTGCAAATGTATGAATTAAAAAAAAAAGGAAGTGGGCTGGAAAAAAAAGGAAGCAGTCAAGGGCGAGAAACTAGCTTATTTTTTAACTTGGTTTAACTGTACATGTATTTTTTAGATATATGCATAAGTACATGTACCATATGCCTACACATGCTGTAATAAAAATTACAACTATGACTATGTAGGTTTCATTAAGGCTAGAACATACATACATGTACATGTACTTGTCTACAATACATTTTCCCATGACTAAGCATTATATCAAGTGCACCACCTCGCATGGAGGTGGAATCCCATGCACTGTACATGTACATGCATTACACATACATGTACATGTACATGTAAATTGTACAAAATGTATGTTCTGACCCTGTCTGCAATATGTTCATTTTAAATACATGCAATGTCAAATGTCACTAGCAAGTCATTTTACCACAAAAAAAACAGAACCAAAATCGGGGGGGGGGGGGGGGGGGGGGGGAAGGTGATTGGGTGTATCAATTGGCACTGAAAGTCCAAAGTGAAACTATGTGATTATCTTGTAGGAATAATTGTAATGTTTATGCTATGTTATCAGATATATCCTACCAGTACGTTTTTGTAGCTAAAAACAAAAATGTAACATGAATAATCATGAAGTATAGGCCTATATAAGAAAGTTGCAAACATTTGCCACTTTTGCTCGTGGTTTTAGACATGCACAATGTACATGTAATGATGTATGTATTATACTGCATTGGAAGAACTTGGCACCCTTTTGCACATGTACACAATCGGGTCATGTATTCTACAGAACTTATCACAATACCCTGCTGCCAAATATAAAAAAAAACCTTGACATGAACATGATTAATGTTAAGTGACTACATGTATTAAAGGGAAGATGCAACATTTTCAAACATCAAAAAAACAAAATGATCAAATTATCACAAAATATCTCACTGGATTGTTAGGGAATGACAGTCTAAAACATCCTGTAAAGTTGTGGCTCCTGGTGTGCTGACATTTTCAAGAAAAACTGTATTTTTCCAACGCTGGTCGGCCCTTTTTCAAAAAGTGCTCTTAATTTTTTTCATATTTAGTTCGTCTGCATTTTCTTTGCAATTGATTACACACCTGTGACGACTACAAGTCTGCTAGACTTCTCTGATCTTACAATTCCCCAAAGTCTATAAATTGCTCCGTTTCATCTTAAGTGGGGTCAGGGAACCAGACTACAAGAACATGATTGGTTTTCTTGGTTTTTCCAGCATCTATGAACCCAAAACGTGAAACAAGTCAGTGTAAAAATATTTGCTATAACATACCAATCCTCCAAATCCATTTATTTCTGAAAACTGCAGCAACAGCAAATGATGTACATTCCCTTTAAACCAAACAAAACGAACCCAAAAGCAACACAACATGTAGCCTAGGCCAATTTTTTTTTTTTTAACTGACAAAACACATCAGTCACATGTACAAAAATCAAATGTGCCCCCTGACAAAAAGACCCAAATATTGCTGATGGCTATTGTGTTGGTGCCGGTTACCCATGGCTGGGTACCAACAATGATGTCTGCCATTGGCCATTGTGCCTTGGGTATTTAAAAAAAAAGGGCTCTGACATTATTGCATGAAATGCAAGTCACGACGGAAAAGTTCACACACATGTATGGTACCAACATGTTATTGTAAAATATTAACACTTCAAAAAAAAGGCTGAAAATCATGCAATTGTATTTAGGATCACTTGATCACTTAGAAGTCAACTAAATTCCCTTATTGTGTGATAAGCAAGTTATTTTCAGAGCTAGTACAGTAGAATAAGACCTATTTATATCATCAAAGCTCTTAACCTTTGACCCCAAGCCACAATGCAGCAAAAATGTAGTTAATCTCAAAATAGTTAAAAGATTTAAAGTCACACACATGTACATTGACCCTAACGTTCCTGAATCCATCAAAATCCACACCCCTATTTTGGAGGATTTGGGTGGATTCAGGATACCCCCATATTGAAAAAGTTGGGGGATTTTTATGGATTCAGGACAGTAAGCTTAGCGTTACTGCAGGATTTTGATGGATTCAGAATACCTCCATATTGAGCAAGTGGGGGACTTTGATTGATTCAGGATCTCAACAGATTTATTTCCAGCTAACTGGTGGATTATGATGGACGCACTGGCCACCAACAATTTTTTTGCATGGCAAAATTGATGGATTTTGACGGATTCAGGATACTTTCTAGTAAAAATACCCAAGGGGTTAGGGTCAGTAAAGTGGCCATCAGGTCAGCATTTATCTCCGGTTTCAGTAGCATGAAACGATTGACAATATATCTATTCCCCTGGATGGGATGCTAGTCCATCGCAGGTTACTCCCCAGCTAATGCCGGTACCCATTTACACTCCTGGGTGGAGAGAGGCAAGTGGGGATGAAGTGGATTGCCCAAGAACACAACATATGCCCAGCAGCTGGATTCGAACCCCTGACCCTCCGGTCAGGAGTTACGAACCCTAACCACTAGGCCACACTCCCCCATGTTACACTCAACATGTACCTTGCGGGGACAAAAGTTGGAAAGATGTAAACATATGTTAAGATCTTGAGCAGTCATTACATTATCCCAAACCCTGCCAGATGCAACACAGTGCACAAGGTGTTAACGTCTGTGGGACCTTGTTGCATTGAGCCACAACAACCAATTGACCGTATTCAACACGAAGCCATTTTCGATCGTGTTCCCTGAATCTATTCTATCAATTGTAACCTGTTCAATGGGATGGTGCCAGACTATTTTATGATGGGAGTGCATTCCAAGCCTCACTTTAATTTTTTATTTTTTTTTTAATGTGCCTTAAAATATTAGGGTATGTTTAATCACAATTTTTTAATTATTTATCAGAGCAGACCAGTATTAATCTGTAATGAACTTTTATTTCACTGCTTCCATTTCTACTCGCAAGTTCCAAAAATGAAGAGTTTACCTCGCATTAAATTTAATATGGCGGACTTGTGAATAAGGTCTATTCTGAGACAGTGGGAACTACTGTAGACCCACAGAACAATTGACCTATCGCTGTTTGCAAGTTTGCCACGCCCCTTAGACAACCCTATGGAGTTTTTGTACACTAAGTTTTGCTTGCCTCAGATTTGGGGCGTTCCGCGTCCATTTGTACATATCATGTAATTGGACAATATTTCACAAGTTGCGTTGACGCGATTCGAATGCAATTCTATCGCAATAGGTCAATTGTGTTACTCCCCAATTACAGCATTGTCCCAATTATAGGTAAGCGCAGACATCTGGAAGCTTCTTACATTGCCTTGTCTAGTTCCCAGACCTACTTACTTGAAACTCAATGGTTCTGGAGTTTGGAGTGTTAAATGGCAACTCATCGCAACTGGTGAAAATTATTGTCTCAACTGCAGTTTGGACCGTCCCAACTATAGTGGGGTCATTGCTATTGATAGGTGGGGCATAACAATGTCACTTTTGTATGCTGTTGCAGTGAATACTCTGAGGCAGTTTGGCCTTTGGATTTTTGACCTGTTAGATGTTTTTACACTGGGCAGGCTTCTCACTTTTGTAGGGCTTTCGTCCAAAATACACTGGAAGGCTGGAGAACTTATACTAGTCCAAAAAATTGGGACTCTCAATACTGTGTATGAGAGTCGCAAAACTTAAGATTGTGAAAACATGCAATAAAAGAAATATAGACTGGCACATGAAACAACCAGTCCAACTGCAGCAATCAACTGTATCAAAAGAATCATCTGGTACCTGGTCTCTATTTCTACACATTCTCTTCATAATCATGCCACCAGACTACTGAATGGTCAATCTTTTCCAAAGGTTGGATATATACCACTCTAGTCTTAGCTTCAGATTGAAATCACTTTGCATCATTCTCAGGTGCAAATTGTTGAAGAAAGGATTCCTTTAATATTGAAATTGAGATCTCAAACTTGGCTGGTGAAAAACTGAGGACCTTGTCTTTGCCTCTTGAAAACTTTGGAGAATTTTGTCAGCTAAAAGAGTGAGTAAGTTGGCCTGATTTTTGTTTTGCATGTTTTTCTGCACTCAAGGTCCCAGTCTGGATTAACACCAGACAGGGCTCTGGAGTGCTCTGAAACGTGCAAAACTAAATCAGGCCCACTTTACTCACAGTTTAGCCAGCAAATTTCTCCAAAAATTCCACTGGGGCAAAGAACAGGTCCTCAGTATTTCACCAACCAAGTTTGCAGACTCAATTCAATTTTTAAAGGAGACATTTCTTCAATATTTTGCATTGAGAGGGAAGTCAAGTGATTTCAAAATGGGGCTAAAGACTAGACTGGTACATGTCCAACCATGGTCCAACTATTTGAAAAGACTGACCTCTTCATTCAGTGTCAATAGTCTGGTGGCTTGACTATGGAGAAATGTGTAGTAAATTGAGACTAGTTCCTGGTTCATGCCACATGTTTCTTAAAATCTTTGTTGGCATGGTTGATTGATGCAGCACTGAAGCTGTGTTGGACTGGTTGTTTTAGGTGCCAGTCTATTTTCTTGTATTGCATGTTTTCAATACTTTAAGTTTTGGGACTCTCATACACAGTATTGAGAGTCCCAAATTTTCGGACTAGATTAACACTTGAAAGTAAAATGGAAACTACTCAAGCATTCTGCTCACCTTCATCAATATTGCAAACTCAAAAAAGCGCCGCACGGATGGCGGGAAGGCCCGGGCGTATGTGATGGCTATCTTGAAGAACAGGGCGTGAAACAGTCGGTCACGGACGTTGAGTAAGGGGTTGGGGTTGTTGTTGTTGTTACGTGCAGCGTCGGCATTGGGAGGTTGTTGCTGCTGTTGCTGCTGCTGCTGTTGTTGCTGCTGTGGGTTGACGGGAGGCATGGTTGCAGCGAGGCTGGCAATCCCACAAATGCTTAGTCAGGATTGATTCTAATTTTGTGATGAGCTTCCGATGTAGGGAAAGTTTCTGGAATTGATGCCTTAGAACTGGATTATTTCAAGGAAATCCACATTCTGCGGGGAAAAGGTTATATTTGGAAAAAGGTTAGATAGTGTTATATATATTCTGACAATATTTCAACCATTTACCCACACAATAAACTGTGGTTCATTGCTAGTACTTCATCTTTAAAATTGTAAGCAAAATAATGTAATAATTAGGCAAAATAAAAAAAAAAACATGTGTAGCGTCCTGCCTCTTTGACAAAAAGGAAGGAGGAGGCCCTTTTTTTTTTTTTTTTTTCTTTTCAAAATGGCCGCCCGACACATTTTTAAAGACAACGCGGCCGGGCTATTTTTCAAGATGGTTACCAGCTTTTTTCAAAATGGCCGCCACTTGGACTCATTGACTATTTCCACAGCTTTATACACGGTATAAAAGTCTAAAAATACGATTTCTTTCGTCAGAGATCGTTAAAATTTATCAATTTTTGTCTTTTAAAAAAAAAAAAAAAAAAAAAAAAAAAGGAGGCGGCCTCTAAAAAGGAAGCGGGCGGGGACGCTAAACATGTTTTTTTCTTTACTTCGCCTTATGTAATAGGGGCCTACATTTGCAGGCGTCATAAATTGTCTTAAAAGGCAAGGGAAAAGAAACCATGGCAGTGGATATTTGACTGTGAACCGGTCTCCGCTTGTTTTCAGTATTGTACCACCAGCACAGCACTGAACATGGGCAGTGACTGTTTTTTACTTTTACCATCAGTCCTATGACAAATCTTTGTCTGGTTCTGCACTTACGTTGTTGTTGTAACTTTGTGTTAAAGAAATGGGTATCAGACCCAATTTCAGACTTTATTTCCCTTTAAAAACAATCCTCCTTCCAGAGCCATGAATCAGAAAAAGAAGATGAAATACTAAATGTAGGATTCGATTTAAAATAATAAAAGAAGACATTCTTAAAGTTTCCAAAACATCGGTCATAATTAATGGGACACAACTCGAGTGGCGTTGCTTACAAGGCGGCTGGCAGCTGCGCTAACGACTCGAACAAGGCGGATATTATTATAAATATGTAAAACAATCAACAATTACATTAATAGGGCTACTACTTTTTTATGCTTAATATTCATCCAACAGTTTGTTGGAAAATAAAAATACCAAACAAATCCCATGATTTCACTAGTTTCAGAAAAAGTAGAAAACAATGACATTTAAAACCGGCAGAGCACTTTTTGCAATTTTCTAAAGCCATTCGGAATTGAAAGACAAATCGTTCATATAAAATGTCACATTTAACACATTGAATTGGTTACAAATTCTTATAAATTCAAGACATATGTACTTCCTATTTCATCGTTCATCCATCAGTTTTTAGAAACTTACATTATCAACAGAAAATGAAAAAAAAAATCGCACCATAATTCGTTGTCTTCCAAGCTGCAAAGAGAGTCCACTTTCCAATCATGCCAAAATTGGCAGTATTACATCGTGGGTTCCCGTAATGCACCGTCCAAATAAGACAATGAATACGGGAACCAGCGACTGTGAATCACGACTATGGACTAGACCATTTTTACAGGGGTTATCAAAATTAAAACAACGATATTTATATACAGTATTTTTGGAAATTGTCAGTCAATTGTAACAGAACGAGTTTATATATATTCAATGAAAACTTAAATACGTCCTTTATTAATGAATATTTTTACATGAGTGATGTAAATAAAACAATATTAAGAATACATTTAAGCCTACACCTCTCAAAATTAGATTTTACCCAGACCGGCTATGCGCCTGCACTAAAAATTTCAGTATTGAACATGCATGTGATTTCCACTTTTCTACACCACTGACCTTCATCAAAGCTTCAACATGATACAAAAAAGATCATGTGTTGGATAAAATTACAGAAAATATATTTTTTCTTTCAAACCAACATAAGGGCAGTATCTATTTTTTTGCCATAAAGAAATACCCGTGCAGGTGTCAAATGCCGAGACGTCTCAACGTATTATGTTATGATTACTTTCGCAAACCAGCAAAACCAGACTATTGGCCTTCTAGTCTGGTTCTCTAATGTGATGTGTTAATGCCATCAGAACATCGCTATACAAGCTTAGGCATGAGACTCAATTTGTCAACATGAAAATTCAGGATAATGAACTTGCTTGAAGAAATCAGTTTTGGAAAGTCCTACGCTGATTTCATTCCAACGAAAAAATCAACGAATAAGTCCTCAAAAATGTCTGACCGTAGATCCCCAGTTCCCCCAGCATGCCCAGTCCCTCAAGTCGCCCCTCAGCAAGCGGAGCCAACCAGAGAGTATGACATTATTGACGATGATGCCGTCGCGAGCACGGAACACGGCGTGACTTCCGGGAGTAACGCCCGGTTAGGCCGGAGAGTTCTCGGCCAAGTAGGCCAGTCCTTACACGCTAGCGCCGACATGATTTTCCGGAAAGGTGGATACGCGGGAGAAGATGAGGACGCGACGCAGGAAACTCAGAGCAACAGATCAATTGAAAGAGACAAATCAGAATGTGTTACAGCACTGGCAAGACATCCAGTTATGCCGGGAGAAAGTGAAAGGGAGGTGCATGATCAGCTGAGTTCCCATGGCAACGAGATGGAGTTTGGATCAGCGATTCATGAACCAGAGCCAGATGTCCCTGCTCTTAATTTACCCCATGTGAACTGCCCTGAAAAGATTGTACGATGTTTTTATTTTAAACAAGTTTTGTTTATATTGATTATAAAACCCGGTGTAGTTGTTAGGCCTTTTTAGTTTTGTCACTGGTTAATCTGATTGATAGTGATAGATTAAAGGGAAGATACAACATTCGCAAACATAAAAACACGAAATGATCAAATTATCACGGAATACCTTACTGAATTGTTAGGGAATGACAGTCTAAAGCATCCTGTAAAATCGTGGCTCCTGGTGAGCTGACGTTTTTAAGAAAAAGTGTATTTTTCCAACGCTGGTCGGCCGATCAGCGTTGGAAAAAAACTGGCTTTTTTCAAAAATTGTACCTAATTTTTCATATCGCATTTTCTTTGCAATTGATTACACACCTGTGAAGGGGTACAAGCCTGCTAGACTGATTCTTTGACCTTACAATTCCCCAAACTCTATAAATTGATCCGTTTCATCTTAAGTGGCGTCAGGGAACCAGACTACAAGAACACGATGGGTCTTCTTGGTTTTTCCAGCATCTCACAAGCCCAAAACATGAAACAAGTCTGTTTAACAATATTTGCTATATCCAGCTTAGCTGGAGTTACCCAGCCCTGAGTTTTATCATTGGGTTGTCATCTAGGGCTGGAGCGAGTTTTTCTCGTAACTTGTAGTATAGGCAAACAATTTTGGAAAATGTTCAATTTTTTGTTACACACTAATTGCATCTGCAACCCAACCCAAACTTGCCTGGAATAACCATTACACAGGTCCTTGAAGTAAAAAACGATCCACGATGAAGATTCAGCCTACAATTGCAGTGAAAACAGGAGGAATAACCGCTAACCTGACAACCTTGCTGGCATGGCCAGGACCGCAATTGGTTTGTGCACACAAAAAAATTGTGTACAAATGAATGGCGGTCGATTATCAGGCACAGAGCGCTGTCAACTACTCGTTTTTGCCGGCTGCGCTGGCTGTTGGCGCATGACGTCACGCGGAAGCGTAACACCCGATGACTGTTTCATGCACTAATATGAGGTTTACCACTCGCATCACAGCTTTGGTACTGGAACCGCAACCGATTGTGCATGAAACAGTCATCGGGTGTTACGCTTCCGCGTGACGTCATGCGCCAACAGCCAGCGCAGCCGGCAAAAACGAGTAGTTGACAGCGCTCTGTGCCTGATAATCGACCGCCATTCATTGTACACAATTTTTTTTTGTGCACAAACCAATTGCGGTCCTGGCCATGCCAGCAAGGTTGTCAGGTTAGCGGCTATTCCTCCTGTTTTCACTGCAATTGTAGGCTGAATCTTCATCGTGGATCGTTTTTTACTTCAAGGACCTGTGTAATGGTTATTCCAGGCAAGTTTGGGGTGAGTTGCAGTTGCAATTAGTGTGTAACGGGGACAAAATTGAACATTTTCCAAATTTTTTTTCCTATACTACAAGTTACGAGAAAAACTCGCTCCAGCCCTAGATGACAACCCAATGATAAAACTCAGGGCTGGGTAACTCCAGCTATATCCAGCTGATCCTCCAAATCCGTTGTTTTCTGAAAATTGCAGCAAAAGCAAAGGTTGTACATTCCCTTTAACCATAAGTTTTTAGCGAAAACAAAGAGTTTTCGCCAAAATAGTTGATTTGTGTAATCCTTATCTGTATATTTTTATGTTTATTGTCAGTAAAGTAAATGCAGTAAATCATAGGGATTTACTTTCAACTGTTCAAGGTAACACTTTAAACTTGAGGATTTTATTTGGGGCCAATTTTTTTTTTTTTTTTTGAATTGTGGCAAGTACAGTTGTCGGACGGACTTTTCATTAGTGAATCGATCATGGACTGTAGAGTAGATGCATTGAAGCAGTTAACTCATTTGTTGAACTTTAACTTGCAGGTTATCTGCATAGATCTTGCCACAGAAGTCAACAGACTTCCCTTCGTCACTAAAGATGGGTGAGCAAATTATTTACTCAAATCTATTACTTTTACAAAAAAAAGAAGACATGTACTGACGTAAATGTGCCTACTTTCTGTAACTAAAGTGTATTTGCTTCCCTCATAAGTGTTTAGGCAAAACTTGGGAACTTGTGTTTGCTTTTATCATGTTTATGAAGTTTGGATAGGTCCTAGTTACAAAATTAATTTCCACTTTGTATTTATAACTCTCTTTTTTTTAAACAAATGAATAGGTCTGCACATCAACCACTGGAGATGATCAAAAAAGCTTTGAACTTGTTTGTGGAGACGAAGAGTGCGATCAACGCTAAACATGAGTTTGCATTAGTCCTCCTACAGGAGAGTGCATTGTGGGTAAGTCAAGCTCAGTCGTACGAAATCTGAAGTGTTTGTACATGTGCAATCTAACCAACCGGTTTTTTTTCTATTTTGTAATCTCTTCTTTTTTTCTCCATTGTTTGCAGATTCAGGACTTCACATCTGACGTGGATGAGTTTGTCAATGTCCTACTGGACTTGACGAATGACACCACGGAGTGTGAACGCTGTGACTTGTCGTCACTCTTTGATGTCATGTAAGTAGGCAACCTCACAGGCGCATGTCACTGCAGGGGGCGGAGTCAAAGGGTCATGCGGAGAGGAGGGGGGGGGGAGAGAATCTGACATGTACGACCATGTTTACTTATTTTTTGCACCTTTTCATTTCTAAATCAAAACGAGACTTTTTCACTGGTCACCTGGGGAAAATAAAATACATCACAACGGTAGAATTTATTTTGTGCCTTTAGGAGTAAATGTTGCTTAACTCTTTATTGACTCTGATTTTTTTACTTGTCCCTAAGACTGAATCTGAGTCGTCAAGAGCCCAACTCCTGCAAAATTTGGCTCAAGTCACACTCATGTCCAGGTAGCAGACATTTGTCAATCACAAGGCAATTTAAGACAGACGTTCCATTTTTTTTGTTTTCTTGCTTTTGTAGACATGAGAAGGTTCAGCCTCCCGTAATTGACGATATCGAGTGCCTACCACCACCATACATCATCAGGACACTATTTGTGTACGGACGCTCAAACTGCATTCCTGAACTGAACGGCATCGGAGAAAATGATCAGGTTGGTACATACAAGAAAACGTAAGAAAGATAGATTCTGCAAAATAAAAAAATTACTACATTTGTAGTAGAAAGTATTTACTTTGTTTCATCTTTGGATGTTAGACATTCACTTGATCAGACAGTCACTCCTTTACATGGAATTGTAAATCAATCCCTCAGTCAATAACTCATTACATTTTATAAAAATTCTGAAAAGCATGCAATTAATATCAGTGTGCAAAACTAGTAACAAAGTACAAAATGTTAAAATAAAGAAAATATATATATTGTGCAAAGCTACGAATGTCCTGTTGGCATAACTATTTCACTGCGTATATATCTGATTTAATTAAAAATACAATAGTCATAATAGTCAAAATGCAATAGTAGTCAAAATAGTAAAAAATTTGTGCTTATGACAGAGATTAAGTCGCTGATGACTCGGTGGTCAGGTCTGGGAAGCTAGCTTTTGTCTTCTTGCCAGTTTTGTGTCTTTAATAAAATCCATTAATATCTTTATTTTCTGTGATATTTTCTAGTCACAGATGAGCCTTTCCTCATCGCCTTACTTCTTCTTTGACGTCTTCTACGTCCATGAACCTCCAACTGAAGACAATTTCTGCAAGGTAGGCTCTGGAAAAGTTTGCTTGAAACTCAAAGACCCAACAGAATTTAGACAATCTGATTGTCTCAAAGCTTACAAAAGCCTGAACAAAAAGTGTCCCCCCTAAACCGTTTCCCAACATTTATTCAGAGGGTTATGGGGTCATAATTCCACATTCAAAGGAAAGTCTATTGTCGTGATTTAATATTTGAAGAAAAAAAAATCCCCTCTGTTTAATACCCATGACCCCTTTTGACCTTACCTCCCCAACCCATTCTCAGCAATGTTTATCGGTTTACTTTATACCATAATCTACTCAAAAAGTTTCAATACTTGGTCGTCCTCACTTTGTTCTTGAAATGTAGGAAATATGTGACTTGTTATGTCAAAAATCAGGCACATTTGGGCAAGAAGTCGATTTTGAGTTATTGCAATATAAGTCAGATATAAACCTTGCTCTTTCAAACGCCGCTTTGTATTTTTAATTGGGTATTCCAAAATCGAAGCGATTAAATTTTGAAATCAGACTGTTCAAAATGAGAAATAGGCCTTTAAAAATTGAGTTAAGTGAAAAATATACTTTGTTGATGAAAGGTCAGTTTTGAAACTTTTACAGAACGCTTTAAACATGTGTAGCATCACATATTTTTTTTAAAAATCTAAAAATTGCTGAAAATCACTTACATGTCATTTTGCAGCTGCTTTTCTGTTCATAGCTCTGCCCAATTCCGCCTGGTTTTGACCTACCACGTCACGTATGTGATGTGTTTTTGATACCCACTCCTGCTTCTAACCCCTTTCTCTTTGGAAATTAGGAAATCTACGACGTGTTTTTGAACCTAGACATCCATAACACTTCTTACATCCACGAGGTGGGACGAGACAGTTCTATGCTCCGGCACAAAATGGCCATGCTGATTGCCCACCCACTCCAGAGACCCCAACAGACCCAATGTGAATACAAAATCTTCAGAGACGAATGAAAGCCGCCACGAGACTTTGAAAACTTTGAGGCCTGTTTCCTTATTGTACAAGACGTTGGTTGGAGAAAAGTTTCTGGTGATGATGTTGGAGGAACACTCTATCGAGCAGTTTGTATGGTTTTTGTAAAACTCACCACTCACACTGCTTACCCAGTTAATCAAACAAAGATATTTTTCTCAAGTTACCAACTTAGCTACTGAAAAGGCATTCACCTTATCTTTGAAAAAAAAAACTCTTTGGAAAGACAGGCTCTGCTAACTATGACCATTTATATATTTCAGGTCATTCTAGTTTATAAGCAATTTACAAAAGTCTGTTTAATCATTTGGCTAAAGTTCTACCATACATGCAGATAAAGTTCTTCCAAAGATGTAAATATTTGACTACAAGCCCCAGAACAACTCACATTCCATCTTCAAGACACCAGAACATTGTGAGCTTGAGGATTTCTATATAGTATTCTTAGGTTCCCAATATCAACAATAGGACCTTGACACTACCCCCCCCCCCCCAATCAGACAGCCCAAGCCCCGCCCCCTCCTTTTAGTATCTGTCATATATTTTTCAGGCTTTCCATATTTCTCTTGCTGTTCTCTCTATTCGGCTGCAAATGGATCTGTTGGGCAAGGCTGAAAAAAAAGAGAATAGAAATTCATGTTAATATTCACAAACTGGCTGAGAAATTACTTTATGTACTCTCCCTGGATGCAGATGTGCTTTAGAAAGCCTGGAAGATCGGTAGCTTGTTTATTTTCAGTGTTGAGTTTAAGAGAAAATTGTACTATAAAATTATTATTTTAATTGTGAATTCATTTCTTGCATTTCTACATGTTTTATTCAATGATGAAATTCAATCAAGTTTATGCTTAATAAAAATCACACTTAATAATACCTTGTAAGCCATCAGCAGAACTAAGATACAATAAAATGTACAAACTGCATATTTTAACCCGTTTCTTTGAGTTTACGGTTTTTCCCGGGTGGCATTTTGTACAGCAGTCTTTGTGTCAAATAGGTTGCGAACAATACTATCGAAATTTAGAATGTAGATCTTAGATGCCCGTAAAACAAAGTTGAAGTGTGTTTTAAGGTGGTAACCCGGACGGGTGGCACAGGTTCTGCAGATACAGGGTGAGTCAAAAAAAGCGAAACCCAAATGTCGAAACTATTGTTTTAGTGAAGTTCAGCATGTAGCACTTTCAAAATTAGGATATGAAAGCCCAATTCATAAGTTTTCGTTTAGTACAAGAATCATTCAAATCACTCGTGTATTTTTCAAGTTACGGAATTTTAAACACAACCACCGTTTTAAAGTTCTGTCCACGGATTACAAAAACGGTGGGCATTCTTTCAGCAAACAAAAATTCACACACATCCCAATGTGATTCGTTTTCGTTTTGCTGAAAGAACACTTACCTTCTTGTGATTCGTGGACAGAACTCTAAAATGGTGGTTGTGCTTAAAATTCTAAAACAAAACTAAAACAATAGTCCCGACATTGCGTTTCGCTTTTTTTGACTCGCCCTGTACAAGTAATAGCAAAGATGTGATGTACGGTGTAACACGAATCAATTTCTACCTTTAAAACCTGAGTCGCTTTATCAGATGTGGCCCGGAAGACGCTGGAGAATCTGGAATGACGCAGAATGGCCGCCATCTCGGCATCTACCTGGACCGGTACGCCGCTCTGTCGAGTCAAAATATAAAACTCTCAGTTCGTGGCTCCTACCCAAACATTTTAGTGTATAATAAAGGGTTTGTATTCCATTAAGTTTGGGCAACATTATATAATAATGTTGCCCGTCAAAAATATCTCGACAAACTGATTAGTTTTTAAAGGTGTACGAAATTGTTTTTGTTGCAAACGACTGTTTTCCTAGTACCATTTTCGAGTTTCACCTCGAAAGAAATTTTCAATTGCTATTTTCGTAGCAATATAAAAGTTATTCACTTTTGAATCAGACATCGAACGGAAAAAAAAAATCGACGTTTAGTTGTTGAATTATTTCTTCCCAAAATTCGAATTATTGGCTGCCAGATAATAATTCGGCTCTCGCGCAGGGCGGGTTCGTTGTTTGTGTCCAAACTTAAAAGTCGGTTTTCAGAGGGTTATTAGACACCCAACATCGGAATAAAGTACATGTATAATTCTTTCGTTAAAACAACATACAAATTGAAAACTCGTCGGAGAAACATTAAATAAATGTTATAATGAGCACCGGGTATGCATCTTTAAACCTTCATACCCCCCCCCCCCCTTTTCATGAAAGCTATAGTTCCGCCCCTAATACAGTACCTGGATCGTGTCCCCAGCGTCGAGTTCGATAACGTTCATATCATCTATAGCCCTCTGTGGGTTGGTGTATACAAAGACTGCTCCGAGATCATCCCTCTCCTGAGGGAGTTTGAACATTCGATAGGTTGCCATGGAAAACTTGACACCCCCTTTCAGCACGGAAAAAAAAATTACACTAGCCGTAAAGAAACTCTGTCGATGAGGGTGTCCCAAAACCCAAACCCTGAAAATGCCCTCTTTCTTTCACAGCTTTTTAAAAAATACATCGCAAATATTGATACATAGTTTGACAAGTTTAGTTCATTAGTACGAAAGCTCTGTAGTGCCATCAAGTATATATTTTGTCGAAGTTCGTTTTTATGAGATATATTTTGTCCAAGTTCGTTTTTATGAGATATATTTTGTCCAAGTTCGTTTTTACGAGATACATTTTGTCCAAGTTCGTTTTTATGAGATATATTTTTTCGAAGTTCGTTTTTACGAGATACATTTTGTCGAAGTTCGTTTTTATGAGATACATTTTTTCCCAAAGTTCGTTTTTACGAGATACATTTTGTCGAAGTTCGTTTTTATGAGATATATTTTTCCCAAAGTTCGTTTTTACGAGATCAGTTTTTTCGGGCGACACATGATATCTTACGGAGCCCCTAAAGGGACATCCAAAATTATTTTTTTATCTCGTGCGCACGACATATATCTCGTGCGCACGAGATATTATGTCGTGCGCACGAGATAAAAAAATAATTTTGGATGTCCTTTTAGGGGCTCCGTACTGAATATACAGCAAATTTAACTTTGCTTCGTTCCCGCGTGCCTCAGGGGCCTGTACTGTGGGCTAGGATCGAACTAGGATCGATCCAGAACTCGCATGTCCTCACAGAATAACAAGTGATGAACGCCAACGCGCACGTGACACTTTGCACACAAGAAAATCTCGTAAAAACGAACTTGGACAAAATGTATCTCGTAAAAACGACCTTTGGGAAAAATATATCTCATAAAAACGAACTTCGACTAAATGTATCTCGTAAAAACGAACTTCGAAAAAATATATCTCATAAAAACGAACTTCGAGAAAATATATCTCATAAAAACGAACTTCGACAAAATGTATCTCGTAAAAACGAACTTCGACAAAATGTATCTCGTAAAAACGAACTTTGGGAAAAATGTATCTCATAAAAAAGAACTTCGACAAAATGTATCTCGTAAAAACGAACTTCGAACAAATATATCTCATAAAAACGAACTTCGACAAAATATATACTTGATGGCACTACAGGGCTTTCGTACATTAGCTTTTCAACAACGACAAACATTTCCAAAGATTGATTGAGTTAATGTCTTTTTTTTTTTAAGTGTCACTTTTTTACTTTGTCCAGGGCCTTAATTGTCACTTATTCGGAATGTGAAGGATTCGGGTGAGGTGTAGGCCTACAGTATTGCTCTATCACTGTAAAAACGTTGGGCAAAATGGGTTGATATGTAGACCAGTGTTGGTCAACATATCAACAGGTTAAACTCTTGGGCAAATTCTTCCCAATAGTTGAATTTTTTTTACCCAAATCAACCCACAATGAGTTAATTTCAATTTTTTTTTACAACGTACACGCTAGTGCATGACAATAAAAAATGTTAGGGAGTCACTGTAGACATCGCATTGATAACTCGAATAATATTGTATCGATTGGTTTTGGTATTGAAATTGCAGCATATAGATTACTTAAGTCAAATAGTGTATTGAATGTCACGTTCGCCATATACCGATAAATTTATCCAATTCCGGTTCTTTGACGCGCATGTCCGTAGCTTGCACGAGTCGTGGGGTTGAGAAGCCATATTCACGGGACATCGTTACAAGATCCTCGAAGAAGAACGCCCCTGCTATGCCCTCGCCTAATAAAAATAGGAAATTGTTATGAAAATACAAACAAATCACGATACAAATGTTATGATCCAGACAGTCGTTCGGTGGATCGAAATAAAATGTCGATTTTGGTACAAGTCGATTCATGAAAACATTATTTGAGACCTATATAGAGACCTATTGAACCGAGATTTTACTCCACCCGCTTCCTCTGAAATGCAATGACCGGTTTTGTATTTTGTTTTTGAACAGAAAATCGCGCGGCAATGTTATCGGAACAAAATCATATTCGCAGTATTCATCATAGTCATAATATTGACAGCTATTAACACAATCTGTCCCCATATATGATATTGAGTAAAAGAAATACTTGCCCCACAGCGATTCGTCCTTCTTGACTTCATCCCTGATCCTGGTGTTGGCGACCATCTCCGTGAAGAAGACCTCGGCCCCAGGCTTCAAGACGTCTCGAAGCTGGCTCATAATTTCTCGCTTCTTGGGCGTAAGGCCAAAAACCGTGTTAAAACTGTAGAAGGAATCGTTAAAGTGATCATTGTCAACGCATGCTTCTCTATCATGGGCATTTGGGAGATCGATGCAAATGTTTCTCAGATGAAATTCTTGGCTTTATTTTCTTTCATAATAATAGCTGTGGTCATCCAATACAACCAACGCGAGGCCACCCATTTCCGTCATTCAGTCTCTACTTAGGCTAAACATGCATTGACAAATTGGGAAAATCGCGCCAAAATTGGGATGGATTGATAAGTGGTATAGAGCGCCTGAGAGGAGTTCGGAGTAGCGCGTCCAAATCCTGCTTCGGTCATTGTTCTTCTTTATAATTGCTCCAACTAATCGTTCATTTTGTCGACTCTCTCAGTATCTGACCCATCTTCTCTGCACTTCATCCCCATGGCAACCAACTCACCAAACGAGATCAAACTGCTCTTTTTGCAAGCCGGCATCCACGAGTTTATCCGGTTCACACTGAACGAATTGGATGTTATCCTTGCTGAGACCGCAGGCCTTGCGATGGTACTCCAAAAATGATCGCCCAAAAGAAATCTAAAAACGATCGAAACACATTTTTAAGAGTGAATTGCAAAAACGCCCGTTCTGATAAGAAAACTGTAAGGGTGGATATAAACGGGTTTCTGTGCAGGATGTACATGTATTCTGGATCTGAACAGATTTAATACAGTATCCATCCACACACCTCGTTTCAGTTTTTACGACCTATTGTGGTTTCAAGACAATGTCGTACATGCAGGGGGTTTAAAACGTGTCTAAAACCGACCAAAATAAGTTAACTGAAACTTGGCTGGTTTGGTTTCGTTCGATGTCCCATCCAAAGGGACTAAACTTTTATTGCTAGGAAAAAAAGCAACACAAAAATTGTAATTTACGGCATTTTATACACTTGCTCAGTTCTACAGTTCCGGCTTTTTAATATCTGTGTGCCCTATTATTTTGACTGGGATAATATAACCTACTATAGGCCAGCAGCCACGATTTGTTGTCAACATTGGGAAGGGGGGGGGGGTTGATCACCGTTCACGCTCCGGCGTTTGAATACATTATGGGCGAGTATACAAACCACGTGATCGTTGGGGTCCACGCCCACAACCGAGCCTTCCTGACCAATCAGCTTGCTCAAAACGAAGCAGTCTCTCAAACAGCCGCAGCCAAGACTCAGCACATTGAGTCCACTCAACAGATCCGGGAATCTCAACCCGCAACAGTAATTTCTTTACAGTGAAAATACAAGAAAATGTTACTTATGTTTATACACTTATTAATAAACATTCCTTTAAAAAATTAGAGTTGGCATATTTTTTGAAGATCGAACAAGATTTTAAATATAGATTTTCCCGGTTAAAACAATTTCCTTCAAATTCACCAACTCTGACATTCAATTTGGTCAGAGAAAAAATCCACACGTTTTTAACAAAACCAAATTAGTCATTTACCATTCAATTTCAAAGTTTGGTCACCCTCTTTGGTCACCGGGTCGAGAACATTCGTCATTACAGATCAAATTCGTCTAAGCTGTTGCCGAATGGCAGCATGCAGAGATCCGGAATTCGTCTTATATAAATCAATTAGACGAATTTGATTTCTGAATAACAAGGTTTGGCGTAGACGAGGTGAAATCGAATACTCAGGGACGGACACATGTGCTCATTGTTTGAATTTGCTTGAACTGAATTTGAAATTGTCTGACAAAAGACGAAATTAAACATTGGAAGTGCACTAATAAAATTGATGGTGATGGACGCATTTGAATATTTGAAACGGTGAATTCGAATGATAAACGTTTTACAATATACAGCCGGGAAAACCTATATTGATGAACAAGATACCAGTAAAAAACATTTCGCCTTCTCTTCAGAAACTACCTTTTTCGTTATCCTGATCAAATATTAATCGCTGAAACTTTATCTGTTCTTTGAGTTATGTATAGGTAGTTGTTGAGCTGAACAGTTACGTAACATATCTGTATATGATAAATTGTGTTTTGACTTCAAAATTGTTTATGTGGTGGAGAGCCAGCATCCATCCTTCAACAAATTCATTTTAAAAAAACCGGCTAACTTTTCGCCCTATTGCATTGACATCCGCAGCGGGAAAGTTATTCAACAAAATCCTGGCGAACCGACTACAACAGTTTCTCCTCGACAACACTCTGGTGGACACCAACATCCAAAAAGGTTGCCTCGGAGGAATAAACGGAACTTTGGAACATTATCTATGTTCTAAACCACATTCGGGAAAACGTAACTATTGTTTAATCATTTGAATGAATCATTATTATTTCATGAACTGAAAGTAATTCGAATTCATCTTGCTTTAATCTTACTGATTAATTGTAGCCATTTTGTACATATATTTTGATTATTCGTTATTTCCCGAAGTCCCGAAGTAACATCACTTCATGTAAATCTTGTCTTCACATATACAGATACGGAATAAATTCGCTGCTGCATAAACCACAACTCAAGAGCTTCCGATCCCTAATTTCAAGAGTGTCACACAAATATTTGTCGTATGAAATCATTTGTGAATGCAAAACTCACTTTGCGATGATGTCTGGATGAACCAGAGACAGTGCCGCTTTGCCATCGTGTGGCAACACTGAGGGTAGACACTGCAACATCTCCGTCTTGTAGTCTTGCTCCGTCTTGTCAGCCATTATCGTCGAACTTCCAGTCTCCGAAGATACCTGTAAGAACACCATAAAAATCATTACTCAGAACTTTTGAAGAAACTGCGTGTAAATAAAAAAAACACCCATCATTGTAGTGGGATATGTGCAACGCAACTTTCACTGTTGGGCACATCCCCAGGTGCACTATGCGATGATTTTGAAAATGTTAACGGGCGGTGATAGCTCGCGAACCAGCAATCGCCGTCATGTGAAACTGGTTCCGCCCTCCTTTAGAAGCCTACAGTAAACTGAGGTAGAGAAAATCCTATCGCACTTCCAATTCTCCGACTTGGTTTGGCAAAACCTCGCCTTTTGTTGTCTGCTGTTATCCTCAAATCTAAACAGAAGAATAATGACATCGCTTTCAGACCCCTTTTTTTGGCCGTGGCGTCAGTAGCGCTAAAGAGTGTGTGGCGACAGTTGGAAATCGAAATCCTTACTTATTTGATCCAGAAATTAGACACAAAACTTTCCTGCAAACTCTTTCCTATAGCAGCAGCCGGATCTTTCGACAGATGCTCGTCTGTTTGTAATTCCACAATTTCCTATTATGCATGCCTCCTGTGGCGGTTCACTGTCAGGAAGTTGTATCAGAAACCATACGCACGGGTATACTAACATCCTGGATTTTTTTCCATAAAGAGAAAGTTCAAGTGCCGAGTTATTTTTTTAACTCTAAAAGGGCACTGGTTTGGTCAACTGGGCCATTATTTTTTTTTTATTCAACGTGATGAAGCTACACGGACATCACCATGGAAACCTTTCAGCACTATGGACGATTAATTTGTCTCTGCCAGGCTTAATTGGATGGCGCGTACCCTATAAAGCCTTTTGACCTTTGTCAACCTTCCCCTCATTTTTCTCAACAATGCAACGTCTTTGGCAGTTTACATTTTGGATACTATCACGTAACCAAGGACAGCAATCATCACTGCCCTGTCTGATCACAGTCTCGTATCACTCACTCTCGTATTGGGTCAGTTCTCCAGCCTAACGCTGCGGCCCCACAAAATGGACCGTTCCCGACATTCAGTCGTACCATGGAGGAATTCCTTCCTCCATGGTCGCACCCAAAAGCCCCGTCCATGATCCACCGTGCTTTGTGTACATTTCTCACCGTACCGGTGATGACATGACCCACTTTGACTGAGTTTGACCCAGCAGGTTATACCTGACCTGATTTGCTGTATTGTCCACTACAAATGGTCGATTCCCAAAATGGTTCGACAATATCCCCAGTTTACTAATAGGCCTTCTTCATTAATGATTAATCTCCCCCCCTCCCCCTTAAGGTCTTGGGGGAGTGGTTTGCAAGGCCACCTGCGGAATGGGCGGAGATCCCTGGGAATGGGACATAACCACCCAAGTTTTAGTCTGATAAAAAAAAGTTAACTCTGTATGTAAACACTAGCACATCGCCTCTTAACCATCACGACATAACCTTTAAAGGAACACCCTACATGTTTGACACAATTCTATCAAAAACGGAGACTCATGCCAGCCAACATTTTGCCAGTGAAACGGAAACACACAATAAGGGTCGAGTTAAAAATAAACGAAAGTCTTACCGCGAAAGATGTAATGAGTTGTTCCCTCTGCTGTAACTTCGTGTATTGCAGTTCGAACAATGGTAGTTGGTGTTTTTTTAACTGATAGTAAGTACATACATAATGCGTACATATAGGTTTGCTAGGTAGGTAAATAGTTCAATGATGGCATTAGCTAGGGGATCGCTATAGAAATAGCACAATGGCAGCAGCGCACTCGACCGTGAGAAGTTGCTTTAGCTCAGGGGCCGGTGTATAAATGTCCTCTAGTACTCCCTGGCGGAACTGATTGCGTATTTGGGCTTGTTTGTTCACGGATCCTACGGTTTGTTCAAGGCACGATTCTTTTCCTGTGCAAACCACTTTGCCCTTACCATTTTGGAGTACAGGTCACCAAAAAGTTATTTGAAGTTCAGGTTGACAGAAAAGATAGATGACTTAAAAACATGACATCGAGTGTCCTGGTGTTCCATTGGGGGGGGGGGGGGGGGGGGGGGGGGGGGTGATGATTAAAAAAGGTTGCCATTCTTATGTAAGAGGAAAAAAAGGCTTTCAGTGGATATTCGTCGGCTCTGTGCCAAAGTTAACGTATACAAATTGACAAGCACGCACTTATCATTTCAGTAAAATAGGCAAACACCATGCAATTTAATATTTTTTAAACGATAAATAATGATTATATTAAAGCTTAAATTACTGATAAATAACTAAATACTATCATGTTCTGAGTATATTTATTGCCAAAAGCATTTAAAGATTGCGAATCTACTGATTGAATGCATATTAAAAAAATAATCTGGTAAACATTAAGCTGGACTTTGATAATTGCAACATCTTTGTCTGGTTTGTGACGGTTTTTTTTTCTTTTGGGATAATGCTTAATCCATTTTGATAACTTGACGAAAACATATATTATATAAGATATTATATAATTAACATACATAAGTAACATGATCCGTGGTGGATGACTTAAGCGTTGCTTGTAGTGCGCCCTCACATTCGACTGCAATACTATTCTCATTAATTATATTGGCACAATAACTGTGTCGTGAGAGGGCTCACTACAGCGCTAACACTATAGGCTCGAAATACGTCTAGTCTCTAAAGTACGAAACTATGATACATGTTCACAGATTAAGCGAGCACGATCTTTGTATTTTCCTTTTTGCCAGAAAGGTAGACAATCCTAAAACATGGTAAAAAAATGTGTTAATCGTCAATCTTGGTGAAAAAATAACACCCGACTGTGCATCCTTAGGTTGGTTACCTCTAACTTACACAATTAGGGAGTCAGGTTGGCGCAGCGGTTACTTTCCTCGCCTTCCATCGCTATGGCCCCGGTTCGAATCCCACCCGGACCATATGTAGATTGGGGTTTTCAGTCCCTACTTGAGTCCGCCCAGGTCTTACCCAGAATATTCTTCTGGGGTTTTTCTCCCACCTCTAATTTCTTCTCATTGTCTCCTCTCTACAGGTTTCTTCAGCCTACTTTCGAGCTACATGTGCCTAGGGCACTTTTGAGGAATTCTTGGTTTCATAACCAGAAGGAAATAAGATATTCAAAACAAATTATACAATGCATTCAAATTAGGTTATACAAACCAGTATATTGAGCACAATATGTGCTACTTATGTAACTGTCAAATGCAGCTGTACGGGTTTTCAAATCTCTATTTCAAAGCAATTCATCAAAACGCATCAACTTAATTATGAACGTATATAAAACCATATAAATATCCAGACAAACTTATACATATATATTAAACGAAATTTCACATGACCGAATAAATATCAGTCGGAATGCATCGATAGCACTAATAAATAGCATGATCAATAAATTATATAAATATATTATATATATCGTAAATATCTTTGTACCAATATGCATTGAATTGTTGTGTTATTGCATTGGATATATTATTTCGCTTAACATCGACTATTGCGCATGTGAATAAATAAATAGTATCAAAAGTATATAAATATGCTATATTCACTTATTATATTATAAAATATATATATTATGCTATATTAAAGTAATATTCAATATTTTACGGTCAAAGCACTTCAAAATATAGCTCATGGTCGTTTCAGTTGTGTATTTCAATTATTGTCTGCTATACTGTATTTTTTTACCAGCAGAGGGCGTTCTAGATATTAACCATCTCCGTTCTACTACTCTAGAGTTCTGAGGCAAGCACAGGCTACGGGTACTCTCTCGTAAACTGATTCGTATCTGGGGGAAAAAACGAAAGAAAATAGTGTCAAGTTTGACAAGAAAATGCCAATGTTACCATTTCTAGCAACACTTTTGAGACACTGCGATGTAGGCCAAATATGGGGCGTTAAGGCAATTTGTACTCAATCCAGTTAAGTTTCGCACACAGATCATTCTATAAATTTAGGGTGCAAAGTGTGACTTGTTTGTACTTGTTATAATTAATGGTACTTGAATTTGCCATAAGTATCATGAAGAATATTCTAATGACTTGAAACGAGTTTACATCTGTTGGGTAGGCACTCACTCTTGGATCAAGGAGTGCATCAGAATAATGACATCGTATCATTTGTAACAGGGGCAGGACAAAAAAAGCGGACCCAAATTGATAACAAAAATTGTGACCTACATGCAGCCCTACGGGTCCCATTCTTCACCAAACGAGGGCGCTATTTCATTGCCCAGTTTTCATTGGTACTCACATTTGAATCCCGTCTTGGCAAGCGTGCTTACGGAGCACTTTGACGTGGTTGTAAATGCGGTGACAACCGAAGTTATCAGAGACGCTTTGCCTGACGCAGTTTGGACATGCGCACTGGGCGTACAGCATCGTGCGGGGGTATCTGTCGGATGAAAGAAGAAACAAAATACAGATTATACGAGAACCAGTGTGATCATTCTTATTTTTCATTCTTGGAGCAACAGCCCTCTATTTCCAACAGCACTCGGTTTCAGTGGATTGTACTAATGGAGCAAATTGCGAAATTCCATGCCTTTTCTTAGTCTTGGATTTAGACGTCTCTATCTTTTGTCGTCGACAAAGGGCACAATTTGGTGATCGTCAACTTCTTGACCCTTACTCTAAGAATTGAATAAACGACACAATGAAATCGATTCCTTTTCACGCAATGAATCGAGTAAAATAAAGCACTAAATAAAGAATCAAGAATCCAATATAGTGGAGGATCGACTGAAGTTGCGAACAAATGTAAACTACGAAGGTCTTGGAACCAAGACTATGACAAACCTTCTGCATGTTTCTCTTCCAAAGCATGATAATGGTACTTACCTATCAACATCATTGTGCTCTACGTATGTCCACGGGCAGAGACCCCTAGTATTGACTTTTGTGTTGTCTACGGTAGGGATCAGTTCTTGGTGACACGTCTCCGACGTATACTCGGAGTATGTCGTCGGGGAGCTCGCGGCAACCGGCTGGCTGGAGCATCTGAAACTGACCGGTGCGGTCGAGTCGTCCAGCAGCCCTTGCAGCATCGCCGTCAACTGGGCACCGCTGAGATCTTCCGCGAGTGCAAAGGCGGCCGGTGCGTCGCGGCTCCTCCGGCTGGCGTCCCGGGGGGCAGAGCGTCTACTTTCCCGTTGTCCGTCGTCTCCCTTTCCCGCATCAAGCACCAACACGGTGTCTGTGTCTGATGAATTGTCCGAGGCGCTGGGGGTTTTTACGGCGTCTTGGAGCCGCAGAAGTAGGCCGGTGTTGTCGATGTCGACAGCATTGTCTCCCGGTTGAGGGATGACGCTGCCTCCCGTCAGTGATACGGAGAGGAGGAGGATGAAAACACACCAAGCAAGAAATGCCTGAATGAAAATAAAGGAATATTATTGTCAATAATCATTTTAACAACAGGTATTTATTCATATTCTTCAGTGGATGAATATGGCGTCAACATTTGATCTGTAGTCTCATTGTAACTACTGCTATAGTTGTTTGACGAAGACCGTTAACTGAAAACAAGTACGAGTGCGCAATAAGCTCTGGCGAAAAATGCGACGCCGATGGACCGAATGGAACACCATACTTTTGGTAAATGTTTGGGACATTTCATCCTTCTGGATACCGTCCAACAACTACACAAAATGGCGTCCACCTTGTTCGAGGAAGATGAACAGCGCACGTGCGAGGGCACAGTAAGCTCTGGCTGCGTTGCAAGAAGTCTTGCATGAAATTCTTGCAAGACGTCTTGCACGACAGTCTTGCATTAAATCGATCAAAATGATCCCTGCCAGAACTAAAAATGAAATCGATCAAAATGATCGCTGCGAGAGCTTAAAAATGCGACGCCGATGGCACATTAATGGTAAACGTTTGGTAAATTTTCGGGGGCAGACAGACAGACAGGCAGACAGACAGACAGACAAACCGACTGACCAACTGACACCAAGTGACATGTAGAAGCTCCTGCCAGAGCATGATGTTTCAATATTGCATTCAAGCACAAACATACATTAGCCGTGTCACTGAAATACCAACCAACTTCGGAAATGTGGCCTTCGTGCAATAACAGAAATATGTAGTCGCGATTATGGCCTGTGCAGCTCAGTAACTAAATAAGTAACGAAGATGTCAAAGAGCGGCTTTTACTGTTACCTCCTGTTTGAATTTGTCAATACTTTCGATTGTTCTCTCTCTGTGAAACTAATTGCAATGATCGGGTTGTTTCTATAGGCAGTGATGTACACAGTAAACAACTCATGCAGGTTCGCTGTCAACACTTCTCCATAATGATACGCTGCCTTTTTTTGGCTCAAACAAATCTAAGAGAACTTACCATTGCGTACCCCATCAGGCGCGAAGTGTTGAGTATAAAAATCTGCTGAAATCAGTGTTATTACAGTACACAGTGTTATTGGCGAAGCGATTGGTATAGACTGGTCTGGAGCTGTAGGTTTGATGCTTGAAGCCCGGAGGTGCAGATGCCGAATGTTGATTTTGGTGTGCCTGAGGAACCATTATATAATGTTTCTGCTGCTAGTAGATCCGGCACAAAACTATTGGCAGGGATGTCCATTCACACACCCACTCACTTTAAGAAATAAAAACCTTACAACAAGTCCATGTGATAAAAAAAAAACAAGGGAAAATATTAATGACAGCACCTGGTCCATAGGGGAATTCCAGACTAGTATCGTCTTGTCCGGGAATTGGTATCATCGTTGTTTAAGGCCGCGAATATTATACTTAAAAAAAAGCCTTTCCATAGGGGTTGTGAAATATACCAACAA